CTACAGACTGTGACTGAGAAAACTGAGAAAACTGAAATCCCACACCTGCATCTGTATTCCCATTCCCATCATTCTCATCTGCACTCTCAGTCCCATCATGCTGTTGCTGCTGAACCACAACACTCCTCTGCTTTAGTTCCTCCTGTTTAGGTTTTCCCAATAGTGTAGATACCTTTCTTTGTATTCGTTTTTTGGATGGAGCATAAAAAACCTCCTAAAGGCCAGCATTAGTTGGTCTATTCCATTTGGCTGCATAGAGCTCTTTTGTTGGACTCCTTTTTTTTTTGGCAACAGAGCTACAGAGAATAGAGGTTTAGGAATTATCTGGTAATCCTAGGCCTAAGCAATCCAAAAAACAGACATCCTTAGCACCTGCATTCAACAGTATCCATATACCACCAGTCCAAGAGACAACAGAAGCTTTTGACCAGCTTAAGCTTCAGAAGGAAGAAGATTGAGACAGTTTATAACCATCGCTTTGCACCAGAGGCAGGAAACTTTCAAAATTCCAGAGAGATGACTGCAACCAGCAAAATCTCCTTTTGTAATGTATTGTTTCAAGTTATTCTATATCCCGGATATAGGATAACTATCCTGGGTGGAGTTAACCCTTTATTCATCTTGTTTTCAGTAAACTCATTTTGGTTATCTTTTTACCTTACCTAAAGTGCCTCTGTCTGCTAAGGGTCTTAATCTTAACAGAAGGTATCAGATACCCCCCGAATAAAGCCAGACATTGTAGTTTTTCCCAAAGGCTTGGGTGTGCCATCACAACCCCTTTGGCTGTGATCACCGATTTAAACAGCTAGCATCTACTCTAATTCTATATAAATACTTGTAAATTAAGATGGAAAGATTGGATCTATTCCCATTACTCCCCACTAGGCTGCAATCGTATACTCTGGGATGAAGGTCTGTGCAGCCCTCCAGAGGTTGTTGAATGGCATCATCCAGCAATTTTGACCATTGGATATGTTGGCTAAGGCTGTTTGGAGATGTTTGGCAAGACCTGGTCTGACACATGATTCCATCTCCTTTTATACTCTCACACCTGGGAATAAAATCTGATATGTTCAGACATACAGAAGATTGCATTTCAGAGTTTGCATCTTCAGCCATCAAAATCACCTCTTGTTCCCATGCACAAGAGCTAAACCCTTTATTTTTAAAAAATCAGACTTACCAATAAGTAAGATCCTACACATGTACACAATAATGCAGAATACATATTTGTGAATGAGTTATTTGGTACATTTCTATCCTGCCTGTGTACACGGGGTCCTTGGCCATCTCTCATGCAGGCTTCTACAAGGCTCTAATCAGCTCAGCTTCACTACAGTGGTGACATCATATGTCCTCTGGACCATGCCTATGCACAGCCCCAAAATAGTTCCACGGAATAGGTGGGAGAGGTCCCTAACATTCCTTGGTAAGCAGGCTTGGGTAGATCAGTTTACATTCAGCAGCTTCAAAAACACAAGGGCAGCAATTTGTCCTGACAAACCCCGGGTGTGCCAAATATTCCTTCTATGGAAAGAGGAAGGTGTAACCTCAGCAGAAAGTGGAGCAGGGTACTATGAAGAACGTCTTTCACATTTGTCATTCTATTTGAGTGAACCGTCTGGGGCCCAGTTCTGTTCAACATCTTTATTAATGACATAGATGAAGGGTTAGAAGGCATGATCATCAAGTTTGCAGACAACCACAAATTGAGAGAGATAGCCAATACTCCATAAGACAGGAGCAGAATTCAAAACAATCTTAACAAATTAGAGAGATGGGCCAAAACTAACAAAATGAAGTTCAACAGGAACAAATGCAAGATACTCCACTTAGGCAGAAAAAATGAAATGCAAAGATACAGAATGGGGGATGCCTGGCTTGATAGCAGTACATGATTTTCCTGCTTCTTGGCAGGGGGTTGGACTGGATGGCTCACAAGGTCTCTTCTAACTCTATGATTCTACGTGTGAAAAAGATCTTGGAGACCTCGTGGACAAGAAGTTAAACATGAGCCAACATCATGCGGCAACTTAAAAAGCCAATGGGATTTTGGCCTGCATAAATAGTATAGTGTCTAGATCCAGGGACGCCTGGATCTTTTCTGCCTTGGTCAGACCACACATGGAATACTGTGTCCACTTCTGGGCACCGCAGTTGAAGGGAGATATTGACAAGCTGGAATATGTCCAGAGGAGGGTAATTAAAATGATCAAGGGTCTGGAGAACAAGCCCTATGAGGAGCAGATTAAAGAGCTGGGCATGTTTCACCTTCAGAAGAGATGGCTGAGAGGAGACATAATTGCCATGTATAAATATGTGAGGGGAAGTCATAGGGAGGAGGGGGCAAGCTTGTTTTCTGCTGCTGTCCTGGAGACTAGGACACGGAACAATGGCTTCAAACTACAGGAAAGGAGATTCCACCAGAATATGAGGAAGAACTTCCTAACAGTGAGACCTGTTCAGGATTGGAACTCTCTGCCCCGGAGTGTGGTGGAGGCTCCTTCATTAGAGGCTTTTAAGCAGAGCTGGATGGCCTTCTGTCAGGGGTGCTTTGAATGCAGTTTCCCACTTCTTGGCAGGGAGCTGGACTGGATGGCCCATGAGGTCTCTTCCAGCTCTATGATTCTATGAATTAGAGATTTTATTTTCATGCTTCATGATCAGCTTGCTGGTGAATGCAACTAATTCATTTCTGGGTACTAAAACCTTGGGTAAACCTTGTCTTCCATTCTTTGAGAGATATACTAGGCAAATATGCTCAATTCTACAAGACAGCTTTTGTGTCCTCATATGCCTTTCACTGGTGGAAATACCTTTATGCTTTTTCAGGGCTATGTGAAAAAAGACATCCTAATCAAGTTGGCACGGACAGTATTATACTGGTTTAAATGTTATACTGTGCAAGATGATACACAGGGAAGTCCCTTCTACAATGACACATTGTTCTGTGTGTACAATGAAATTTTTGAGCAGTGGCACAATCTAGTATGATTCGAGTGCCTACGCTGAGGTAATGTTACTCTACACATTGGTAAACAGACTAATACATCTAGCAGTTAAAGTAAAATGGCTCCTTACAACCCTCACGATTAGGATTGTATTACTACTGTTCACTCTGAAACCTTAAAACTTACTACAAGAGAAATTTTCCTTGTAAGAAAGTCTCTTGCTTAAAATGTACTCCAGTTTGTAAGGAACGGTTTAGAGATCCACCTAAGAAACAACTGGTGCTAATTATGATTGCTTGTGTTGTTCAGTATGTGAAGCCAACCCTAGGGAGGATGTGAGAAGTTTCAAAATAATAATAAACCCATATAATCATTAAACCCTTGTACCGCAGGACTGAGGACCGACAGGTCACAGGTTTGAATCCAGGGAGAGTGCAGATGAACTCCCTCTCTCAGCTCCAGCTCCCCATGCAGGAACATGAGAGAAGCCTCCCACACGGATGGTAAAACATCAAAACATTTGGGCATCTCCTAGGCAACATCCTTGCAGACAGCCAATTCTCTCACACCAGAAGCGATTTGCGGTTTCTCAAGTTGCTCCTGACATGGGGAAAAAATCATTAAGCTTTTCAACAAAGAAACATGCAACCTATTTGAGCCTTATTATCTGATGATGAAGAAATTGAATGTGCACATTTTATTCTATTTTTTGTCTTTTTGTAACCCACTTTATTGGGAGTCCATAAGAAAGATGAGATATGAATGGATGGATATGTTACGAAACAAAGGATTGTCTGTTTTGATCTACAGGCAAAGCCTGAGAAAAAGAAGTTCCTTTTCACAAAGTATTTTCATGCCAGCTCGGTTACTCTTGTACTTCTCTTTTCCTCGTATCTAGCAGCATCAGAATTAGGAAGATGTTGAGGGAAGACTGGAGGAAAACAGGCCTGAAATATAGGATGCAGCAGCATGTCTGCAGCAAACAACATAATAAATCTTGAGCTGTGGAAGAATGGTCATTTTAAAAAGTTTGAAACGGATGAATATTTAAATAATCTTTTAAATAATCTCTCTCTACCCTTCCGATCCTAATGGTTGCAAATTCATGACATTATTTCTTTAGTCTGTTGCAGTAATGGAAGTTCATCATTTGCAAAAGTGCAAATTCTATAGGTCAGATTCTACACATGAATAATTTCCACCAAATCTTCATAGTTTATGTTAAAAAACTTCATTTTTGTTCTGGAGCAGGATTTGTGTACTAAATGTGAAGTATAAAAATAATCCATATTATGTTGATGTAGATTGATGGAGTTGGCAATGAGTCTTAATTTTTTCTGAAACATTGATTCCACAGAAGAGTAAGAGGGGGTATCATAATGCAGAAAAGCAGAAGAACTAGAACAGGAGGCACTTCATGGAAGCAAGAATCCAAGGCTAATTCCAGACACTGTTGCTTAGAAACCAGAAAAACAATATTGATAGCACAACTGCAAAATCTTGGAGGTGAGCCATCTTAGGCGGAACAGCTGTTGCAAATAGTATTGGTGACTTGCCATTCATGGAAAAAATATTCTGAATTTGACTTAATAGAAACAGTAATTGTCTAGCTGATGAAAAAGTTCATTGTTGTATCTGTTTGAAAAAGTCCATTTTAGAAGACTGAGCTTAACTCTCCCAAACCATTCTTTTGGAGTTTTTCATTCACTTTTCTGAAGTTGCCATCTCACTGGATATGCAGCTCCCAGTCTTTGCCAACATTTAATGAAAGCTTTTGAAGGGTCAACACCGAGTTCTTGGCATCATATGTGAAAGCCACTTTTTTGTTTTTTCCATCTGGATGTCAAAAGAATGAAAACAAATGTATTACATTCATTTAAACAAATTGAAGTTATTATAGGACAAAGCTCCCTGCTTTAAACAAATCCCCAAGCCAAACAACTCTTACGATTAAGATTATATCAAGCATAATCTCCCTTTAGATTGCAGTTGTTCATTGGATGTTCCCAAGAAGAATTGTGTCCCATTGTGTTAATGATGTACATCCATGGAATAGCAAACAGTGTGGTGTAGTTGATTAAGCATTGGACTATGGCTCTAAAGACCAGAGTTTGATTCCTCTCTTGGTCAGAAAATCCATTAGATGACTTGGGGCAAGTCACAGTCTCCCAGCCTCAGAGGGAGGACCTAGTGTGCAAGGGGTCTTGATTGAACTCATATAGAGTTAACCAAGATCATTATGTAGCATATGCACCAGAAGTCCTTAGGATATTTCTGCATCCTACAAAATGGGGTCAACTGACACTCAGATATATCACAGGCCCCTTCTACACAGCCATATAAAATCTAGATTATCTACCTCAACAATCTGGATTAAATGGTAGTGTAGAATGAACCCCAGTCACCTTCATAAGAATAGAATAAGTGGTAGCTTATCAGAGATGTTTATCTATATTATACTATATTTTTTATAATTTACATTTATTTAATTTATAGATGTCATGTTATAAATTGTTTTCATATGTGGGGTTATTTTGGGTTATTATGTTTGTATTTGTTCTTGTACTGAGGCACTGAATGTTTACCTTTTTTGTTTGTTGGAATCTGCCATAAATCCCCTCAGAGAGACAGGGTGGAATAAAAATAGAGTTTTATTATTATTTATTATTATTATCCTATTCCGTTATAGTTGTTTGATACTAGTTTAACTGCTGTGGTCTCATCCTATGGAATCCTGGGATTTGTGGATTGGATTTGTAGCTACTCTACTTGGAATTCTCCAGGAAGGCAGGCAAAGCTACAAACAATTTACACAAAAGAGAGGGTCTAGTGAGAACAGGGTTTCAGTATTTCCTGAAATGCCTCCTTACATTGCTTGCTTGCTTATTAGCATTTGGTGGGGTGCAGGCAATGCCAATGAAAACTTTTTTGCAAACTAGGATTGTACCCATATGCTCTGAAACTGCATGTCTTATTAGGAATAGAGACGGAGAAGCTAGTTCTCTATTACACACTAGAGATGCCAAGATTTTGGCAAACACTGTGGGGCTAGAAAAGACTTCTGGGTATTTTGATTAACTATTTATGCCAGTTAGTTAGTTTTTGCTTTAAACACATATCATTTCATCATTACATTTTTTAAAAAACAGGAAATTGTGAAAGTAAATTAGAAACTGAGACTTAGTTGTCAACCTGACTTTAACGAAGAACTACAGTTTAGAGTGATTTAAAGAAGGGATACAAGGGGCAAACCTGAGGCTATTCATCACTATTCCTCCAGCTCACATCAACAGAAAACAATAAAGCAGAGTGAGCATACACACAAGAAACTTTCAGTTAGCATTTGTTAGATACTTTCAGGATGTATTTAGAAGTGTACTCATCATTACGGTATTTTGAGACTGGAGAAAATGCTGATGTATAAAAGAACAGTTGTTGTTGCTGTTGTTATTTATTTATTTATTTATATCTAGCTTTTCTCCCATGAGTGGGACTCAAAACGGTGCTATGACCTTTCCCAACCATATCCTTTAAACACTGATGGATGTGGATGATGGGAGTTGTATTCCAAGACATCTCAAAGCTATCAGGTTAAGGAAGACTGATAAAACAATGGCCTAAATTCTGCATGGGACCTAAAGTTATTTGTTTAAAAATCTCCATCTCAGCTGTGCTAAAGGAGTCTTATGGAAGCATCCTAAAAATCAACATCGTAAGATATAGAATATTTTGACCATTTACCATGAATACTGGCTGTTACAGTAGAAGGTTGCTTTTTCATTCCCAAAATCAGTATCTGCTCAATTGTGCATTTTGTGCGATACTTTGGGTCTCCATCTGCATGTCTAAGGGATTGAAAAGACAGAGAGAGGACATAAGGCATGTATCAACATCACTGCTGTTATATTATGAACTGAAGCCAACTGATAATCCCAATTCAATTTGTCCCATTGAAGCAACAGAAATTACCCGTGTTGACTTTCAGCAATCAGTTCAATGTGTCTACTCTTGCTGCAACTAGATTAAGAGAATATTTCCAGTTCCAGAAAACACATGGAAATAACACTTCAAGTCTACCTCTGGAGTGCTCAGATAAGACTACTCTTTGCAATAGAATACGCAGGAGAAAGAGGAAACTGATATAAGCAGAGTCTGCTTGGATCAGAGGCCAGGAATCTTTTGAGGCTCTACAACCATGTCATCAGGTGGTCATTCTTTTGAAGGTATCTGCCAAACCACCTCTTGCACATATGCACCTTCTTAAAATAGCACACTTAACATTTTAAATTCAACCTGAGGAAGAACCAGTTCCTGGTGGGAATGATCAGATGACCACTTGGCCCAGGTTACTTTCCAACAATCTGTAGTAACCACCACTAACTAACGTGTCCTCTCAACTATAAAATGTTGCTTTGAAGGGCTGGACACATGCCAAAAATGAGGATTTTCAGGGAAACTGGAGTAAAAGACATGGATTCAAGCACTCAGTTAAGAAGTGCATTCAAAGTAAATAATCAAGAACAACCTATGTCTGGACCGCAGTGGCTATGAGGTAACTACGATTTTTTTTGTTAGTCCAGACAACCACCAAGCTAGTTATGAAAACAAACCAGATTAAGGAACTACCAGTTACTCAACACTTTCTGCTTCAGACTTCTGGATTGACAGTGTCTATTACCTAGATGAGAAGGTGTTCTGATGGAAGGTGAATTTCCTCAGCAAGAACTGCTTCTCGTGAAGATATCGAAATGAATGTCCATCGTCCAGATAGAGCTCCCCGGCTGCAGACTCCTACATATTCAGATAATCCAATAAATATTCATTAAGCATTGTAGCATCTAAATAAAGACAAAGGGAATGAATAGTTATATTCTGATATTTAACAAATGTTTGTCCTGTGATATGAAGGCTAGAGAAACACTGATTCTGTGGTATATGCATTTTTTGTTCTACCATGTTTATGATCAAAGGGTTTTATAAAGTTGTTTCTATACAGTACAAAGACCTACAAGATATTTTTACTTGTAACCAATAAGGGATAAAAGTACACCCAACATGCAACTTTCAATAACTATGCATGGTATTTAATCCAAGAGTTAAATTAGGCAAGAAGACCTGAGGGAGGTGGGGGGCTTCTGGGGATGTGATCAGTCAGTTTTGTGGCTCTTAACTGTTATTTTTAAAAATACAATTGATGTTTAATTCTGTTTTAATGTTTGCATACCTACGGAATTTAAATTGTATTAACATGATTTCAATGAAAGCTGCTTTGAGTTTCTTTTGCGGAGAGAAAAAGTGGGATATCAAGAATAACAACAAAGGCAAAAGGAATGAATAGTTATATAAGCCCCTGTTCATGAATGCCCAGCCCTAATTGACAGATAGACTGTACTCAGCACTTTATCCCCAGCCCTATATTCTGTGTTTTGTTTTTTTTTACACAAGCCTATGCTCAGCCCTCGCTAATTCTGATTATGTCTACTATATTTCTCATCACTGGCTGTCGAGGTTTACTTTTTATATATTCTAATGATGTTGTTATACCCTGCTGCTTTTAATTGGATAGTGATATATTATTATGTTTTTAATTATGTTTTAGTTGGTAAAATTTGTTGTTGTCCCTGGGCTTGTTCCCTTTTATTGTGTTTTTCCTGCATGGCAGAAGAGGGTTGGACTGGATGGCCCCTGGGGTCTACCACTGAAATACTGTTAAGTTTGTTGTTCATTTGTTCAGTCGCTTCCGACTCTTCGTGACCTCATGGACCATCCCATGCCAGAGCGCCCTGTCAGCCATCATCTCCCCCAGCTCCTTCGGGGTCAAGCCAGTCACTTCAATGATACCATCCATCCATCTTGCCCTTGGTCGGTCCCTCTTCCTTTTTCCTTCCATTTTCCACAGCATAATTGTCTTCTCTAAGCTTTCCTTTCTTCTCATAATGTGGTCAAAGTACTTCATCTTTGCCTCTACTACCTTTCCCTCCAATGAGCAGTTGGCTTTATTTCCAGAAGTATGGACTGGTTGGATCTTCACGGTCCAAGTATGGACTGGTTGGATCTTCACGGTCCAAGGCACTCTTAAAACCTTCCTCCAACCCTAAAATTGTTTTCCATTTTAAATATTGCATTTATTTTAATTTTTGCACCGAGTGAATTAGTTCACACAAACACTCTCCATTCATCTGCCAATATCCTGGTCCATGCCTAATATATATAAATTACATATAATCTAATATATAATCATTTATTGGGGCTCCACTAGAAACTTTTGCTTCAAAAAGGGCTCTAGAGCTGAAAAGGTTTGAGAACCCCTGGTCTAGCTAATGGTCAGAACTGGAAAAGCAGCAAAATTATTCAGAATAGGAACCTGGCATAACTGCATTGGATTTAAATGTTTGCTAGATTTGCATATATTGGCAGAATTGACCTCAAACTTGTATCTCCACTTGGCAGAATAGAAAGAAAAACAGGAACTCTGTTTATTACCAAACAAAATATAGCATGCCGTACTTTAATCCTACCATGGGTGGGAGAGAAGTTCTATGTAAAGAAGTAAAGTGTAAGCCAAAGGCACAACTGCATAATTATGCACTGCAATATCGAGACAGAACCAATGAATAACTGAAAATGATGATATAATATAAAACATAATTTCAGAGTACCTTACTATCCAGAGCAGCACGAAGTTCATAAGGAACATCTACCATCCATTCTGTGGATTTTCCTACAGAAGTTTTTAATGGTATAATAGTGCCCCCACGCTGAATTACTGGAATCTGCAGAAGAGGAAAAATAAAACAAAAAATGCACAAAATGTCTGTTTACCCCGAAGGAGCAAATATGATTCCTTGGCTTGGTGCTGTGCAGCTGTTATGTGCTTCCAACTTGCTTCTGACTTTTGCTGATAAGGTTTTCCCATCATGATTTATTCAGATGTGGTTTATTATTCTTTACTTCTAAAGCTTAGGAAGTGTGACTTGCCCAAGGTTTCCATGGCTGAACAGGAATTTGAATCCTGGCTATTCATCTACATTGTAGAATTAATGTGGTTTGACACCACTTTAATTGCCATCGGTCAATGTTATGGAATTATGGGAGTTGTAGTTTTATGAAGGCAAATAGTGTTGGTTTCTCACCAAAGTACAAATCCCAGGATTCTATAGCATTGAGCCATGACAGCAAAAGTGGTGCCAAACTGCATCAATTCTACAGTGTAGATGAGCCCTCAGCCCCAAACATTGGTGTTGCTATTAGCAACATAAAAATTATGCCCTGATTTTCTAATCAGCCTTAACTCTCCCCCTCCCTCTCTCTCTCTATGTATATCTGTGTGTGTGTGTGTCTTATATTTCAGGGAGGAATTATATTTATACATCATGAAACTGATACAACAAAGTTTACTAACAACAAAACTGAATTAGACAGAAAACCACTTTCATCTTTCCTTTCTCTCTGCATTCAGAATCTGTTCTAAATGCCAAACCAACACAAATCAGTTTATACTTTGTCATATCTAAATATTCTTTCAGAGCTTTGTGTGAAATTGCAATAGTATCTGCACATGATTTCATTTGAAATTTATTATTTTTCGCCAATTTTGAAAACAATTTGGAAAAAAATGAAATTATATGTACTATTAATACAACTACATTTCCAGTTTAAAGTAATCTCTCTTGTGCAGTTACTAAATATTGGGGGTGTCTTTTTTATTGTTCTCATAATAATACAAGAATAAAAACATACACTATTCAAGGTCACTGGAATCTTCAATATGCCTTGAGTTTTCAAACAATTAAATTTTCGAAAGTCGTACCAGATCTGCTGAACATATAAAAAAGAATGAGAAAAATAAAGATTGTTATGATAGTAGATCACAATGCAAAATTCTTGCAGAATATCAAACCCACGAACAATCAATAAAGTGAATCAGCTATTACACAGCAGTACAGCATTCCGCTGAATTGCAGAAATCAATGAAAAACTTGCAATATTTTAGTAGCGATGTAATAAGCACAATTCCCCAAACTATTACAGAAAGAATCCATATGATGCATAGGATGGAACATTTTAGTTGCTACTGGTCTTGACTCTCTCTCTCATTCTCTCTCTCTGTGCGGAGACACATGCTGTATAAATGTCTTAGGAAAGAAGTTAAGTAGCATTTAAAACTATGTGTTGTCGAAGGCCTTCATGGCTGGAATCACTGGGCTGCTGTGCGTTTTCTGGGTTGTATGGCCATGTTCTAGAAGCATTTTCTCCTGACATTTAGCCCACATCTATGGAGAGGTCTGTTGGAAACTAGGCAAGTGGAGTTTATATATATTTAAAACTATGTTACTGTAGTTTATTTGCGCAGAATCTGATTATGCAATTACCAAAAAAAACACCAGAAAGCCTAAATTTGGTTCAGCATCTTCTAGAAATACATGTCAATAAAGGGAAAGAAAATAACAGATACCTTATTTCCTTACCTCTTCTGAACCAGGCAGAAGGACATTGACTGTTGTGACTTTGGGTTCAGTGACTGGATGCACCAACAAAGCATTTCCTGAAATATAAAACAAAATAGAGCCCATCTCTGGGATTTTATCATGTTTTGCCACATTCTACATTGTATTTGGAAAACAATTATTTCACCTCATAGTACAGGTGTGATTATGCCAAATCAAAAATGCTTTCTAGAATACCACTGAGGTTTTAGTTGAAAGTGCTAACACATTAGATCCTTCAAGATTATTAATGATTTCAACAGCACTTTCTGATTTACTGAAGGTTATATACTGGTTTGCTGAAGGTGATTAGTGGGCTTCATAATTGTGACAGGACTGGAAGATGACTTCAAACTACTATTTAAGGCATCACAGTGGACAGCCAGTGCTGGCAAGAATGGTTTACATAAGGTACATAAATTAAAAAAAAATAATGCAAATCAATTCTCAGGATTATAGAAGAAGGATGAATAGAAACTACAGACTCTAGAAATTAATATTAGCCATTACCATGATACAGATCTCCCCCAAGTTGATAATCTCTCAACCATGTAGCCTTTCCTTCTACTATTGTTTTACATTATATCATTGCCATGTTCTATAAAATCTCTCTAATATGGAGCGTTAAATCTTACCAAGCATATACTCATCTTCAATGCCAAAAGCTTCCAGTTGTTTGGGGAATTCTACCCAGACAGGTCTATGAAAACAAAGAAGGTGGACTATGAAAAGTATCCTCTGTCTTGAAGATAAACTCCCCAGTTACTATAAATATTCAAGATCACTGAATGCTATTTAAGTATCTAAAACTCACTGGAACGTTAGAAAAGAAATTGCATGGAATATTACCATTTTTTTAAAAAGAAAAGACAATATTTTCAAAAACACTGCTGAAAGATGAACAGCTGGAGCAGTGGTGTGAATCTAAAGGAAGAACCCTTTCAAACCAATCCTATATTTGCTTGAAAATAAAACAAGTAATTCTGGAAAAAGCTAGGAAGCACTGGATTTTCCCCCTGCTGTGCCACTTATTAACAGGGACACAAAAGACTAGCAAAGATATATGGTATTTGGGGAACTGGGAATTCCCCCCTCAGATTTTAGCCCAAGCCAGAAAAAATTGAAGTCTTTAGGAATGTGTATTTCCACTGTGGTGACCTTTCCCTGTATCTCAGGGCCCTTGCACACAGCCATATGAACCAGAATATTAAGGCAGCTAATCCACAGTACCTGCTTTGAACTGGGTTATCTGAGTCCACACAGCCATACAATCCAGTTCAAAGCAGATAATGTGGGATTTTATACAGCTGTGTGGAAAGGGCCTTGTTCTGGTGGTGCAAACATTTCCAGCAATCATACAGAAAGTACTCCCAGACTATTTCTTTTTTTAATGTGCCAAATTGTCTCAGTCTTACAGTTCAGCGGTCATTTCATTTATTTCAAGACTTTCCCCATTCCCCTGTGTAATTTTTCCCTGCAGCTAGAAGCAAAACATTTATATATGTTGAAAGGAAGCATTTTAATATAAATCAGCCCTTTTCTTTGCAAGCTTACCTCATGACTGGTTCCGCAGTGGTATGTGCTCGATAGAAGAGTGAATATAAATAAGGAAGAAGGGAGTAACGCTCCTTGATAGCTGCTCTGATGATCTGTGTATTCTGTTCACCAAACAGCCAGGGCTCACGGCGCTTGGTGTGCATATTGGCGTGGCCTCTAAAGAAAGGCTGAAGTGCTCCAGCCTGATACCATCGAACAAATAGCTCTGGTTCAGGGTCTCCAATAAATCCACCAACATCCGCTGGATTTCAGAAAGAGAATAATTTTTTTCAGAAATGATTGAATCTTTATGCATCTCCATTTGCTGAAAAAAAATTGTTTTGCCCACACATAAAATAATTTAGAAAAGAGGAAATAAGTTACCAATAATGTGTGACTACAGCTACGGAAGGTGCAGCGGGTTAAACCACAGAGCTGCTGAACGTGCTGATTGAAAGGTTGGCGGTTCAAATCTGGGGAGCCGGGTGTCAAGGGGAAACCTTTACCTTTACAGCTATGGAAAACTATTTTAAGTCTGACAAAAAACACAAGAGAACAGCTGTAGCTCCATGTGGGGCCACATGTTAGGCATGGAAATATTTCCATATAGGTATTCTCTACCATCTGAAAACAGGTTTAGGAAAGAGCTCTGAGGAAGCACTGCCAGCCAGTATACACCAGTGCTACTCTGGCTATCTGATACTGGGTACTGATATTTTTTCCAGTATCATATTTGTCACTATTGGCTACAACTGTTTCTTTCTTTCCTGGAATTTTGCTGTGGAGCAGCAGTCAAAAGCTTGCAGACTTGGATTCATCCTCAGACTGCTGTTTAGAGTAAGGATGGAATAAACAACTTCCTGCTGGATGGTTCAATGGTTTGACTTAGGATGAGGCAGGTCCCCATGTTCCATCATGACATAATGGGCTTTAGCACAACAGGTTAACTGCCAGCTGCAGTAAATCTTGCCAGTCGAAAGTTTGACAGTTCAAATCTTGGGTTGGGCTGAGCTCCTAGACTTCAGTCCAGCTTCTGCCTACCTAGCAGATTGAAAACAGCAATGTGAGTAGATAAATAGGTACCGTTTTAAGCGGAGAGGTATTTAAGGCACCCATAAACAAATGCCAGATAAATGCTGGTGATTCCATCAAGGAGGAAGTTTATAAACAAAGCTCTTCGGAAGGGAAGATGGAGCGATAGCACACCCCACCTCGTAGCTGGAACCGAGCACAAGCTTCCAAGATGTCGAAAATGGGAAAGCCTGTATATCTCTATCTATGTACAGTTGTCTGTCTTGTCATTGTATAACGTGAAATGGCTCCCTTTACATTGTTAGGAGAATACAAGCTCTTGAGTGTATGCGCCTTGAAGTCCCCTGTCAATTTATGGTGATCCCATGAACTTTATAGGGATTTCTTGGACAAGGAATACTCAGAGGTGGTTATCCCCTGCTATGCAGCCTACAGCACCTGGTATTTGCAGTGTCCTATCCAAGTACGAACCAGAGCTGATCCTGCTTAGCTTACAAGATCATTACCTCCACAGAAAGAAATCCCTGCAATGCTGATTGTGAGCAACATAGGAATGGAGATTTTCAAGTAGCTCCACTCCGCTTTGTTGTCTCCAGTCCATACCGCACCTGGAAATAGCAAGATCAACCATTAAGGCTGTAATTACAAGGGTGTAAAAACAAGTGAAATAAGTTTTAGTTTTAAATTAATAACCTTTCAGGTTGTTTTGGTTGAAATCTCTATCCTGGCTTTATAAGCGGTGTAAGCTATGAGCCAGTCCTGTATTCATTGGGCATCACTACCATGACTGCTACGCTGTGTTGTCATAAAACACACTGATTACAATATGAGAAAAAGGATTATATTGAAATAAACTTTAATATTCACCTCCCATTAAAAGAAAAGGACATTAGTAAATTAAATACTATGTATCTTAGCAATATCAACACCCACTTCAGAAAATCATGGAGTGAGTTATGCTCCAACCATTCATTAACTTAAAAGTGCACACTGTGACCGCGACAATCTAATATTAAGCTGCTCTCATTATGTACCACTGGGTTTCCAATCCTATACTTTGGGATCTATTAAACAACAGTGTTCCTTAATTAAGTTGTCTGCCATGTAAGGAAATGTAAAAACTCAGTAACATTGAAACTAGAGACAGCCCCATGGTTTTTATGTTTCATGGCTGTATAAAAAAGGGAATTTGAGCAGGAGTTGGTTTGTCATGTAACCAAGTAAAAAGCAACATCTGCTGAAATTCCCTTTTCAACACAACCATTCAATGTATAGGAGCCACCTGTGGTTTTGTGTTGACAACCTAGACAGCTCAATGGTGTGACAGATGCTTTGCATGTCTTAAGTATTCAAATTCAACCCTTGGCATTTGAAGCTAAAAGGTCTCAGATAGCACTGTTGGCAAAAACTCTGTTGCTGAACGAGAAAGAGAGAGGTGCTGCATTAAAAACATCCCTGCTATGGTAAAATGAACTCTACCAACATCCCTGAGAAGGAACCAAGCTAGGGTTGGACCAGTTTGAAAAAGAAACACAACAATTTCATTGCACACGGCAACTTTTTTGCTTGACCGTCTCTTTAAAAAATCTGTACTTTTATTCCAGTAGCATCCAAAATGCTACTGGAATAAATATATGGTGACAATCTGGATCTCTTTAGATCAGTGGTTCTTAACTTGTGGGCAGCAGACCACCAGTGGGCTGTGAGGACAAAAATCTGGTCCACAAGCCTCCTTCCTCTTTATTTATTCAATTTTATTTCTGCTCTTTTCACACCGCCTGCCACTCCTTCCCTGTCACTGACAAGCCCCGCCCCTTGGATAGACCACATCAGTCCTAGATTATTAAATATGGTTTGCTGTGGGCGAGCAGATGGTGACTACTGGATGGCATATGTTCTGTATCAGAAACTAGAGCTGGTGTGGTCTATCCAGTGCAATTTTCTGAATCAGCACTCCAAATAACCAAACCAAATCTAAAGTTGTTCAAAGACTGATTCATAACCTTTTTGGTACTAATGTTGGAGAGTGGTCCCTGGTCAAAATGGTCCCTGATCAAAAAAAGGTTGGGAACTACTGCTCTAGGTTGAGGCTTCCTCCATACTTACCATATCTCTGTGATCCAGCGAAAAAAGAACGTGTAAGAACAAATGATCTCTCCAAATTCCCACTCCGTCTGATCAGTCCTTCTGCCGTTGCCATTTGCTGAAATGCAACAGTGACATTTTTCTTAAAAGAATTAATATACAGCCCAACAAAACAAATTGCTGTGTTTTTCTGGGTGTCGCAGTTTTTAGACCTGTTTCTGGGGTTATTTGGATCACTGATTCATAAAATTGCATAGGATAAACAGCACCTCTATTTTCTTAGATATCGTTATCATGGTTTTCTATGGTTGAGCAGATGGCAATTGGTAGATGCTATATGTTCTGCATCTCTGTTTTTAGTATTTTAAAATTATTTTAATTATTCATACTGCTTTAAATTCTTAGGTTGGGTTTATTGTATGCCACCTTGAGATCTCTAGAGAGATGGTGGGATATAATTATTTAAAGTAAATAAATACCTGATAAAAACCATAGAGATTATGAACCTCTCGATGTTCCCATTTCCCATAATGGACAGCATCCTTCTGCATGGTGAGTTCCGCCCCTCTGAAGACCGAAGGCTCATTCATATCGTTCCAAGCAAAGAGGATTTCAGTGGAACCCTGAAAAGCAATATCTAATCACCTTTCAACCTGTCAGTTCAAACAGGGTTTAAGTGAACTAGAAAGACTTAATCTGAAAAGTGTAAAACAAAATCAAAGCGACAAGAGTAGGTATATTAGACATAATTAAGTGGCATCTGTTATATGTTACAGATGAAACTCAGTTTCCATCCCACGGACAACCAAGGGCTTCGATTACTGGGATGGACAGAGGGATTTTAAGTAAATCCAATTTGCACTACTACCTCCAGCACCCCCAAATCTGCTCCAAAGGTTCTACTGACAGTAGCCAATATAGTTCTTCCAATTGGTATATTTTGGGCATTTGCTTTGTTGACAGTGGAAAACCCAAATTTTATAAACTACTGGCTTCTTTGGAGACTATAGAAAAGTTATTTTTGCTTTATTTTGTTTATGTGGATGATCCATCCTGGATCTGGGACTAAAGTACACGGAGACCATCCATGATATCAAATAGGTTTTCTTTTAGGATGACGTTTAAATTGTGAAATTATGAGGTTCATCTCAAATAAACCATTCTCAATGCAGATGAATTTGCATTTTTTTTTTAAAAAAAGATGAAATGTTATAATCTTCTTGCTTCCAGAAAAGCCTCCAAAGGAAAGGAATGGGCTGGATTATCTCCTTGGTGTCTTAAGGTCTTGTCTTATCTTCCTGTGCAAAAATTACCCCATCTTCACTCGTTCACAATATATTTAAAAGCATTCTGACTTATAGTTTTCAAATACAAGTCCTCTTAATTACTTTCTTTACAGTTTGGTTTTTATTTCAGGTTATCCCACCCCACTGTCCCTTTAAAAGATCCTGTAACATGGAGTCAAAGCAGAAAGACACAAACCTTATATGTTTTGAATGCAAACTGCTCTGCATACCAGTCTCTGACTTTAGGATTGGTGAAATCCAAGTAAGAAGAGGAACCTGTAGCAATGGGGATAATAACCATTTTCAGGATCAAACAAATAGGTTATTTATCATTTAAATGTCAGAAAGGAAGGAATGGTTATCTATCAGACTGTCTGCACAATTATTCATTTTCCACAGTGGATAACTTTATTTTTGTACCCTGCCTCCATCTCCCCGAAGGCTTACATACGGCACAATGTGCCTAGAACAACACATAAATACATAATACAATAAAAATAAAACCATATAAACCATATAAAACAATGATTTTAACTCAAAACAGTGACCAGAAACCTATGGTGAGAGCTGTCGTAAATCATGGCCAACTGTAACCAGGAATAGGATAGTGCAAGTTGTAGCTCATGAACTAGGGCATGGGATGAAAGTGAAGTGTTCTGTCATTAATTGCAGACCATTGGGGTTAGACATTTTCAAAGGCTTGTCCAAACATCCAAGTCTTCAATTACTTCCAAGGAGGACAGTCTGGGCCTATCGAATATCCCTGGGGAGAGCGTTCCAAAGCCAGGGGGCCACCACCAAGAAGGCCCTCTCCTTCATTCCCACCAACCGCGCTTGTGATGGTGGCGGAACCGAAAGGAGGGCCTCCCTAGCAATTCTTATCGCTCATGTGGGCACATGAGGGGGGGGGATGCGATCACAAAGATAGACAGAGCCTGAACCGTTTATGGCTTTATAGGTGATGACCTGCACTTTGAATTGGAACCAGAAACGTATCAGCAACCAGTGTAGCTGTTTTAATAGGGTTATCCCTAGAATTAGCCCCAGTTAGCAATCTGGCTGCCGACCTTTGTACCAGTTGCAGTTTCTGGGCTGTCTTCAAAGGCAGCCCCACATAGAGTGTCTTGCAGTAATTCAACATGGATGGTGTTATGTTAAAAATATCTTGATATTAAATGCATGAACAGATTAAATGCTGTGTGCAATATGGCCCTTAATTAATGTAAATTAATTCTCAAAAACAGATGCAAGTGAATTAATTTATATTGGTTAGGGGCCATATTCCACATTTCACTCTCTATTAATTCAGCTTTATACCCCTTGCTTCCCGACTAAAGTCCTCAGAGTATATATAATTAGCATAGCACAAAATCAGTATTATATATTACTATATTGTACTATACCATTATATTGTAATATTATTAGTAATACTAAAATCTCTTCTTGAATACCTCTATAGTCAAAAGATACATAATATTAATCAATCAAATCCATGATTAATAATTTCCCCCAAATTAAATTGGAAAATGTGGAGGGTTGATTGTGTTGATGGTCTTTTTAAGAAGACAGCTGGTGACTGCTAGCTCTAAGAAGGTAATGGGGGCCTGTAACTGTGGTTGCCAACCTCAATTCTTGCTTGCTTCATTCTTTCCTTGCTTTCCACAGGGCAACTAGTATCAGTGGTCCATGAAGGAGATGGAGAGTCCCTATGGAGGAAGTCCTAATATAGGTTTTGCCTTTACCTACATCTCTTGCCTGCTGTTCTTTCCCACTCCATAGTAAGGACAAGTTGCTCCTCTTATTGTAGACTGAAAGTCCAGCCAAAGTCCATTCTAACTCAAGAAAATCCATTTCAACTTGCTCTTATAATGGAATTTGTAAGAATCGAAGCAAGATTGTATTACCTGGCCAACAGATGCCTTCAAAATCCCCACCTTTACGGTCTTTTACAAAATATCCTCTCTCTTTTGCTTGTGAGTATATGGTGTACAAAGGATCGACTTTAATATGCGGGTCCAGAATGACAACAAGCTGCCAAAATGAGAAACAGGAAGATAAATTTATTTGTGTCAGATGGATATGCCACAGAAAGGTTTATTTTTAGTTCAAACATTCCACGGTAGTGACTTGAAGTCCAAGTGACCAGCAGTCGCTACTGGTTCTATATTGTGTTTTGTTGGCTGTCTTTCGGTCAATATCTGATTTTAAAAAAGGAGTCGGAGGAGATAAGGAAATAGGGAGTGTTTTAAATGAGAAGGTACAGAGACTGAATTGGTGACCTTGGGCTAGTCACACTCTCTCAGCCTCACAGGACAAATCCCATCTGAACAAAATCCTTAGTCAGAAATGGCCTTAGGATTTTAAATCCTTTTTCTAAATAGCTCCATAGTCAAAAGATTTATTTTTAAAACCTGGGTGGAAACGAGTGTTTTAATTCAGCACAATTACTGTATATATTCGAGAATAAGCCGGCACGAATAGAAGCCGAGGCACCTAATTTTACCACAAAAAAACTGGGAAAACGTATTGACTCGAGGGTGGGAAATGCAGCAGCTATTGGCAAATTTCAAAATAAAAATAGACACCAATAAAATTACATTAATTGAGGCATCAGTAGGTTAAATGTTTTTGAATATTTACATAAAACTGTAATTTAAGATAAGACTGTCCAACTCTATTAAACCATTATTTTAACCTTCTTAAATATAAATGTGCTTACTTATCCTTCCAATAATAATAAAGAGAATAAAATAATAAATGTAATAAAAGTAATAATCATAATAAAGTAAAATAATGGAAATATAATAACAGTAATAAGAGTAAAATAATACATGTAGTAATAATAATATAATACTAGAGTAATGTAAATGTAATATTATTAATAATAGAGTAAAATAATGTAAATGTAATAATAATAATAGAGTAAAATAATAAATGTAATAAAAATAATAATAGTAACATAGTAAAATAATAAAAAACCTTGACTCGAATATAAGCCAAGGTGCCTAAAAAAAGGGCTGAAAAACTTGGCTTATACTCGAGTATATATGGTATATACAAATGACACGACACATTAATTACAAACCTCTACATAAAAACATCCCCCAATTTATTTTTTCTTGCATTACATACCTTGCGTTTTTTTTCCATGAGTATATTTTTTTGCATCCTCATAGGGTTGCCAAATGTCTCCTTATCCCACGTGAAGTACCGCTTTCCATCAGTATGCTCAATGTCTAGCCACATAACATCGTAGGGGATGTTGAATACATCAAAACCTGTATCAACCCCTTCTACATCTTTCTCATCTACATAGTTCCAACGGCACTGATGGTAACCAAGGGAGAAAAGTGGAGGCAGGGCTTGAGTACCTACCAAAAAGGACATAAACAATAATGCTGCCATTCATACTAATACCAAACTGACCATTAAATGCTGAAGTCTTTGCTCTTACTTGGTCTGTTAGCACCTGCTTGTGAGGGACATTTCTACACTGCAGGTTTTGCTACTAGAGTACTATATTTATTGCTTTAGAAATGCACAATATGATGCCTTTTATTTTTAAAATATAGCACAGGTTATTTTCTTTGAAACTAGAAAGAAGCTTGTACACATTGTCAGTCAAGAGATCAGACTGACTGTTTTACAAGCAGGGATTAAGTTGTTTTGCCCAAAAAGTGATAAGACATGGCCCCAAGGCAACAGAAACCTAGCTGAAAATATGGTCAATGTCAAGATGGGGAGATCCCTAAGAACATAAATCTTGATATATAATGTGTTATATAAAACAAACAAAAATATCCAAAATACTTGGAGTGTTTTGGATTTTTTCAGATTTTAGAATATTTGTATTTGCATGTATGTACATAATGGAATTCTTTGGAGATGGGATACAGGTCCAAACATGAAATGTGTTTATATACCTGTATTTACGCAAGTCTAATGTGCCATCTAATCTAATGTGCACCTCACATTAGAGTTTTTGATGGCGAATGTAATTTGTAGCAGCAAATAGTACTCTTTACAATTTGGCCAAAAAGGTGTGCATTACAGTAGTTGAATTCTTATAATTCCTTCTTTAAAAAGAAAAGTAATAGAACACCAAAGCTTTCAGTAATGGAAAAGAAAATCTTATTTATTTATTTAGAACATTTATACCCTGTCCTTCTCAACCTCCAAAGAGGGACTCAGGACGGTTTCCAACAAGCAACTATTCGATGCCGACACAATATAATAACATAACATAAAATACAATTAACATACATTAAAATAGTTATAAATATACATTAAAACAGTTTGCTGATTCAAATCGTCATCCAAATCAGTCCTTTGTGGTCCACTGAAACCTTATCTTCACTAGTAAATTAATCTATTCTGCAAACGCTTGATCCCACAGCCAGGATTTGAGTTTCTTCCAGAAGATCAGGAGGGATGGGGAAAATCTAATCTCATAAGGGAGGGAGATTCACAGCCGAAGGGCCATCACAGAGAAGGCCTTGTCTTGGGTGTATTTATGCTTTGGGCCTGGCATGGACAAACTTCGGCCCCCTAGGTGTTTTGGAACAACTCTCACAATTCACAATTCATAACAGCTGGTATCAGCTGTTTGGAATTGTGTGAGTTGAAGAGCAAGGCACCTTTAGGGCTGAAGTTTGCCCATGCCGCCTGTAGAATGAATCTACTTTAACTACGCTGGCTCAATGCTATAGAGTCATGGAGGGTGCCAAAGAATGCTGATGCCTCAGCAAACTACAAATCCCAGCACTCCGTAACATTGAGCCACGGCAATTAAATTATAGATGACATCCCTCAAATAGGAGCTCCAGGTGCTCCTGGAGCAGCTTCCCCTTTTGCTTTGGCTCAGAACCAAGATTATTACACAAATCTAATGTGCACCCTAATTTTGAGAAGGTAATTTAGCCCAAAAAAGGTGAGCATTAGATTTGAATAAATACTGTATCATAGATACCTTATATACATAACCTGAAAGAGGTCTTATACAAAAACAGTCCCCAAGTTACAAACATCTGACTTTCTAACTACTCATAGTTAAGAACGGGAGTGAGAGAGTAGGAAGTGAGAGAAATCTACCCCTTGGAAGGGAATTTCACTCTTGAGAGACTTATCATGGGGAAAAGGTGTCTCCACTGAAGCTTTCTCACCAATCCTTATTTCTACACAAGTCAATTTTTTTCAAAATCCAATCATAGGGACAGAAAGTAATGTGAAATTTGAACAGGGGCACAGACCTCATAATGAACACCAAAAAGTTTGTTAAACCTTCCCTATGCCATTCAAAGCATATATGGGGGGGGGGGGGGGAAGAGAGCTGGAGTTACACTGCAAAACCTATTTACATGTATGTTCATAATGCATGGACTGCCTGTACATATTTTAAAATACATATAGGCATGAAACAAAGTTTGTGTACATTCAATAATCAGAAAACAAAGAACTCGTACCATTACCTCAGTTACTGATGGAACAATTTTGTATTTTGGAATATTTCAGAATTCTGGATAAGGGAAGCTCAATCTCGACTAATTCCTTGTGGTTGAATAACATAATTATCAGTGATATCATAATTACCAGTGATACTAACTTATTATACATAGGCGAAATGCAGACAGACAGATAAATGAACTTACAGTATTTGTGAGCTCCTTTTTTTTTAAAATGTGAATATGTTTCTAAGGCTTTGCTTTCACAATTATTCTTTCACAATTATTTTTAAATGCATATAGATACCATTTTCTTTTTCCATCAACTTTTTGATGTGCTATGGAAACCTTTGAAGCATCCTTTTTTGTTGTTTTGTTGTCTTCTATTTTCAAACAATGTTAGGAAACAGTATGAATTATTATGAAATGCAGTATTTTCAATATGAGATCGTACCTGTCAACTGTGCATACTGCTTAAAAATATCAAAAGGGCTGGGCCCCATTAGGATGAAAGTATCTATTATTCCACTTTCTGACATCCAGCACACATCGGTTTGAGGCAACGCCCTTCGCTTTGAGACATCTGGCAAAACCTTTATGACAAACACATGTATACACAGAGAGAAAGAGAATGAGAGAATAACAACTGTATACAAGTTTTTCCAAGCAGTCTGAGATGCATTTTTAGGCATACTCCAGTCTTAGGTATCTCAGATGGAAAGCCAACTCAACATCCATTTTGCACCATTATCAGGATATATTTTTAGAATGCCATTCACTCCAATGTGCTTGTGATAACAATTTCTTAAATGAACAAGACTGAGGTGCTGTTCTCACCTTCACTGCGGCTTTAGTCGTAATCTCTACTAAAGTTTCAGAGGAATTCAGCCAAAACACCCCAATGGTTCTGCCAGGTTTGTGTGCTAAGAGCAAGGGTACTGAACCATAAATACCCATTTTACTGTGGATCCTGTATCCAAAGACATCCAGGTTGTAAAGTCGGTACACATCCTCATTGCTGGAACAAGAGACAGATGTTTCGCTTATTCAAAGCACTTTGCTTACATCAGATGCAGTCATACTGTTTGGTTCTGTTCAATGAAAGTGATGGACGTTAGAGAGTTCATAGTAGACTTATAAGGCAAATGGCACTATTAAAAGAAGTCACCCAAGGTACCATATATACTCAAAGATAAGTTGAGTTTTTCAGCCCTTTTTTGGGCAGAAAAAGCCTCCCTCGGTTTATAACGGGGTCAAGCTGGCAGTAGAGCCTGGAGACCATTGCTTGCAATATATGAGTCATTTCTCTCTCCTCTTCCCCTCCCTTATCAGTGTGTTTTCTTTTCCAAATCCTCCCTGGCTCACTGGAGAGGGAGAGAAGCCCTTGCAAGTCAGGAATATCCATTAATCTTATAAAAGCATTTTCCCCTGAAATATTTGTTAATCTCTCCTACAGATATATAGACATTTCCCCCCGAAGACCCTTTGGGAGAAGATTTGCAAACGTTTCAGGGGGAAATGCATATGATAAATTAGTATATATAATTATAGATCTATATCTAGCTTTGCATTGTTTATATAGGCATTGAATGTTTGCCTGTTACTACGTTGGAAGCTAACCTGAGTCCCCATGGGAAGGTAGGCTGGGATACAAATGAAGTTTTATTATTATGATTAGTATAAAGTTATTGTAAATACCATATTGTTTTTGTTGACCCTATTTTTCCACTTATAGAGCTAGTGTACTGTTTTTCTGTGAAATATGGTAAAATTTCAAAACATTTAACCTACTGATTCCTCAATTAATGTAATTTTATTGGTATCTATTTTTATTTTGAAATTTACTGGTAGCTGCTGCATTTCCCACCCTGGGCTCATACTTGAGTCAATACATTCTCCCAGGTTTTTTGTGGTAAAATTTGTTGTTTCGGCTTATATTTGGGCCGGCTTATATTTGAGTATATACGGTAATCGTTTATTTTTAAAATGGGGGTGGGGGGATTCACATGTGCCATTGCGAACCAAAGGTGTGCTCCGTTGATGATATCACTCAGTGCCTTCTGCACTTCCTACATCCTTCTTGGGACACCACTGACTCAGAACTCTTCCCACCTTTAAATGAATATCTAACTTAATTACCTGGTATTTTTAAGGAGAAGTGTTTCTGCATGCTGAGGTATTCCATAGACATGCTGAAATCCATGTAAAGAAAAATCTAAACCTATGCTGCTGGGACCTGGGAAGAGAGCATCAAGACAGAATAAGCAATCTGAGATAATGGAATGTACAACATAAAAATACCTTGTTTAATAATTTATTTAAAACTAACCTCTATTGTAGTTCTTAGTCATCTACTAAATATAGATATGCTGTTGTTAGTAGCTTGTCTCCAAATGATGCTAAAACAGAATTCAGCTAAGAATCAGAGTGGTAAGGGATTGAGCCACCTGGTTTCAGTGTATATTATAAGCAAAGCAGGTTCATCTGTCCATCAGCTCCAGCCTGTTAATTAAATATACCCAATGGCCACAATCAAAAGCAATGAGAAGCAATTAAATTGGAGAATTCTGGTTTACTGTAAATGAGCCGTGCATTCATGCATGTTCCAGCCACCCCCATTTGCCTATTTCTCCCATTGGTAGGAAGCAAAGTAATCTGTATTCCTGATCTGTTGCTCTTCTAACAACTTATATCTTGAATACAGCATATCTTTGCAATTTTTAAGGGATTGACATTTATTGTTATAGCAGAAAGCATAGTGGTGGTGGTGGTGAGCATAGAGGATATAGTTGTATTTTGCAGGGAAACAACTCAGCCAGTAGCCCTCGGTGTTACTCTTAGCATGATGCTAACTCATGAGAACTTAGTTACTACAGGTATTTAAAAGGTTTCTTATCAGTCCATGAACTGTATATGTTCCTAATCACTGTATATGTTCCTAATCACTCTGTTGTGATTAGGAACCTTTGTAGTACTAAATATCTTACTCATTTGCAATCCCACCCACCAAAAGCCCATATTAGAAAAATATTATTGGATATGAACGAAAGTCAAAACATTTCCTTAAACTTACCATTTGCTTTGATGTCTAAAAAGTTGCCAAATTTCTCTTCCCAGAGACCTAGGTCATCCTGATCCTTCTGCATGGGCAAAAATAAGAAAAAATAAGAAAAAATAAGTGGATTTTCATAAACGGCCAATCTAATTTTCAAATTTGGAATCAACTCTCACATTACTATAGGTGCCAGCTGCATTTCTTAGAAAAATCTAAGGCAGGGAAACTTTCTGGCACAAATTACTCTTGGGCTACATTGTGCCAGTGGGTGGGTCTAATGCCATGTGATAGGGTCAAGGATGTGGGGAGAGAGGCCAAAGTAAACTGGGCAAAGGCAAATGTAAATCTTTTATTTGGAATGGTCTCAGATTACGGTTTTTGGATTATGTGATTTTAATGTTTATATTGTTGGGCTTGGCCTCATGTAAGCCGCCCTGAGTCCCCTGAGGAGATGGTGGCGGGGTATAAATAAAGTATTATTATTATCAATAATAATATGTTTTAATGTCTAAATGTGGCTTATGTTTTATGGTTTAATATGATGTATTAGTCTAATTCATCTATATAAATAAAATGTAATGTTCATTTGTGGGATTAACATAACTCAAAAACCACTGGGCGAATTGACACCAAATTTTGACACAATACACCTATTAGGCCAACAAGTGACTATCACAGCAGAAGAGATTTTAAAAGCAAAAAATAAAATAAAAAATACATTACATGCGCAAAACCACATATATACACACATATATAGAAATATATAAACACACACATATACACATATATATACACACACAAAACACATATACACAAACTGGGCCACAGCAACGTGTGGCAGGGGATGGCTAGTAGTTATATATTAATGTCGTTTTTATGTTTTGGTTTTTCACATGTATGTTTGGCATTACATTTTTGCCGTGTCTATTTTGAAAACCGCTTTAAATCCCCCCAGGGGGTGAAAAACGTGGTACATACAGTAAATAAACTGAAATAAATAAATAAATAAATAAATACACAATTCATGTTTTGATGGATATTCCCAACCAAGAACACAATTCTACATATGCTTACTAAGAAGAAGGTCCTAATACAGAAACCTTCAAACCAGCTTGCTTCAAAACATCCCCATTCAGAAGTAAGCCTCCATACCAAACTTTCAGGCATAAAAATCTACTGAGAAGTTTAAATACCCAGTAAAGAATGTGGCATTTGCATTTTCAATGACTTTAAAATCACTGATCAGAAATAAGAGTGGGTAGAGTGGAATGAGGGGGAACTGTAAAGCAGCAAAAGAATAGAGGACCTGACTGACTTAGTACATTCTGATGACATCCTCAGTCATCCTTTAGCCCAGACATGAGCAAACTTCAGCCCTCTGGTGTTTTGGACTTCAACTTCCACAATTCCTAATAGCCTAGTCCATTGTTACCATTGGGAAACTGATTAGTTTAAAAGAGGTATATGGAAACAAAGTGATTTTGATGATGTATAGAGAAAATTTATTGAAAAAGGATTTAAAAAGAAAGAACGAAAGTTACCTCCACAAGAAGAATTGAAATTTTGGACAGATGATATGTAAAAGCTATGGCTTGGGGGGGGGGGGGGGGGGGGGGGGGGGGAGGAGCACAGTGGTGAGGGATAGATAATATGTATAAGCAGAAAAATAACAGTAGATACCAAAAGTTAAAGTATGGTACGTTGTATTGAATAATATGTATCTGCTGTAAAATAAACAATATATAACAAATGTATTGAACTATGATAAAATAAAAAATATTTTTAAAAGGGAATCCAATTAGTCTCTTCAACAAATTCACAAGCCAGAAGTCGATTAACTAGTTTTACCTTAGAAGAATTTGTGGATCCATCTTTCTTTTCTTGCAATGTAGATGTCCTGTGATATATATATTTTAAAAAATCAGGAATAATTACTTGGCATCTCTCTATATAATTAGCTACAAATCAGCATTGCTAATTTGAATAAGATGTGTTTCTCAGAAAGAATGTGAAATATTACAGTCTTAGATGTATGACTATCTCCTAAACTGCACCCACCTAGACAGTAAAATTATATACCTGGTTTGGGGTGGTGGCTGTAACTGCTCAAAATACAATAGGTCATTTGAGTTGATGCTCAGAACCATTTCACCTTTAGAAACAAGTTGTATCTGGAAAGGATTTGCTGTTATGTGGAGCTGTTGGTCTTCACTAGCACAAGCCAACACAAGCTTGTCTGCATCTTTCTCTAATATAGTTAGCCTAGGAAATGCAGAGAGACAGTAGCAGATAAAACTTTTGAAAATTCATCCTCAAATCATGTACAACAGTAAATCAACTGAATGATCCTATTATATAAAACCACCAGATTGTAATTATATGGGGCATGTGTAGTATCTTTTCATACCTGTATACACTCAAAATATGAACGTAGAGATGTATGTGTTGGGTTTCATCCCTGGACTGCACACACAAGTCTTTGTTTCATCAAGTTTCTAGTCCTCAATGAGTAGCTAGACTAGAGATAGGGCCAAGCTCGGGGATTCTTTTCCCTACATTATGTTTTTAAAAGGCTTTGTTTTTGTCTTTACTTTTAAGCCACTGTCTCCCCCACCCTTTGATGACGTAGTAATGAAATTCTGTGACGGAACCTCCTTTTAAGTTTAAAATTGCCCCGGGAAAGCCATGCAGTCTCCACCATGTTACTTCTTTTTTTTCTCTCTGTGAGGACGCATTTTGCCTCTCTGTAGGTAAAATGTAGCTGCATGGACTTTTGTACCTTTTACCTTCTTTAGAAGATGAGATTTAGCAAGTTAGTTAGCTCTAACTACCTCATCACACTAGAAAATTAATCCACTTTAAATCCAGTTGCTGCCTCCTGCAGAATTCTGGAGTTTGTAGTTTAGGAATGAGCCTTTAACATCCTCACCAATCTACAAATCCCAGAATTCTACAGGAGACAGAAACCGGATTTAAAGTGGAGTCATTTCTCTAGTGTGAGGAAGTAGCAAGACTTTTCAATCAATAATGTATTTCCTTTTTACTTTAATACATCTCTTGAATCTAAAGATTGACTCTGCAATCCTCTGCCATCCCAAAGATTATTTATTTATTTATTTACTCAATTTATATACTGCTTTTCTCAGCCCTGGGGCGACTCAAAGCGGTTTACAGTAGCAAAATTCAATGCTTGAACATCATAAAACAGATTAAAACAATTAAAAACCATAGCATCAATATACAAACATTACAAAGTCAATACTACGTAACTCATGGTGTCTCTTAGTTAAAATCAAGATCCAATCTCGTCATCTAGTCGTTTCATGTTCCAATATTTGTTACACTGCCTTTTCAAATGCCTGCTTGAATAACCAGGTCTTAACCTTCCTACGAAATGCTAACAGAGAAGGGACCAATCTAATATCTCTGGGAAGGGCGTTCCATAGCTGAGGGGCCACCACTGAAAAGGCCCTGTCTCTCGTCCCTGCCAAACGTACTTGTGACGAAGGCGAGATCGAGAGCAAGGCCTCCCCAGACAATCTTAACGTCCTAGCTGGTTCAGAGGAGGAGATTAAAAGGCAATTCCTGCTCACCACATCTAAGTTTCTACTTCTTATAGAGCCTACTCCTGGTACTCTGCTACATTTTGGTGGAATTACCCTAACTGAGGTTATTTTTGAGCCTAACCGCTCCGATTTCCCAACAATATGTTCTGATATGAAAGAGCTCTTCAAGCACATTCTGAATGCAGATCACCCAAATTAAGCAATGGGAATAAATGATGAAAAATGAATTGTATGCACATACATTCCGAATCTATTTTATTTGGCAAATTTTATAATTGATACTCTCACCTCAGAGAGTTTTTCAACACTGAGCTTCCGGTGGAGAAACAGGAAGGGAAAATATTATGCAGTATTAATTTCTGTTAATTGATTACTTTCTACACCCTCAATAGTCTCTAATTTTAAACAATGCTGAATGAGATGTGCAAAGCACCTGAATAGCCACATTCCATAGCTTACCTGAGGCTGGATGGTTCCTTTATAAGAACATCAGGGACTTCATATCTTGGTTTAAGGGGTGTTATTTCATTAATTTTAAGTCTGAAAATTTTGCCTTCTATTTCATAAACTTCTACTAAAAGGGGATCCTGGTAATGTAAAAATAAAGGAATAATAATTAGAATCTATATGTGGACAACAAATTACATTGGTCTGGGTTAGACTTGTCTTTTCACATGACCTCCATTTCTGGGAGTTGTAGTTCACCTACATCTGGAGACACTGTGACTACTACCAACAATAGACCGGGATCAAACTTGTCACACAGATCCTCCATGACCAACTGAACCTACTATAAGGGTCTGAGGGGACTGACACACCATGGTGGGAGTTGTAGTTTACCGTGCAGCCAGAGTGCACACGGATCCCACCGATAATGCATCTAGAGCAAACTTTCTCAACATGACAAACGAAATACTGATTGAGTTTCAGAGACTTAACCTGGCAAGATGTCAGTTGCAGTTAATCCACAACCTTATGCATTTTGTACAATTAAAAAAATGACTTTTTTCAAATAACCTGGGCAACGCCGGGTACCCAAGTTAGTATCTACTAAAATGGAAGCTTAATTTTTTTACTGTAATTGTCCAAGATTTTTCTTAATCAGTTACTTCCCAAATATATTTCTCACCTTGTATTCTTCACTGATAATTTGGAATTTGACATTGCTGTTGGATAATTCCACTGTGTCCAGCAAGATCCGGTATAAGGGCTTCCCAGGACGCAAATGTTTCTGCCTCCTGATTGAAACAACGCAAAGGGAACAGACTCGGTTAACTGACTTCTGCAATTAATTACGTGTTCACTTAACTCCTGATACAATCAAAAGGACATAAACAGTCTTGAAGCACAACTTTATATGAATTGTGAAGTGTACTAAAACCAAAGTAATATATGACATAACTTTACTTTTCATCTTTCAATTTTTGTTTTTTATTTGTTTAGAAATAGAAAATACAATTGAATGCGTTGTTGAAGGCTTTCATGGCTGGAATTACTGGGTTGCTATGAGTTTTCCGGGCTGTATGACCATGTTCCAGAAGCATTCTCTCCTGATGTTTTGCCCACATCTATGACAAGCATCCTCTGAGATTGGAAGGTCTGTCAGAAACTAGGCAAGAGGGCTTCATACTTTAGCAAAGGACAAGAGGGATCCTCTCACCTCTGCAGGAGTCTACCATATACCATGCAGCTGTGGACAAGTCTACATAGAGACCACCAAATGCACTGCACAAACTCTAATCAAGGAACATGAAAGGCACTGCAGACTACTTCAACCAGAGAAGTCAGCCATAGCAGAGCACCTGATGAACCAACCTGGACACACAGCATATTATTTGTGAACTCAGAAATGCTGGACCACTCTAAAAACTACCATGTCAGACTACACAGAGAAGCCATTGAAATCCACAAGCATGTGGACAATTTCAACAGAAAGGAAGAAACCTGAAAATAAACCAAATTTGGCTACCAGTATTTAAAAAACTCTAAAAGCAGCATAGTAAATAAAGAACAACACTCAGAAAACAGGGGAATTCCAGATAGAAAACAATCAGGGCCAGCTAATCACCTCCCAACAATGGATTTCCCCCCAGGCAGGAAGCAGCCAGGCTTTGAAGCTGCAAAGATATTCAATGCTAACTAAGCTTGCCAATTCAACATTCACACTTGCCTCCAACAGACAAGAGTCCTTTTTCTCACCCTACACATCCCACGATATATAAACCCCGCGTGCCTATTTTCCAACAGACCTCATAACCCCTGAGGCTGCCTACCATAGATGTGGGCGAAATGTCAGGAGATAATGCTTTTGAAACATGGCCATGCAGCCCGGAAAACTCACAGCAACCAAATGCAATTTAATTTATTCATAGCCTTTCTTTCTTCAACAAAGTACATATTAATAACTCCATTTGGAATTCTTGGTTTATCCTTATGACCATCATCCTTTCATGATACATTCTTGTCCTTAATTTACTTCTACAATTACTTGCATTGTCAAAAAGTGCACCTACACTGTCGAATTAATGTGGGTTGACACCACTTCAACAGCCATGGATCAATGCTATGGAATTATGGCAGTTATAGTTTTACTAGGTCTTAGCTTTCTCTGACAAAGAATATTGGTGCCTCTCCAAACTACAGCTCTTACAATTATAAATCATTGAGTCATTGCAGTAAAGTAGCATCAAACTGCATTCATTCTACAGTGTAGATGAACACTCAGTTATCGTGAGAAGATTGTGAAGTAGTGAAATTTAAGGAGGAAGTGGTGTTAATGTGATTCATCCTGAAACTGGTCTCCATAAGCTTTTGCAACAGCGAGTTTGAATAGTGAAAGTATTTTTTTTGCTAAAAAAGAATAATTTCCTGTCATGAAGAACCTCAGCTAGAAAGAGATTCACCTTTCAGAAAAGGCTTTTAATATGCTTTCTGCAATAAACAACTCACTGTAAGGTCATTTCTCACAACAGCATACAAAGTAGATGGGTAAGGTACTCAGATCATATTTTTTTGCTCCCATATTCTCTCTCTTATTTGCAAAAGAAGTTCTCATCAAGATTGCTACCACCTGGCAAGAAAATCTGTTCAAAACTTTGGGCTAAATTACAGTAGATCTGGATTTAACTGTACCATGGCATGTTTGTTAATCTATATAGCTCAACCATTTCAAAGCTCCCTGCTCTAGTAGGGGTGACACGATCGTCAGCATAGATGAAACTGTCTGTCCCTTCTGGCAGCGACTCATTTGTGTAAATGTTAAACATGGGTGGAGCAAGCACGCTCCCTTGAGGAAGGCCGTTCTTCTGTTTTCGCCATCTGTTTCTCTCGCCCTAGAACTCAACAAAAAAGCTTTTGTTTTGTAGCAGATTTTATATGAAGTGGGTGAGGTGGTAGCCCTTTGTGATAGCATAAATTCTGTGTGCCCAGGAGAGACTCCTTCCTGGGCACACAGAAGACTGGGCGACTTGGAAGGCGCTGAACAGACTGTGCTCTGGCACCACGAAATGCAGAGCTAACTTTAAGAAATGGGGCTACAACATGGAGATCACGACGTACAAGTGTGGAGAAAAGCAAACCACAGACCACCTACAATAGTGCAACCTGAGCCCTGCCTCATGCAGAATGGAGGACTTTCTCACAGCGACACCAGAGGCACTCCAAGTGGCCAGCTTCTGGTCAAAGGACATTTAGCATAATTCCTGGGCAACGTCTTTGCAGATGGCCAATTTTCTCACACCAGAAGTGACTTGCAGTTTCTCAAGTCGCTCCTGGCACGACAAACAAAAGAAGAAGCATAATTCCAAGTTTTTAACTTTCTTTGTGTTTTTAAATGGATTATAACTGTACCCAATTCGCTTCTGACACAATGAATAAATATCTATATATCTTTGTTGCATTGTGTTTATGAAGTAAATTGAACTAAGCCTGGAACATCAAAAACCTCACTTATATACTGCATTGAGTTGAAGACAAATCACTATGTAACATGATTTTTGTTCCTGGGTTATAAATGTCACTTCCTAATTGGTCCTATCATAAAAATTTGGAAAAAGTTTATTAAACTGCAAAAACCACAGCACATTTTGCTTCTGTTTTTTAATGAATATCTCATAGAGTCTCAACCAATTCAACACAGTTTGCAGCAGTTTCTGGAGTATAACAACTACTTTCAAAGTTAAGTACCATACAATTAAACAAGAATAACACTTTCAAACTAGGAACAGATTTTTTTTCAAATTTTGTTACATAGTGTATTGTTAGCCCAAGTATGGGCAAACTTGGGCCTTCTAGGTGTTTTGGACTTTAACTCCCATCATTCCTAAGTGGCTGAGGGGGAAAGGAAGGGGCCTGAGGCTGTTAGGAATGGTAGGAGTTGATGTCCAAAACATCTGGAGGCCCCAAGTTTCCCCATGCCTGTGTTAGCTCCTCAGGCATGATACACAATGAGGACAGATTTCCCTTACCTGTAGAAGGCAATCTGTCTGCATGTCTTAAACTGGCTTTCCTCCACGGCCTCATCCTGGACACTGGATAAAAGACAGTGTAATTTAACCTCCCACTGAAAAAAGAGAAGTATAAACCATATACACTGGCAATAACTCATTTTGTCCAATGTTGGCTTGTTTTACTGAAGAGTCTGAATAAATGCAGCTCAACGCCACTTTTGATTGCCATGGCTCAATGGAATGCAATCTTGGGAGTTGTAGGTTTATAACAGTGTTTCTCAACCTGAGGGTTGGGACCCCTGAGGGAGTTGCAAGGAGGTTTCAGATGAGTCACCATAGACCATCAGAAAACATGTATTTCTGATGGTCTTGGGAATCCCTTTGACAGAGAAGGCTGAAGATCTCTCCACCTGTCCTTCTTTTCCTTTTTGGAAACAGATGGCGAATCCTCCCACCAAAAACCCTCCTCCACTGTGACTGGCCAGCCTCTCAGCCAAGGGGAAGGCTATTCCTGAGACTCCAAGTGGGGAGGTGAGGGAAGGCATGCTCAGTGCATGTGTGGGCAAGGGAGAGCACGCGAGGCTGGAGGGAGGCTGCCAGGGAGTCTCTTCAAGGCATGGGGATTCTTTGTGGGAAGTTTAGCCCAATTCTATTGTTGGTGGGGCTCAGAGTGCTCGTTCATTACAAGTGAACTACAACTCCAAAACAAAAGGCCAATGCCCACCAACCCTTCCAGTATTTTCTGTTGGTCATGGGAGTTCTGTGTACCAAGTTTTGTAGTTCGGCCAGCTGATGACAATAAGGATTTTGGGTGTGCAGGGGCTGATGGTTTTTTGGGTGCTTAGACAGAGGGGGTATTGGAGCAAGATGGTTCTCCGGTTAGGAAAACTGAGGGGGGTTTGGAGCAAGATGCTGTTTCTGAGTGTGGGAATGAAACTACTTCAAAAGCTGACAGGCAGGGAAGGGAGGATAACATGAGTTCATCTGAAGAAGCAGCTAGCTTAGACAGGGATACCAGGCTGCTCCTGCGGGGGAAGAAATTCAGGTGCAAGCAAAGCCATGGGAAGGAGTGGCAGAAGCAGGCCTTTCAAGGTCAGCGGAACACCTTCATGTATTGCAGCCCTTACATTAGGGAGAGAGCTGTTTGGATTTTTAGATCAAGCAACGTGGCTACTGGAGGGGGAAACTCCTGTCCTGTTCCTGGTTATGCTCTAAACTCAAGACCCAAGATTCCTAGACAAGTTTTGCTTCTTCCATTAAGGATTTTACTTATGGATTCAAGCTCTTGTTTTGTTCCTTGTTTTCTGGATTGATGTTCAAGTTTTAACTCTTGTTTTGGGGATTTATTTTTTGCCTACGGGACTTGCTTTGTATATACACGCTTGGATTTTTACTCTATTATTTGCTTAAGGTGCTTCTGACCCTTTCTTATATGTGTTTTATCAATAAACTGTTTAATACCACGACTGGTTTCCTGGTGAGTGCTTTGAGCAAGGTGAACTCCTGCTGAGGTGCAACACCAAGTTTGGTTCAATTCCATTGTTGGTGGAGTTCAGAATGCTCTTTGATTGTAGGTGAACTATAAATCCCAGAATCTACAACTCCCAAATGACAAAATCAATTCCTCCAACTCCACCAGTATTCAAATTTGGGTGTATCGGGTATTTGTGCCAAATTTGGTCCAGTGAATTAAAATACATCCTGTATGCCAGATATTTACATTACGATTCATAACATATAGTTATGAAGTGGCAACGAAAACAATTTTATGGTTGGGGGTCACCACAACATGAGGAACTGTGTTAAGGGGTCACAGCATTAGGAAGGCTGAGAAACACAGGTTTGAAATGTCTCAGCCTTCTCTGCCAAAGAGGGCTGGTGCCTCACAGAATCATAGAGTTGGAAGAGACCTCATGGGCCATCCAGTCCAGCCCTCTGCCAAGAAGCAGGAAAACTGCATTCAAAGCACCCCCAACAGATGGCCATCCAGCCTCTGTTTAAAAGCTTCCAAAGGAGCCTCTACCACACTCTGGGGCAGAGAGTTCCACTGCTGAACAGCTCTCAGAGTCAGGAAATTCTTCCTAATGTTCAGATGGAACAAAAGTATAAATCCCAGCATTCCATAACACTCGCCAAACTATAAATCCCAGCATTCCATAGCACTGACCCATGCTATTAACTGTAGTGTACAGCCAGCCTCTATTTAGCTTTGCAAGATTAAGAATGAATGAAAAATCAAAGCCAAAGGAACAGGGAGAGGAGTAATCAGCAAAAATACAATATTTTCTCTCCCCTTCTGCTGTCAATCATGCTTTGGTTTTTATATCTCTCTGTTTAGGTTTGCAAAGCAACTCTTGCAGAATCATGGGAGTTGTTTACCTGACTTGTTCCTGGCTACCTGAAGCCATGGCATTCCTCCACGGAGCTCTTCTGGGAGGGGAAAGTCTGCTCCCTGCCCTCCTCAATCCTCGTTGAGGGTTACTTAGAGATAAGGAAGCGCAGGGTAAAGTCTTCAGCCAATGGCGAGTTTGGCTTTCAGGTCCCGCGCAGCATGCTGGGAAATGGAGTTTTTTCTTTCTGAGACTGGCACACGCTGATTACCTTGGCAAGATCACAGAATCATGGAGCTGGAAGAGACCTCGTGGGCCACTCTAAACACCTTTGCAGAAGCATACGAGAAGCTCGACCTGTCATTGAGCATCGAGAAAACCAAAGTGCTCTTCCAGCAGTCACCAGCCAATCCCTCTCCAATGCCAGAAATATAGCTTAACAGTGTAGCATTAGAAAATGTTGACCATTTCCATTACCTTGGCAGCCACCTCTCCACAAAGGTCAACATTGACACTGAAATACAACACCGCCTGAGCTCTGCGAGTGCAGCATTTCTCTGAATGAAGCAGAGAGTGTTTGAGGACATCCGTAGGGAGACCAAGGTGCTTGTCTATAAAGTTATTGTCCTCCCAACCCTGCTATATGCCTATCTACAGGCGTCACATGCAACTCCTAGAACAATTCCATCAGCGCTGCCTCTGAAAAACCCTGCAAATCTCCTGGGAACACAGGTGGATAAACACAGGTGGATAAATGTCAACTACAACCCTCGGTATTCCATAGCATTGACTCGTGATAGCTAAAAGGGTATCAAACTGCATTCAGGGCCCTTCCACACAGCCATAGAAACCAGAATATCAAGGCAGGAAATCCCACAATATCAGCTTTGAACTGCCATATATCCCTTACTTACTCGTCCGAGTAGGATAGTCTTCCAGGATCAGTGTACTGGCGGTGGGTCTGTAGGTGACTGTGGAGCCCTATTCTTGATCTGCATCTTCTGCAGTGAGGACATTGGTTTCCAGGTGGAAAGCGGTCCCAGTCTTCTTGGCACGTTTCTCTCTTTAGCCCTCCATTTGTGCCTCTTCAAATTCTACAGCACTGCTGGTCACAGCTGACCTCCAGCTGGAGCACTCAAGGGCTCAGTGTCTATGCCAGAGTTTTCAAGGTTGGCTTTGAACCCATCTTTAAATCTCTTTTCCTGCCCACCAACATTCCGTTTTCCATTCTTGAGTTCGGAGTAGAGCAACTGCTTTGGGAGATGGTGGTCGGGCATCTGGATAAAATGGCCGGTTCAGCGGATTTGATGGCGGAGGACCATCTCTTCAATGCTGGTGGTCTTTGCTTCTTCCAGCACGCTGACATTTGTCCACTTGTCTTCCCAAGAGATTTGCAGGATTTTTCAGAGGCAGCACAGATGGAATCGTTCCAGGAGTTGCATGTGACGTCTGTAGACAGTCCACGTCTCACAGGCGTATAGCAGGGTTGGGAGGACAATAGCTTTATAAACAAGCACCTTGGTATCCCTACGGATGTCCCGGTCCTCAAACACTCTCTGCTTCATTTGGAAAAATGCTGCACTCGCAGAGCTCAGGCATTGTTGTATTTCAGTGTCAATGTTGACTTTTTTTGGAGTGGTGGCTGCCAAGGTAGTGGAAACATTTTCTAATATTACACCATTAAGCTATATTTCTGGCATTGGAGAAGGATTGGCTGGTGACTGCTGGAAGAGCACTTTGGTTTTCTCGATAATAATAATAAATAATAAAACTTTATTTATACCCCGCTCCATGTCCCCCAAGGGGACTCGGTGCGGCTTACATGAGGCCAAGCCCATCAGTGCAGTACATACATTATAACACAAAAACATAACAATAACCAGAAAATAAAATAGAATCATAGAATCATAGAGTTGGAAGAGACCTCATGAGCCATCCAGTCCAACCCCCTACCAAGAAGCAGGAATATTGCATTCAAAGCACCCCTGACAGATGGCCATCCAGCCTCTGTTTAAAAGCTTCCAAAGAAGGAGCCTCCACCACACTCCGGGGCAGAGAGTTCCACTGCTGAACAGCTCTCACAGTCAGGAAGTTCTTCCTAATGTTCAGATGGAATCTCTTTTCTTGTTTGAAGCCATTGTTCCGTGTCCTAGTCTCCAGGGAAGCAGAAAACAAAGCTGATATTGTGGGATTTCCTGCCTTGATATTCTGGGTTCTATGGCTTTGTGGAAGGGCCCTGAATGCAGTTTGATCCCCTTTTAGCTATCACTTGCTCCCTTATCCCTGTGATTTCCTCTCACATATTTATACATGGCCATCATGTCTCCTCTCAGCCTTCTCTTCTTCAGGCTAAACATGCCCAGCTCTTTAAGCCGCTTCTCATAGGGCTTGTTCTCCAGACCCTTGATCATTTTAGTCGCCCTCCTCTGGACACATTCCAGCTTGTCAATATCTCTCTTCAATTGTGGTGCCCAGAATTGGACACAATATTCCAGATGTGGTCTAACCAAGGCAGAATAGAGGAGTAGCATGACTTCCCTAGATCTAGACACTGTGCTCCTATTGATGCATAAAATGCAAAGAAATATAATAGACGACAACAGATAACATAAAACATGCAATTAAAAACAGAGGATTTCACTAAGCAGGGACACCTTCAAGGCTAATTTTTTTTTAAAAAAATTAAAACTCTGGGGGTTAGGATGGTGCAGATCATCAGGATGAGGATCCGAGAATGAGGGAGGATTCAATGTTCAATGACAGGCCGATGTTCAATGACAGGCCGAGCTTCTCGTATACTTCTGCAAAGGTGTTTAGAGAGGCTTATAGGTTTTCACTTCACTTCACTTCACTTTATTTCTTAATTAGTCGCTCTCCACCAAGGTGCTCCGAGCGACTTACAGTCTAAAATAGCATTTACACAATATAAAAACATTCAACATAAAAACATTCAACAGTGACTACTTGGCAAATTAGATCTGATTACTTAAATGCACAACCAAACAGCCAAGTCTTGAGTGCTTTTTCTTCTGAATGCGCATAGATGACATTGTCATCAGTATATGTTGTTGTTCATTCGTTCAGTCGTCTCCGACTCTTCGTGACCTCATGGACCAGCCCACGCCAGAGCTCCCTGTCGGCCGTCACCACCCTCAGCTCCTTCAAGGTCAGTCCAGTCTTATATATATCCCAGTTCAAAACAGTTGTGTGATTTTACTCAGCTGTGTGGAAGGGGCCTAGGTTATCTGAGTCCTCACTGCTATATATTTCAGTTCAAAGCTGATATTGTGGGATTTCCTGCCTTGATATTCTGGGTTATATGGCTGTGTGGAAGGGCCCTCAAACTGCATTCACTCTCCAGTATTGACACCTAACATTCTTACGCCACTAGTCCTTCATTACGACCATTAGAATGACAGGCCGTAAATCTGACATCTCGCCGCGCCCACTGGAACTCAGAGACAGCCTGCCTGAGCCAATCCGGGGGCGCCCCATCACCCAAGCCCCGCCCAGAATCCCAGGAGCGGAAGGGGCGGAGCCTGGGCTGTGGCGCGCCTTCGCGGTTTGACAGTTTCGCGGTGGCGCTTTGCGGAATGATGCCGCCGCCGCCGCTTCAGCAGGAAGGAGGACGGAGGCGGCTCTGCTCCGGGCCGGTGCTGTGGCTGCTCCCGCTCTTCTTGGCGGGGCTTCCGGACCCGGTGGAGGGCGGGCAGGTCTCCAAATGGCGGCTGCCGGTTCCCATGGTGAGCGAGGAGAGAGAGCAGGGCTGCCCAGGCTTCACTTCCTCATCTGGGATTCCAACCTGACCCTGGACTCAAGGCCTGAACCTGACCCTGAACTCAAGCCTCTTCACACTTCTGGTTTTTAGTAGTATTATTTTGCTTCAGCTGCTAGGGCAGCAGACTGTGGAATCCTGGGATTTGCAGTATTTGGGGAGGTATGGCATAGCCATGCCTCCCCAAATACTGCAAATCCCAGGATTCCACAGTCTGCTGCCCTAGCAGCTGTCATTCTGGAGTGTGAATGAGCCTTTAATGTTTGGTTGTGCTTCCCTGCAGTGCCCCCCTCCTTCTTTTGGTGGTTTTTTAAAGCAGAGGCTGGATGGCCATCTGTCGGGAGTGATTTGATTGCATGGCAACAAAAGGGGGTTGGACTGCATAATAATAATAATAATAATAATAATAATAATAATAGAGTGTTCCCTTGCTATTTCGCGGTTCGCTTATTGCAGACTCGCTGTTTCACGAATTTCAAAAATATTATATATATATATTTGCTGTTTTGTGGGGTTTTGCCACAACCTCTCTCCAAGGCGCTTTCCCTCCTCAGTCCTCCCTCCCTCCCACCTTTCCTTCCTTCCTTTCCTTCACTTTATTTTAAGTTTATAAAGACTTAAAATAGTGTATAACTACTAAAATAATGTATAAATATTAAAATAAATATGGCAACAAGAATGATTGACAACTGGAAAATAGAGGGAGAAACCGTGGGAGGCCGTGACAGACTTTGTATTTCTAGGTGCAAAGATCACTGCAGATGCAGACTGTGGCCAGGAAATCAGAAGACACTTACTTCTTGGGAGGAGAGCAATGTCCAGTCTCGATAAAATAGTAAAGAGTAGAGACATCACACTGGCAACAAAGATCCACATAGTTAAAGCAATGCTATTCCCCATAGTCACCTACAGATGTGAGAGCTGGACCATAGGGAAGGCTGAGCGAAGGAAGATCGATGCTTTTGAACTGTGGTGTTGGAGGAAAGTTCTGAGAGTGCCTTGGACTGCGAGAAGATCCAACCAGTCCATCCTCCAGGAAATAAAGCCCAAATGCTCACTGGAGGGAAAGATACTAGAGACAAAGTTGAAGTACTTTGGCCACATCATGAGGAGACAGGAAAGCCTAGAGAAGACAATTATGCTGGGGAAAGTGGAAGGCAAAAGGAAGAGGGGCCGACCAAGGGCAAGATGGATGGATGGCATCCTTGAAGTGACTGGACTGACCTTGAGGGAGCTGGGGGTGGTAATGGCCGACAGGGAGCTCTGGCGTGGGCTGGTCCATGAGATCACGAAGAGTCGGAGACGACTGAACGAATGAACAACAACAACACTGCGGTTTTTCACTTATTGCGGGAGGTCCTGGAACCTAACTCTAGTAATAAGTGAGGGAACACTGTAATAATAACAGGTCTGGCACAAGTAAAGGTGGTCCCAGTGGTGATCGGCACACTGGGTGCAGTGCCTAAAGACCTTGGCCTGCACTTAAACACAATCAGCGCTGACAAAATTACCATCTGTCAGTTGCAAAAGGCCACCCTTCTGGGATCTGCATGTATTATTATTTCACAGAGTCCTAGACACGTGGGAAGTGTCTGAGATGTGATACAATACAACAGCCAGCAGAATGACCTTGTTTGCTGTGTACTGATCTTATTTATTTATTTATTTATTTACTGTACTTGTATACCGCTGTTTCTCAGCCTAGCTGGCGACTCAACGCGGTTTACAACAAAATACCAAATACAATAGTCAACAGTATACAATTTAAAACCATAAAAACATAATACAACAATCTTGTTGTGTTTCAAATAATAATAAACTTTATTTATATCCCGCCCTGTCTTTCCAATGGGGGACTCAAGGCATTTTTTTTTAATCGTGTCAGGAGCGACTTGAGAAACTGCGAGTCGCTTCTGGTGTGAGAGAATTGGCCGTCTGCAAGGACGTTGCCCAGGGGACGCCCGGATGATTTGATGTTTTTATCATCCTTGTGGGAGGCTTCTCTTATGTCCCCGCATGAGGAGCTGGAGCTGATAGAGGGAGCTCATCCGCCTCTTCCCAGATTCGAACCTGCAACCTTCAGTCCTGCCGGCACAGGGGTTTAACCCACTGCGCCACCGGGGGCTCCATACTCAAGGCAGTTAACAACATACAGCGGCAAATATTCCAGGGTCAGTCTGAGTCATCATTATGTTAATTTATATTAAAATAATGTAATATAATTCTAAGGCAAAAGTGTCTGTAGAAGTCCCTTTTCTTCTATAGTAGCATCTTCCTGGTACAGATGGCCCTTGTGGTCCCTTCCAACTCTATGAATCTATATAGCATCATCATAATATAATATAATATAATATAATATAATATAATATAATATAATATAATATGATTCTATGACAAAAAGGTATGTAGAAGTCCCATAATAATAATAATAATAATAATAATAATAATAATAATAATAATAATAATAAAAGAGTCGGGGTGGCTTACAACAATCAACAGATACAGAAAATAACATAACAATATACCATAGCAATAAACGATTATCACACCTTTTTCCTCTATAGCAGACATGGGCAAACTTCGACCCTCCAAGTGTTTTGGACTTCGACTCTCAGAAGTCTTAACAGCCGGTAGGCCATTAGGGATTGGGGGAGTCCAAAACACCTGAGGGGGGGGGGCAAAGTTTGCCCATGCCTGCTCTCAAGTAACATCTTCCCGCTACAGACTTCCCATAAGAGGATTTGAGTGTTATGTATTATTATTATTATTATTATTATTATTATTATTATTATTATTATATTTATTTACATCCCACTTTTTCTCTCCACAAAGCGGCTTACATTAAAAGCATTTCAATACAATTTTAAAATATGCAAATTTACAAATATTAAAACAGAATTAAATATCACAATTCAATTAAATGAGGATTAAAACATTAAAGAGGAAAGGATGCTGATGTTGAAAAATTTATAGCCTTCTAAAAAAAGTGGAAAAGTGTCTCCAATGTATTTTAAATACTGTTAAATATATGTTTTGTTTCATATTATGATAATTGGCCTACCAATTGGCCTAATGTGGTGTAATGAATATGTATACATAAGTAGACAAATTCTACAAAGAGTTAAGGGCCAGTGTAGATATTGTTTTAAATTGCCATTAAAGATCATGAGATCTGGATGATAAGACTGGAGGGCGTTGTGACCAGAGATCACAATGGCTAGTTTTGTTTGCACAAGGAAGTTGCCGCTGTAAGTATGGAAGGAACTTCTCCAGTGTTGCCATATTTGCACAAGATTATTTGCACTGGGAACGCTTCGAAATGATTGTCTTCACTGGCTGTTGTCGCTCAGATCAGAAGCTTGCCTTTTATAATTATAGTGAATACAGAGATAAATATCAAAAAAAGAGGTAAAATCCAGGACAAGTTTTGTGTGAAGTGACAATTCTTATACATTTTATTTTTCATTTATATCCACCCCTCTTCCAAAGAACTCCTTCAGGAAGAATATATACCATAGTTCTCCCTCTTCTCTTTTATGCCCCCAGTGCTTCGTGATGTATATTCAGCTGAGAAACAATGGCTGGTTCAATGTGTTATCGAAGGCTTTCATGGCTGGAATCACTGGGTTGCTGTGAGATTTCCGGGCTGTATGACCAGAAGCATTTTCTCCTGACATTTCACCCACATTCTGTGGCAGGCATCCTCAGAGGTTGTGAGGTCATTTGGAAACTAGGCAAGAGAGGTTTATATATCCAAGTGAGGTTTATATATCCAGAATGTACAGAATGGGAAAAAGAACTCTTGTCTGTTTGAGGCAAATGTGAATGCTGCAATTGGCCACCTTGATTAGCATTTAATGGTATTGCAGCTTCAAAATATGGCTACCAGTATTTTAAAAAAACCCTCTAAAATCAAGACAGTGAATACAGAACAACAGAATTCCAGACAAGAATGAATCAAGGCCAGTTAACGCCTCCCAAAAAGGATCCCCCAGGCAGCAAGCAGCCAGGCTTTGAAGCTGCAAGGCCATTCAATGCTAATCAAGGTGTCCAATTGCAACATTCATACTTTCTTCTAACAGACAAGAGTTCTTTCACTCGCCCTGGTCATTCCACAAATATATAAACCTCACTTGCCTAGTTTCCAAGAGGCCTCACAATCTCTGAGGATGCCTGCCACAGATGTGGACAAAACATCAAGAGAGAATGCTTCTGGAACATGGCCATACAGCCCAGAAAACTCACAGCATCCCAATGACTGGTTCAGTGTTCCCGAATGAGGATTTGAACCAGGATGCCCTGGGCCTCACTCAGCACTGCTTCACATGGCTACATATATGTAGCAGACAAAAACAAAAAACAAACACAGACATGACAACTTTGGTCAATTCTGGTTGGACGCTATTGCTTCTGCATCATTCTCCAGAGAACAGAAGATACACATTATATGTGTTTTAGAACTATTTTGATCAGATATGAAAACATAGGCGAATTGGTTTTTATTTTTCCAAGTTGGAGCAGATAATAATGTTGACCTATTCATATACAGTATATGGGGTCTTAGGAACCAACTGTGAGTGTAGGAGAAAAGAGTTTGAGACCTCATTTGGCCAAGAAATTAATTTGATGACTCTGGGCAAGTCATACTTGCTCAGAGGAAGGCAATTGCAAACCTCTTCTTGCCAAGAAAATCCTGTGATAGGTTCGCCTTATGGCTACCGTAGGTTGGAAACAACTTGAGGGCACACAACAACCACTATAGTAGTTCTTATGTAGTTGTTTTTGTTCGCTGAATGTTAATGAGCTGCACTGTATGTGCGAACCAACTTCTTTAACCTCATTTTGTTTTACTCACATTTAAAACCCTTCTACACAGCCATAGAACCCAGAATATCAAGGCAGAAAACCCCACATATCTGCTTTGAATTGGGTTATCTTAGTCCACACTGCCATATATTCCATTTCAAAGCAGATAATGTGGGATTTCATTTAGCTGTGTGAAAGGGGCCTCAGTAAGTTTCAGTGATATCAGTAGGACTTACTGTCAGGTAAGTGAATGAAGGACTGAAGCTTTAGTATTTTCCTTCCTTCCCAATGGAAGAGCAATAGGTAAGATTACAAGCATAATTTATACATAGAAGTACTTACGTTACTTACTTAGGCGGGTAGGATTGTCTTCCAAGATCGGTGTACTGGCGGTGGGTCCGTAGGTGACTGTGGAGCCCTATTCTTGATCTGCATTTTCTCCCACAGTGAGGGCATTGGTTTCCACGTGGAAGGCAGTCTCGGTCGGGGTTGGCTTGACGCACCTTCCTCTTGGCATGTTTCTCTCTTTCGCCCTCCATTCGCGCTGCTTCAAATTCTACAGCACTGCTGGTCACAGATGACCTCCAGTTGGAGCGCTCAAGGGCCAGGGCTTTCCAGTTCTCAGTGTCTATGCCAGAGTTTTTAAGTACATATTACATTGCTTGGAGAATGTGACATATAGCTATTACTCTGTGAAGAAAAATTTAGCCACTCTTTCTCTTTACTTCCTCTTTTCTCTGTAGGGAAAGAAATATTTTAACTTTGGAAAGATTCTCTTCAGGAACACTACAATTTTCCTAAAATGTAAGTGCATTAAATTTATAGGTTATAAGGTGGCAATGTGTAATAATAGATGTATTCACTCCAGAGAATGTCAATATGTCATTCCCATTATTTTTAGCACTCTGATCCTTTACCTAAGCAGTTAAGAAAAATGAGCTGTATTTATATATCCCTTTGTCCACTGGTCTAATTAATGTAATGTTAGAACAGGATCGTCACAATATTTTATGACCATTTGGATGCTTAGTCCCCCTAAAATTAGTTGGGACTAATTCCTACAAAACCAATGAAGCATTCTAATGATGACCGATGTAAGTTCCATTATATTCAGTGGGATATACAGTTCCACTTTCAACATGTTTATTCAGAGTATGAAGACAGATTTGCAAGTACCAGTAAGTGTATACAGTTGCTGCATCTTGGATTCGAATACTCTAACAACAGTATTCCTTCTGTTGTGTTCTGTTCATGAGAACTACCTCCAATAGAAGGGGAAAGGCAATTTTTTAAAAATATGTTTTTGCCTTCTTTTGCTTGCACCCCTTTAAAGTCTGTACGAAAGAGGACTTTCTGGAGTTATTAATGCATGTGTGTGTTTCTGTGATCTGAGATGGCTGCAAAGATTAAAGACCCTTTAGTTCTGAAATGTGCAATCAATACAGACATCCTAATTGAGGAGAAGAAACAACCAAGGGTAGCATTCATATTCTACTCACAAAAGTAAGAACATAAAGTATAAGGAGAAAAAGCATAATGCAGCATAATATAACAGCCCAGAGTCGCCTTCAGGCTGATATGGGCAGGGTAGAAATAGCGTAAATAATTAAATTAACTGGATAATAGGTGATACAGAAATGGAAACAAAACAATTTTGCATATCACCTAGCAGTTCCTTCTATAAAATACAACAATGCTCAGATTTTTAAAAATCCATGAACATTGAAAGAAAAAGCGATGACATTCTAGTCCAAGCCAACAAGGAACTGCACGCCAGGAACCAAATCCACTTAAATTCTGAATCTCTTCCACAAATATCACAACTAGTTCCATTTGAGGAGGGGATTCCAATCCAGAAGAGTCCTCAATTGGAGCAAAAGGGGAAGATGATAAATCACCCATTCTTTCTTATCTATCTCTGTATAAATTTGTGTTTGCAAAAGAGAGTATGCACTTAAATTAAGTGGTTTGTATGGTTTTTCTTTAAATCAGGTGTATAGTGTGTGATAGATTTTTCCAAGAGACCATACTGAATTTGTGTTTGCTCGTGATCCTGCCTGCATCGCAAGCGCGCTTGGTGGGGATTCGAGACAGGGCCTTTTCTGTGGTGGCCCCCCGACTCTGGAACGCCCTCCCAAGAGATCTTAAACAGGCCCTTACACTGGCAGTCTTCAGAAAGAACTTGAAGACCTGGCTGTTCCGATGTGCCTTCTCAGATTAGGAACCTCCAATACCAAGTCCTAGAAGCACTTTAGTAGAACTAAGATCACTGCACACTGCACACTGCACTTACTTTATAATCCTACATACCTCCTGCCACATCAGCATTTTTAATCTTGTACCCATTACTCTGGCCTGGCCCAGTTTTATAGTGTCTCGATGTATTGTTTATTGTTGTTGTTTATTCTGCTTAAGTGTTTTTAATTTGCTTTAGGTATTGTATTGTTGTATTGTGTTTTGAGGCCTTGGCCTATGTAAGCCGCATCAAGTCCTTCGGGAGATGCTAGCGGGGTACAAATAAAGTTATAATAATAATAATAATACTGAACAACAGCAATGCACTATCAGTTCCTTTTTGTGCTTTTTCCATTGCATAGCATAAAAAGTGTAATCGTGTAAATAATTTCTCCAAGGTGGATTTAAATGGTGTCATTTTATGTTTAATTTAGTTCTGAGGCTTGCTTGTACAGCATTTATAACCTATGTGGCAGTTTTCTGTGGTGACAGAAATGTGAGAATGAATGGAATAAGGACTTTGTTCCATATGTAGAAAGAATGTAGTGTAATAAAGAATTTCAGGTTAATCTATTCAAAGATAGTTGTGTTGAGCATGCAGGGAAATGCAACTAAATTCAAAATCTACAAAGCAAGGATACCTTTATTGGGCCAAATAAAATGCACACCATATATTGTGTAGTTTTTGATATTTCACTGGTGTTTCACTGCAAAAAAATTTAAAATCTTACAGGAGAAGAAAAGTGATGATGTTTATGTATATTTATTTATTACGGTCGATGACCAGCATCAAAAAATGATGTTAGTAACAGCCTATCGGCTGTTAAGAATTGTGGGAGTTGAAGTCTAAAACACCTGGAGGGCCAAAGTTTGCCTATGCCTGTGTTAGAGTCATAGGCATACAGATAGTCTGGAGTCAGATCAATGACAGTCTATCATGGGTTGGGATTTAGTATGGATCCAGTATTAGGGTCTAAAGCCTTGTCATTCATGTTATTTCTAGCTTGTCTATAAAGATTGAGGCTTGCATAATAATAATAATAATAATAATAATAATAATAATAATAATAATAATAAATTTGTAACCTGCCCTATCTCCCTGAGGGGTATACATTCAACATGCACATATTTATTTATTTAAAACATTTATATTCCGCTCTTCTCACCCTGAAGGGGACTCAGGGCGGAGCACAGCACATACACGGCAAACATTCAATACTGGGACCCAAATTCTTATATACATACATAAACATTAAAAACATTTATCAAAATATTAGAACACACCATTTAAAACCGTCCTAGTCATCCACGTCAAATCCAATTGGCCACGTCAAATCTATTGCTGCTTGGTCCCACAGCCAAGTTTTTACCATCCTTCTAAAGGACAGGAGAGAGGGGACCGACCTGATCTCACCAGGATGGGAGTTCCATAGCCGGGGAACAATCACCGAGAAGGCCCTGTCTCTTGTCCCCACCAGTCGTGCCTGTGACAATGGCGGAATGGAAAGCAGGGCCTCTCCAGAGGATCTTAATCTCCGCGATGATTCATAGGGAAAGATGCGTACCTGGAAGTATATCCCATGTAACTCAATGGAAACTATCCAGGGGAGATGTTCTACTGCTGGAACCATCAATCCAGTGGAACCAGTCAGAGCAACACCCATCTCTACTTCGCGCTTCTGAAGTACCTCTCAAACTAGATGTATGGAATTATACTAGAAATTTGTCTAGAGCCAATGTTTAGGCAGGACAGAGGACAAGTGTGGAAGGAAGTGGGATAATTTTCTGTTGCTAGCATCAACGGAAAGTTGGATTAACCCAATGGGGTTCATTTTTCTGTAGACATATATGGAATTGCAATATCATATACTTGGTGAAACAAAAATGAGATATGCTATAAATCTGAGCATAGAGGCACAGTAAGACAAGGGATACAAGGGAAAAGGAACAGAAGTATGGAAAATCATTTTGAAAATGCCTCTGTTTTTTTTTACCACAGGTTTACTTTATGTTAGGATTCTTGAAAGATTTATGAATACATTGACTTCGAGAAAGAGTAATGTCTTATTCATGTTCTCAGCTTCATGGAGTCTGCTTTTTTATCAGAATTATACAAAAATGCAGACTATTTCAAAATGATGGACCTGATTTGAAATTGCAACCATGAAATGCTGATAAATGAAACTCTTTACCACTTGAAAGCGTGAGGTATAGAGTTTCAAATGATTAATGCTAGATTCTTCTCCCAGAGCACAAAAGGCCCTTGACCTAAGTCATTTGCAAGGTGGTGTCCCTGTAACATAAGAGCTAATGAGATATTCTCCATTTGTGGAGTTATTTTTTAGATTTCTTTCTGGTTTAAAATGGCTAGTAAAACTTGATAATTCATTGTAAGTTTGTGTTTTTGTGCAATTGTAACATGTTGACATTGTGAAATAATATTGCTTTGAAATCGGGTCTATCATTTTGATTGTAGTTAAGATTACTCTTGAAACCTGTTTTTCAAGTTATAATTGTATGTTATTCCAGCATCTTCGGATTTTGTTTTGAAGATTTGGAGGCTTTCCTCAATGTCCTGCACCTCTAGTTTGCATTTCCTTTTGCTTTTTGTTGTTGCCGCAATGGACACTTAATCCTTGGTTGCCATGGGGTTAATGAGATGCTGTCAAGGATGTTTCAGTGGTAACAACACAAAGAGCAGAGCATGATATGTTCTAACACATTTTTTTCATTTGTTTAGTTGAGGGCAACGAGTCTGCCTGTGATCCTTCTCAAGGTTACAATGTCACCTGGTACTTGAGATATTCTGATTGCTACAATGAGGTCTTCAACTTTGGGGTAAGAAATTGGAATTAAAAACTACTTCAGCCATGCTGTCTGTCCACATCTCCATCATTGCCACATGTTCAGACTATTGCAAGGAAACATTACTTGTGCTGTAATATTTATGTGTGATGGTTAACTATAGAAACCTCATTTTTTACAATCCCACTTTCTCCCTCAGGATCATGAAGGTTTATGTCATCAGTATATATTTCTCCCCCCAACTGTTTCGTAGTTTAAGGTGTCGGGGCCTTTCAGAACAAATGTAACTTAATCTCTTTCATGGGCACTTCATGAAGCCACTTCAGGTTGCATTCTTCTATTTGGAGAAAGCATTTGATTGTGTCCCTCGTGAAGTTATTTGGTATGCTTTACGACAACATGCTGTTCCCAAAGAACTGGTCAACCGGATCTGGATTATGTACAGCATTCCACTATTTATCCAGTCCTTGAAGTCCCCTAGACCCTTAAAAATTGTACTAAAAATTATATTGGAAATGTGAAACTTTCTGTCATATGTGGTGGACATATGACAAAGCAAAATAATATTGGGGACTGATACAAAATTGGTTACAAGATATGTTTAAAATCAAAATATAGCTAAACCCAACTTTATTTCTACTGGGACTTCCAAACAAACAAAACCCACAAATTTCAAGTTATTATATGATCCTTGCAGCAAGACTACTTTATGCACAAAAATGGAAAACTAAGGAACTACCTCTAAAATAGGGCCCCCTGGTGGCGCAGCGGGTTAAACTTGCTGACTGGAAAGTTGGCAATTTGAACCTGGGGAGTGGGGTGAGCTCCTGCTGTTAGCCCCAGCTTCTGCCAACCTAGCAGTTTGAAAACATGCAAATGTGAGTAGATCAATAAGCACTGCTTCTGCAGGAAGCTAATTGCGCTCCATGAAGTCATGCTAACTACATGACTTTGGGTGTGTCTACGGACAACACCAACTCTTCGGCTTAGAAATGGCGATGAGCACCACCCTCCAGAGTCGGATACAACTAGACTTAATGTCAGGGGAAACCTTTACCTTTTACTACCCTTAAAATATAATTGGATTATAAAAGTTCTAGTACTGATAGAAATGGACAAATTATCTTGTATGATAAAGGAGTTGCCAACTGATAACTTTTTTCAACAATGGGAACCATTTATATCATTTGTAAAGAAAAAAGAAAATGTAAAAATGCTTGAGAGATTTGACAATTAAGTGAAATTGAGATAGCAAGGCAGAGTGAAGAGACTGTCTAAAACAAGAGATTAGAAGGATTACAATAATACTTTCATTGTGCATCTTTGAGGTAGGAAGTGGGAAGTCCATTGCTTTTTAATTTCATTATTTTGATATTTGTTTTTAGTGGGGAGGATGGGGGAATCTAATTTTAATTGTTTTTAAAGTCAATTTTAATTGGTGTATGTAGTGTTATGAATTATAAATAGAAAGATTATTTTCTTTCCAAATTGTATAATAGATTTTACATTCCTGAAAAAATTAATAAAAATATAAATTAAAATATTATAATACCAAAAAGGGATTTTTTTTCTCCCCACCTCCTCAAACAGCTTTAACCTGCCGTAAAACATTTTCTTGGATCAGAAACAAAAGTCTTTTGTGTTATCTGCTGCCTGACTCTGTTAACTGGAAATGGCATTGATTGGTATTTTGAGTGATAAATAGTATTGCCTTGTATTTCTATTTTCTAGCTGCTAATATTTTATTTCCATCAGTCCATCAGCTGGACTAAATCTTGCCATGTGTCTTGGCAGGATGAACAGGCAGATTCTTACTTTGGGAATCCTTTAGAAGACCGCTTGGGTTGGTCAGGATTTTACGCAATGTCTTCACGCTACTTCCCCAACTGCAGTGAGTTGTTCAGACCACAGGTATGAAAGGGGCTCATGGCACAGAAGATGACCAGGAAGAATGGGGAGGGAAGGGGTTGGGTTTTCGGGAAAAATGTGGATGTTTATAATATCTTTCCTTTCATTGTGCCAGTCTGTTCCTCTGTGTAACCATTCCTGGAGAACAAAAACACCTATGACATTGTCTTCTTTTACAACATCATGTGGCAGTGTGTAGTATATGAAAAGTATGGGAGGATCAGGGACACACATCTAATCAAATCTAATTAAACACACACACATTGTGTGTATATACATATGTGGATGTCAGTTGACCAGTATCTGTTTTATTTGTATTGTGTGTGTGTTTGTGTGTGTATACATTTGTGGGTATGCATGTCCATTGATCAGTATCTGTTTAATTTGTATTTAAATTATTTTGCCACCATAATCATTTTTATAAAAGGTGGTATAAAATGCTTATAATTGTAACTAACAACATTAAGTGTAGTTCTCGTGTATGCAGAGAACAATTCCACATTACTCTTGGACATTACCTTGCTTTTTTGGTTTTTGCATATCTGTATCTGCTTTATGACTTGCAATTATTTGATTTCCAAATTATGCCATCTACCCAGGTTGGGTCTATATGGTGCAATGTATGTAATTACGCTTATAATCCTGAATGATTTTGGCCCATAGTATGTGTTAGCATACTTGAGCTTCAGTCTAGATTTTGATTATGGCTCCCCCTCCTTGGATGTGAGGTCTGCTGTCTTATGCCTGAGAGGTCAGATTTTTTAGACCCACTCAGTTCAGGACTAAGATCACTCAAATCCCCATGGTTTCTCTGTCCTTCTCTCCAGCAGTTTGGCTGTGAAGGAACTTTGTTTTATGGTTTTGGGGAAAAGATGCAATATGTCATCCCAGAAGCCTCTGTGGTTAGGAAATGAGAGAGAGGTAAATGTCAAGTAAATTTGTATTCTTCGTGTTCCCAATCTGGTGGGACTGCAAAAGAGAGCTGTAAAAATTTCCATAGAACCTGTAGAGATGGGTAAGCTTTCTTTCATGGAGGTTTGTATTGACCCATTAATAAGTTTTCAGTTAGTATTCCATGGTTTCTAAATATTACTCAGTGTTTTAAGAAGTAATTTTGAGTGTAAATCTTTTATGCAAAGATATTTGATCTTAAGGAAATGAATTTTCCCATAATGAAGCCATGGTTCAAAGTCTTTTGTTTCCAATTTATTAGCAGTGCTTTCGTTGATGAGCTGTGAGTTTATATTGGGAGGTAGGATTGCAGTCCCAGTAAAACATCCCAATTTGTATCATCCAAACATTGTTTATCTAGAATTCCCAAATCCTTATGTAATCCTTTGTCATTGTCACCCTATGTAAATAGCACTCTTCTAGTTTAATAAATGTGTTTATACTTATTTTGGGCTACTTAGATAAATATATGATGCTGTAGTTATATACTATGTATTTGTGTAAAGAAGACATTTTCTTGCTTTTTCTTTTTAAAGAATTTCTACAATGAATTTGTTCATCCAGAGCCACTTTCAGGTGGAAAACAAGAGGTATTATTTTAATACTTATTTATTGTTATTATTATTTTATTTACAACATTTAGATGCCTCTTCTCACCCCGAAGGGGACTCAGAGTGGCTTATAAGTTATATGTAAATACAATATATTATATTACTAGCATAATATAGTGGTCCATGCTCTTGTTACATCCCAAATAGATTACTGCAATGCACTCTACGTGGGGTTGCCTTTGAAGACTGTTTGGAAACTTCAATTAGTCCAGCGGGTGGCAGCCAGATTAGTCACCGGAGCGTCATACAGGGAGCGTACCACCCCTCTGTTATGTCAGCTCCACTGGCTGCCAATCCAGTTCCGAGCACAATTCAAAGTGCTGGTTTTGCCCTTCAAAACCCTATACAGCTCCGGCCCAGCGTATCTGTCCGAATGCATCTCCCTCTACGTCCCACCTCAGAGTTTGAGATCTTCTGAGGAGGCCCTGCTCTCGATCCCACCTCTATCACAAGTGAGATTGGTGGGGACGAGGAGCAGGGCCTTCTCAGTGGTGGCCCCTCACCTGTGGAATTCACTCCCCAGGGATATTAGGTCATCGACATCCCTCTTCTCCTCCAGAAGGAAATTAAAAACATGGTTATGGGACCAGGCTTTCGGGCAATCTGGCGGTTAGATAAGGACAATGATGACCAGAATCGAGAGTACTTGACAAGCGGAATGAATTTACGGACTATGAGATGGCGAACGCTGAGCATTAGATTGTTTTTATTGATTTTAATGTATGGACTGACTGTCTTAATTGTTATAATTGCTGTTTACATGTTTTATCCATTGTTATGTTTATGTTGGCATCAAATTGTGCCTTTTGTAAGCCGCCCTGAGTCCCCCCTTGGGGGTTGAGAAGGGCGGGGTAGAAATGCGCGAAATAAATAATAGCATAGCACAATATTTGTACCATACATTCCCATATTGTACTATACAACTATACTGCAATATTATTAGTAATATTACATGTAATATGAAATATATAATTCTTATATTGTATTATTATTATTATATTGTATTACATTATAATACTTCTTGATTTTCATTTCAAAATATTCAGAAATCTGGATTTTGATCAAACATTTCTATTCAAGGTCTCAAGAGAACGAAGAGAGAATGGAACATGCAATATTACTATAACAGAACCTCCTGTAAGTAAAAGTGCTATTGTGCTATTGTGTATATAATACAAGATAAAACAAAGTAAACATTAAATATATTTAAATCCTGTTGATTTTTTGGAAGAAGGCCAAGAAGAGATATTAGCAGTGGCACAGCCACTGCCATCCTTGAAGCAGAGAGGACTGAAATGGAAACACAAACATGCTCAATGTTTAAATAGCACATGGTAGGTTAGTGAAGACTGTTGAAAGTTATTGTTTAGACTGGATTTCAATTTTTGCCACTGCGATTAATGTTTTTTATGTGGGTGAAGCCTTTGTTACTTCAGTTCCTGCGAAAGAAAACACAGATACTGATTTCACACTCTGCTTTTTTCTCATGACTTAACAACAAAACTTGACATGTGAAATTGATTTTTTTCCCTCCAGCCTATGAATGCTGTCATGAGAACCTGGCAGGATGGACCATATATCTTCATTGTGCAGATTGGCTTTTCACCCTCAAAGGAAACCAGTGTGGAAGCTAAAAGAATAGCAAGTGGACAACCAAAAGTTGCGGCATTCACTGATCCCGATAGGACACTTTTTACTAGTGAGTCATTGAATTTTGTTCTGTACACTTAGACAGAATGTGATGTTTGAACTCCAGAGCTGTATCTATGTTTTAAAAAATCAGGAATGAGTCTTGGATTTCTGGATGGTGCAGTCATGACTCCTAAATGTTGTCCATGGATTGGAAGGAGTCTCAGAAGCTGTCATATTCAAGTCCCTGCTCAATGCATTAAATTCATCTGGAGCAGTGGTTCCCAACCTTTGGTCTTCCAGGTATTTTGCACTTCACCTCCCACTTTCAAGTTCACTCTATTACAGTCAATGACCAGTTTGTGTTCAGATTCCACAATTCCTAAGAGCTTGTAAACTGGCTGAGATTTTTGGGAGCTGAAGTCTAAAGCACCCAGAGGAGCAAAGTCTGAAAAACATTGATCTAGAGCAGTGATTCTCAACCTGTGGGTCCCCAGGTGTTTTGGCCTTCAACTCCCATAAATCCTAAACTGGCTGGGATTTCTGGGAGTTTTAGGCCAAAACACCTGTGGACCCACAGGTTGAGAACCACTGATCTAGAGTATCCCCAGGAGCTAGCTGTCCAGCCTCATTTTGAGGACCTACCACCTCTCTGGATTATTAGTTGTGTTGTCAAATAGCTATTACTGTCAAGAGGTTCTTTCTAATATTTAATCAAAACCTACTCTTCTGTAACTTAATACCATAGACCTGGTCATATACTCTGGGGCAACAGAGAATAAAACTGCACCCTCCTCCCTGTTATGGCCATCTTGATAGTTAAAGAGTGCAAGCACATTATTCTTTATTCTTCTCTTCACTAGTCTGAACATGCCCAACTCTCTCAACCTTTGTTTATATGTTTTGTTCTCAGTATCTCTTATTCATGTTGCTCTCCTTTTATTCTGCTTCAAATGGCCTATATCTCAATGGTTCTGCTAATGCAGGCCAAAACAATTGCTTACCTTCTTTGCTGCACTACCTCATAACACGTCATATTCAACTTATGCTCAGTAGTAATCCTAACACCCTTTTCATGTGTGTTACAAAATAATAATTAAAAATAATAACACTTTATTTATATTCTGCCCTCCTCATTCCGAAGGTGACTCAGGGCGGATCACAGTACACATACACGGCAAACATTCAGTGCCGCTTTGTATAGACAGTACAGAGACAGACAGAACAGAAGGAGGTGTGTTATTTATTTCGACTCAATATCAAGCTTTTTTGGTGCCATGGAAGCTTGGGCTCGAATCCAGCCACAAGGGATGCTGTCGCTCCATCCTCTATGATGAAGAGCCATTAGGACTTCCTCCTTCCTTCTGGTTGCCCAGCATTTTCTGATCTTCTTTCTTTATGAAGTCATAAAACATCTGCCCCGCTTTTAGCGGTACCTAATTTCTCTAATGACAACTAAAGCTGTTTTTGAACTGCTTATGTCATCAGTAAACTGGGCTGACAGTCGGCAGCTCATGCTGACCTGGGGTTTCGAACTTGCAACCTTTCGGTTGATAGATCTTATAATTTCTGGTGATTTACCAGCTATGCTAAACCCCCAGCCCTTACTACTGCTAGACATTTTGCTTATACAGCCTAAATGTAAAATTTTGCAGTTGTCTTTGCTAAATATCAATTTGTTTCAGCCCAAATTTCTAATTTATCAAGAGCTTATTAAATTTTGTCCCTATATGCCAATATGTTGGCTACCCCTTATAGTTTGGTGTCATTCAAAAACTTGTAAGGATTCCTTCTACTCTAAGTCATTGGGGAAAGTGTGGAAGACTCTCGGTTCCAGAGAGTGCCACTCTGCTTGAGAACTTTTCCAGTCTGAAGAGCAGCCATTGATGATGACTTTTCTTCAGTGCGTTTCTGACTCCTTGCTTTCTTCTGTGCTTCTTTTTGACAGTGATTGTGGAAGTGAAGGGCCCATATGAATATCTTTCTCTAGCAGATTATCCACTCATGATTGTAAGTAAATGTCCCATGTACCCTAGATGGCCTTTGGGGAAAAAAAAAATGTTTTTTTGTGGGAGTTGATGCATCCCTCTCGGGGAGGGGGAAGGTTAATGCAACTGCCTTGACTTCCATAGCTGACCAAACTTTCTTGACACACTTTCTTTCTTTTGTCTTTCTCTAATAGTTTTTCATGGTGATGTGTATTGTATATGTTTTGTTTGGAGTTCTGTGGCTGGCATGGTCAGCCTGCTACTGGCGGGACCTCCTGAGGATCCAGTTTTGGATTGGCGCTGTGATCTTACTGGGAATGCTAGAGAAAGCTGTTTTCTATGCAGAATTTCAGAATATTCGCTATACAGGAGAATCTGGTAAGTGTGAGGAACACTTAAATATATTTGAGAATTGCAGCGTTCCTCCATTAAATTTCAGACTGGTGGAGCAACAACTCCTTGAGAGAAAAGTCAGCCCCTATTCATTATATACATTGAAATACAGGTACCGTATATATTAGAGTATAAGCCATGTTTTTCAGCCCTTTTTAAAGGCTGAAAAGGCCCCCTCGGCTTATACTTGAGTCAAAGTTATTTATTATTTTACTGGGTTATTATTATTATTATTATTATTATTATTATTATTATTAAATTTATTATTTTACTCCATTTATTATTATATTTTCATTATTATTACATATATTGTGTTACTCTATTACTACTGATATTTTTACATTTCCATTATTTTACTGTCTTTATTATTATTGGAAGTATAAGTAAGCATATTTACATTGACGAAGGTTAGAATACTGGTTTATTCAGAGTTGGACAGTCTTATCTTAAATTCTCCAGCAAAGGATCACCGCCTTGTCAGGGCGCTGGAGCTTGAGCACCTCAATAATGTCATGAGTGAAACCGTGAAGGGGCACCCAAGACGGGACGGTTGTGGCAGAGAGGTCAGACCAAGCGTGATCCCTGGGGAAGGCAATGGCAACCCTCCAGTATCCTTGCCAAGAAAACTAAATGGACCAGTACAACCAGAGATATGTCGGTATGCCATTGGAAGATGGGACTCCCAGGTCGGAAGATGGCCAAAATGCTACTGGGGAGGAGCAGAGGATAAGTTCAACTAGCCCCAGATGTGATGACGCAGCTAGCTCAAAGCCGAAAGGAAGGCTAGCGGCCGACGGTACTGGAGGCGAACGACGAATCCGATGCTCTAAAGATCAACACACCATAGGAACCTGGAATGTAAGATCTATGAGCCAGGGCAAATTGGATGTTGTTATTGGTGAGATGTCAAGACTAAAGATAGACATTCTGGGGGGTCAGCGAACTGAAATGGACTGGAATGGGCCACTTCACATCAGATGACCACCAGATCTACTACTGCGGACAAGAGGAACATCGAAGAAATGGAGTAGCCTTCATAATTAATAAGAAATTAGCTAAAGCGGTGCTTGGATACAACCCAAAAAATGACAGAATGATCTCAATTCGAGTGCAAGGAAAGCCTTTCAACATTACAGTGATCGAAATATACGCCCCAACCACAGCTGCTGAAGAAGCAGAAGTAGATCAGTTCTATGAGGATCTGCAGGAACTACTGGATAATACACCAAAAAGAGACATTATTTTCATTACAGGAGACTGGAATGTCAAGGTGGGAAGTCAAATGACAACAGGGATCACAGGCAAGCATGGTCTGGGAGAACAAAATGAAGCGGGACGCAGGCTGATAGAATTTTGCCAGGAAAACTCGCTGTGTATAACGAATACTCTCTTCCAACAACCTAAAAGACGGCTTTACACATGGACCTCACCAGATGGTCAGCACCGAAATCAGATTGACTACATCCTTTGCAGCCAAAGGTGGCGGACATCCATCCAGTCAGTGAAAACAAGACCTGGGGCTGACTGTAGCTCAGATCACGAACTTCTTATTGCTCAATTTAGAATAAAACTAAAGAGATCAGGGAAAATACACAGACCAGTTAGATATGATCTCACTAACATTCCTAGCGAATATACAGTGGAAGTGAAGAACAGATTTGAAGGACTAGATTTAGTAAACAGAGTCCCAGAAGAACTATGGACAGAAGTAGACAGTTCAGGAGGCGGCAACAAAGTACGTCCCAAAGAAAAAGAAAACCAAGAAGGCAAAATGGTTGTCTGCTGAGACACTGGAAGTAGCCCAAGAAAGGAGGAAAGCAAAAGGAAACGGTGATAAAGGGAGATATGCCCAGTTAAATGCGCAATTCCAGAGGTTAGCCAGAAGAGATAAGGAACTATTTTTAAATAAGCAATGCATGGAAGTGGAAGAAGACAACAGAATAGGAAGGACAAGAGACCTCTTGCAGAAAATTAGAAACATTGGAGGTAAATTTCAGGCAAAAATTGGTATGATAAGAAACAAAGATGGCAGGGACCTAACAGAAGCTGAAGATCAAGAGAAGGTGGCGAGACTATACAGAAGATCTGTATAGGAAGGATAATAATATTGTGGATAGTTTTGACGGTGTGGTGAATGAATTAGAACCAGACATCCTGAGGAGTGAGGTTGAATGGGCCTTAAGAAGCATTGCTAACAACAAGGCAGCAGGAGACGACGGGATCCCAGCTGAACTGTTTAAAATCTTAAAAGATGAGCTGTCAAGGTGATGCATGCCATATGCCAGCAAATATGAAAAACACAAGAATGGCCATCAGGCTGGAAAAAATCAATTTATATCCCCATACCAAAAAAGGGAAATGCTAAAGACTAATCAAACTTTCCTACAGTGGCCCTTATTTCTCATGCCAGATTCTGCAAGGAAGACTCCAGAAATACATGGAACGAGAGTTGCCAGATGTACAAGCTGGGTTTAGAAAAGGCAGAGGAACGAGAGACCAAATTGCCAATATCCGCTGGATAATGGAGAAAGGCAGGGAGTTTCAGAAAAACATCTACTTCTGCTTCATTGACTATTCTAAAGCCTTTGACTGTGTGGATCATAATAAATTGTTGCAAGTTCTTGGTGGGATGGGCATCCCAAGCCACCTTGTCTCTCTCCTGAGGAATCTGTACAAGGACCAAGTAGCAACAGTCAGAACTGACCACGGAACAACAGACTGGTTCAAGATTGGGAAAGGCGTACGGCAAGGCTGCATCCTCTCACCCAACCTTTTTAACTTGTATGCAGAACACATCATGCGATGTGCGGGGCTTGATGAATGCAAAGCTGGGGTGAAAATTGCTGGAAGAAACATTAACAACCTCAGATATGCAGATGACACCACTCTGATGGCCGGAAGCGAGGAGGAGCTGAGGAGCCTTCTAATCAAGGTGAAAGAAGAAAGCGCAAAAGCCGGGTTGCAGCTAAACGTCAAAAAAACCAAGATTATGGCAACAAGAATGATTGACAACTGGAAATAGAGGGAGAAACCGTGGACGCCGTGACAGACTTTGTATTTCTAGGTGCAAAGATTACTGCAGATGCAGACTGTAGCCAGGAAATCAGAAGACGCTTACTTCTTGGGAGGAGAGCAATGTCCAATCTCGATAAAATAGTAAAGAGTAGAGACATCACACTGGCAACAAAGATCCGCCTAGTCAAAGCCATGGTATTCCCTGTAGTAACCTACGGATGTGAGAGCTGGACCTTAGGGAAGGCTGAGCGAAGGAAGATCGATGCTTTTGAACTGTGGTGTTGGATGAAAGTTCTGAGAGTGCCTTGGACTGCGAGAAGATCCAACCAGTCCATCCTCCAGGAAATAAAGCCCGACTGCTCACTGGAGGGAAGGATACTAGAGACAAAGTTGAAGTACTTTGGCCACATCATGAGGGACAGCAAAGCCTAGAGAAGACAATTATGCTGGGGAAAATGGAAGGAAAAAGGAAGAGGGGCCGACCAAGGGCAAGGTGGATGGAAGTGACTGGATTGACCTTGAAGATCTGGGGGCGGTAACGACCGACAGGGAGCTCTGGCGTTGGCTGGTCCATGAGGTCACGAAGAGTCGGAGACGACTGAACGAATGAACAACAACATCTTAAATTACAGTTTTGTGTAAATATTCAAAACCATTTAACTTGCTGATGCCTCAATATATGTATTTTTATTGTTATCTATTTTTATTTTGAAATTTACCAGTAGCTGCTGCATTTCTCACCCTTGGCTTATACTCGAGTCAATACATTTTCCCAGTTTTTTGTGGTAAAATTAGGTGCCTTGGCTTATATTTGGATTGGCTTATACTCAAGTCTATACAATATTCCAAAAACTGTGGAAAAAATCTGAAAAACCTCTGGTCCCAGATATTTCAAATAAGAGAGACTTGGCCTGCGTTTACTTTAATGTGAGCCCCATTAGTTTGATACAATGGTTTCTGGAAAGTTTGCCCAGGTTTTTAATACAGACGTACCTTGTGCTGTTTCATAAGAAACACATCTTTTCCCATTTAAAAGAGTTTCTCTTTTCATAGTTGGCTTCTTGTGAATGAAATGTTTACATTGAAATATCTGTGATAATTCAGAACATGTGCCAAATCCCAAACATGCTTAATAATCCTTTTGTCTTGTGTTTTTTTATTATTATTATTATTCACAGTCCAGGGGGCACTGATATTGGCTGAGCTGCTTTCAGCACTGAAGCGGTCACTTGCTCGAACTCTTGTTATTATTGTGAGCCTGGGATATGGTATAGTAAAGTGAGTACTAATATTGGGCTTTCAACTCTGGCTCATTCATACATCTCCAACATATCTCTAAAATGTTGGAGTCAGACATTCAGAATCCTTGGGAGCAGTTCTCTCAAGTCCCTTTGCACCTTAGAATGGCAAATACTATGCCAATCATCCTTTGCCATGAAAAATGTCATACATTTCATCTTTGGAGAGAGTCAGTAGCAGACAGGCTCTAACAGTGATGGGAGAGGTACAGGAGGCCTGTTCTCATCATTCTGGGAATGATGGGATTAGAATATAAATTTAATTCTTCCTGGTAGTTGAATATATTCCGTCTCCATTTCTGTGATCCACATTCTCCTTCACCTCTGTTTCAGATGAAAGAAAGAACAGTGATTCTTAAATATTGGATTACAATTTTAAAATTCTTGACTAATAGCCAGAGTAGGACTTTTTGGAGTTCTCTCTAAAGGGATCTCTGGGGACATAGGGCTGGAATCCACTCTCTTAGAACGTGAACAAAGAGTAGCAAAGGTCAGGATGAATGTCGGCAGATGTAAGGAGGGGACCCACTGGAGATGAACTGAGCTTGCCCAAATTCTGCTTCCTGTATGTTAAGCACTTTTTCTTGTGCCACTGGGGGATCCAGAGATAATGTATGAGATTATACTAGTTATGTGACCCATCTCAGCTGTAAAGTTGAAGCTTATTTCAATTTTCTCTTTTTATTTCTACTACAGACCTCGCCTTGGAGTCACTCTTCACAAAGTAGTTGTTGCTGGAGCCCTCTATTTATTATTTTCTGGCATGGAAGGTGTCCTCAGAGTCACCGGGGTTTGTAATCACATACTGGATTTTCATGTTTTTTAAATACATTTAACATGCGGCAAGACAACACTATATAACAGATGACAAAGAAAATAATAATGATAATGATGATGATGATGATGATGATGATGATGATGATGATGATAATAATGCTTTATTTCTAACATGCCCTATCTCCCGAAGGGGACTCATGGAACTCAAGAATATTTTGGATTTTGTTGAACAGACTTGTTATTGCTCAGCTGACTTACATGCTTATCATTGAAGAATACTTAAAGAGCAGTTTTTTTGCCATCTTATAAATTAATGGGCTTCAAATGAACAGATTAATATCTGCTTCATTATTATTTTTGTTGATGAAACTGCATTATTTTTATTGCATCTATTGTCATCTTAACAATATTTGCATGTGTGTCCATGTACACATATGCACATACTCTCAAAAGGAATTCGGTTATCTCTATTCTCATTTCCATTTATTGTCATTTGTTTTTGCTGAATAATACATAGTTTTGAAATTGTATGACTCTGTCAGTAGAAGCATGATTGTGACACTAATTTGGGAACACTGAAAGGACAGCCAAACAGATATGAAATGCATTGTAGATAATGCAGATGGAAATTGTACATTGTGTGTAATGGAAGTATATGTTTAATTTTCAATACATTTAGAGAAGGACATACTTCCTTTGTGGATTTTAAAAGCTAGCATTGGCATTGCAAAAGCTTGAAACAATCCATTCATATAGATTATATTTTGTACACATAAATTGGCTATCGCTTATATGAAATACTTGGGATCAGAAGTGTTTTAGATTTTTTTCATATTTTGGAATATTTACACATATAATGAGATATGTTGGTGATGGGACACAAGTCTCAACATAATATTCATAATATTTTTAGTAAAGCATGACTTCTCAGAGAAGAGCCAAAAATCCTTTAGAGTAGAATGTTCTCTACTCTATGCAAGGCTATGGTTTCAGTTGTTAGACTGAATAACATCTTATATCTGATCTGTTAGGAAAACCAAGATTTGCCAGTGCATAAAAACAGCAGAGCTTTAGAAGTGTTTTTCAGTGCCCAAAATATATATACTCTCCCATAAAACAACTTGTCTTATATCATGCAATCAAGAGACAAAATGAAGTAGGCTTTAAAGGAAAAATATTTGGTTCAGCATACACAGGTACACAATTTATCAGTCCAGTTCCAAATATGTTTGAAATAATTCTCTGTTCCATCCAGCCAGGGCATCACTCTTATAACAAAACAGCTATCAACAGGTCACATAATCAAAGGGAGAGAGAAAGAAAGAGCATGTGGTTTGCAGCCCCTTTTATAGCTTCTCAGGAACCATAGAGTAAAGGAAGCAGCATAACAGAACACATATACAGGAAACAGTAGGCAACAGTAATAAACATTACTAGAGAAGGCTTGATGAAAGCTACCATTTTCAACAGAAAATACATACAGATTATGTAAATTACAAAAATTCAGAACTTTGGCTTTGAAGTAGGTTTGTTTTTGGACATAGAGTTAAACTGCGTCTCAGTTTTGTGTTGATTGTGTTTGTGTTCTTGTCATGCCTGTCTGATAAAACTTTCTTTTTGATACCTTTTCAGTCTTTCCGTGGTGTTACAGCTTTGATAGCTAACATTGCGCTATCTGTCATTGACTCCTGTATTATTTACTGGATATCCTTTCAAAAGTTGTGTCGTGTGGCTTTAATTTTAGAACAATGGCAATACACTTTCTCTTTGGTCCAAATTTTTGGGTGCCTCTAGATATTTCAGAAGACAGTAAATGATCCATCCAACATCACCTCAACAAAAAGATTTTGATACAGCATAACATAAGTTACCTTTGGATTTGCCAATACAAAGATTAATAAAAGCAGGTTAATTTACGTAAAGTTAAGATCAATTTGTATAGTGTACTGAAAGTCCATAGATTTAAATAAGAATCAACACTATTTCACCGTCTCTTATATGTGTCTGTTGTGAATGTTGTGGTTTATAATGGGGTATGCATTTGATGTCATTTAAAATTTTTCTGTAAAGCAGTGAAATCCTATGTATGTCTACTCAGAAAGAAGTTCTGATTAAATAACTATGTATGTGCCTTCAAGTCACCTGTTAACATATAGTGATCCCATAAATTCCATGGGGTCACCTTAGGCAATGAATATTCAGAAATGATTTGTCATTGTGTTTCTCTAGAAGCCTCTGATGGTGCAATGGGTTAAACTCTTGTGTTGACAGGACTGCTGGCTGAAAGATCAGCGGTTCAAATCCGGGGAGCGGGCTGAGCTCCCCTCTGTCAGCTCCAGCTTCTTATGTGGGCACATGAGAGAAACCTCCTACAGGATGGTAAAAACATCCAGGCAACCCCTGGGCGACGTCTTTGTAGATGGCCAATTTTCTCACACCAGAGGCGACTTGCAGTTTCTCAAGTTGCTCCTGACATACACACACACACACACACACACACACACACACAAAATTGTCTTTCTCTGACTGAAACTTACAGTACTTGCTATTCTATGGCAGTCTCTATTCCAAATCTTAACCCGGCGTAATCCTGCTTAGCTTCCAAGTATGATTACAGGATCTGATACCTTCAGAATATTCAGGCTATTTTAGTAGCACTTACTGGGGTAATTGTATGTATGATGCAGAGTTGTAAAGAAATCCTGCTGAATTATTTCTTGATGAAACCTGGTATTGATTGGTTGTGAAAGCTTGTGAAGAGTTCATTAACTGCTGCTAGTTTTGTTTTTACCTCCAGCATGAGAATAAGATGATTACGATATATTACCTCAGAGTGTCTCTGTGTGTTACAAATCATACAAAGAGAGCAAACACAAAAAGACTGGTTATGTGCTGTTTCTGTTAGCAATGCAAAAAGGGCATAGCTATTGTACCTGATCTGTGTAGTTGCTGAATGTAAAAAAAATTCTAGAAAATGTTAAAACTCCCAAGACCAATAGAAAATGTGAGAATTGAGGAAGAAATTGTAGTTTCTTGTTCTTGCACACAAGAAAGAGATAATCATATATTTACGACAATGGCAGCTCCTTTTGCAGTTTTCTTTTAGGATATAGCTTCACTAGGGCTCAGACAGTGAAAGGCTCATTCCTACTGTTTGACATAATGCCATTTGGGATATCAAAAAGTGCAAAAATCATTACTTATTTGAATGGTTACAGTTGAATTTTAATGTCGACCAGTGGGTCTAGCATTTTGGGTCCCCAGGTGTTCTGGCCTACAACCCCCAGAAATCCCAGCCAGTTTACCAGCTGTTAGGATTTCTGGGAGTTGAAGGCCAAAACATCTGGGGACCCACAGGTTGAGAACCACTGGTCTAGCACAAGTCTCTCAATCTTTAAGTAACCCTTGTTTCGACCACCTGAATAGGGCTTCTTGGATAGAGCAATCCTAAGTGATCTTGCATCACAATTGACTGTTGTGGGGAAAGTCAGACTGCTTTGTCAGGGTTATGAACTAATCCCTTCTAAAGAGATTTCTAGATTTAATCATGTTGCCCTTCCTTGGTGTAGGGTAGACAGGTCTGGTACTACTTTATCTAGATTTTGGAATGCTAAATCATGTATTGATTTAACAGCAGAGCACTTGTATAGCAGTTTTAGGCCTGAATCTTCAGGATCAGTTTTGGATCAAGAGCAGAGCTGGGGAATATGAGACTTGGATGTTCTTCAGTTGCAGTGCATCACCATCTGTAGGACTACATGTCTTGCTGATTTTTTTTGTGTTTATGTGTGTCAGGAGCGACTTGAGAAACTGCAAGTCACTTCTAGTGTGAGAGAATTGGCTGTCTGCAAGGATGTAGCCCAGGGGACACCCGGATGTTTTTGATGTTTTACCATCCTTGTGGGAGACTTCTGTCATGTTCCTGCATGCTGAATGAATTGGAAAAAATCTTAGTTGGTGTCTTTACATTATTGTCAACAAACTACTAACATTATAACAAAGAACTGTGTTCTTGAGGCTGCAATTCTGTACACTCTTAACGTGAGAGTAAATTTCATTAACCTGAATGGGACTTTCTTCTGAGTAGATATGCAGAGGATTGTACTGCCAACCTTGCATCTTGCTTCTGGTCCGCCTTGATCTCAATGCCCTTTTCTCTTTCTCTCTAGGCACAGAATGATCTTGCCTCCTTGGCTTTTATTCCACTGGCTTTCCTAGATACTGCTCTCTGTTGGTGGATATCCTTCTTCACTGTCTTATTTGGTGGAATTTAAATAACTTTGGAATTGGGCTTTTGTGGTGGGTGGCATTCATCTGCAGATACTCTACCAGCTTCTGGTTTTGTTTGTTTCTATTCGCAAGCATAATTATTTGACATTATGGGTCTAACTTACTAGGGAGCAAGTCCCATTAAATTCATTGGAACAGTTCCCTTAGTCACAATGTTTGGTGTTGTGGTACAAGGAGTAGGCTCAGGGATCACATTGGTAACACAGGAGACCTGGAAAGGTCGTAGGAGGATAGAAAACCATGTTCTTGGCCCTCCCCTGCTAACAATGGGAAGTGACCTGGAAACCATTTTGCCCACCCTAATCTAAAAACATGGAGAACCAGTAATGGTTACCAGTTGCCGATGATCCTGCTTTTTATTGTAGTGATGTCAGCTGTGCTAGATCATGTGGATCCCTAGTCTATATTTCTACAAAAGAATGAGCTATTTATTTACTATATTTATATCCCACCCTTCTCAACCCCAAAAGGGACTCATAGTGGCCTTACAGTCAATTTGATGCCATCAACAGATTTCAAGGGTAACTGTTCTGTCAGTTTTAGCAACGACTTTCTATCTAAGTCTATCTACACAGTGCATTTGTAATCAAGATAACTGTGCTAAAAAATCCCCCCAGTCTTATTTGTAGCCCTTTTGTGGAAACTATTGAAAATTGTGTTCACACAGCAATACTTTATGCTAAAGGCATAAGATCTGAAGAGAGGTCGCTATATGGAGACTCCAGTGCCATTATTACTCATTTAAGTGGATAGGTCTGTTCATTATTTCCAAGTGAAACAGCTTCTGAAGTATCACAAAGAAGATGGCTTTCATAATTAATTCTTATTTTCTGAGACAATGCTCGAGGCAAGTGGCAGTGAATCCCAATGGAGGTGATGCATTTCACTTTGATATATACAAGTTGACAAATTGCCAGTGTTTAAGAGTACAGTGCTAACATATTTATGTCACTATCCTTGTGCTTGTTGAACCTAAATTAACTCTACTAATTTTCCCCATCCTGATGTTAAGTTTGAGTTGTTTTTCTTGACTTGCCATTACATATTTATTAGTTTGACTCAGACAATGAAGTTGTTAAAACTTAGGAGGAACGTCGTGAAGCTTTCTCTCTACCGACACTTTACGAGCACTCTCATCTTGGCAATAGCAGGTGAGTTTTGGAAGTAATTCCTCATTCATCCTCTCTGAGGGCTTTCTGAACCAGATCTTTTCTGAAATGTTTATAACATCAAAGTTCACACTGTAATGGTGCATGTCCACATTGCAGTTTCCCTTGCATTGGTTCTCTGCTGGAACACTGACTAGAAATTAAATGGGTGGTTGAAAAATAAATAAAAATTGTGGTTCCATAACTTACAGATTGTTACCATGTTGCTGGAGTCTCCTGTGGTGCAGCAGGTTAAACTGTTGAGCTACTGATCTTGCTGACCAAAAGGTTGGTGGTCCAAATCTGGGGAGTGTAGTGAGCTCCCGCTGTTAGGCCCAGCTTCTGACAACCTAGCAATTTGAAAACATGCACATGTGAGTAGATCAATAGGTACCTCTCCAGCGGGAAGGTAATGGCGCTCCATGCAGTCATGCTGAACTTGGACAATGCGGTTCTTTGGCTTAGAAATTGAGATGATGAGCACCACCCCCCAGAGCTGGACATGACTAATGTCAAGGGAATACTTTTACCTTTTACCATGTTGCACTAGACAGATTTTTTTTTACTTTGCAATTGTAGTATGCAAAAGTTAACTTAACCAGTAGATCTGGTGAATCAGAATCAGATCAGAAGAATAGAATGAGTTCTGTGAAAGAGTTTTCCTCCTTATGGCATGGTAAAAAAATTGCAAACTGTAGGTCAAGTAATATACATGGCTCCTTGGTATAACTTTCATGGTGATACACTTTTCTAAAAATAACTCAAAATATCTTTTAGAAAGTTCTACAGTCCTACAGTTCTACAGTTGCTAACACTTTTCTGTGTTTGTCTTGTGCTTTTATACCTTTAGCATCTGTTATTTTTATCATCTGGACAACTTTCAGGCTGGTAGACTGTCAATCGGTAAGTTTGGTTTATTTTTTTTAATTACCATGGAAAGAGTGTTTTTGTTTGACAGTCAAGTGGCTAAGAATATAGTAAAAATTCTTGGCCTTCTTGCTTATTGAAAATGTCAGCATTTTTCTTTTGAAAAGAATGATTTCTTTGCCTTTCTTTTAACAGGATTGGCAGGAGGTGTGGGTCGATGATGCTGTCTGGCGGCTCTTGTTTTCAATGATACTTTTTGCCATCATGGTTCTTTGGAGGCCCTCGGCCAACAACCAGAGGTATAAAATTCATAATCTTTTTTCTCAGACTAAGTGCATTGTGTATATATGAGTTCAAAACACCTGGTTGTTTTGATATCCAGCAGCTATCTTTTCCTGTTTTAGAGAATTCTAAAACTTTCTCTCTCTATGTGCATGTTGACATAGACCCTGAAAATGTTCATGTTGGTCTGATGAACCAGATCTTTGTTGCTTTCTTTATTTCATCTATATTTTTTTTACAAAGATTTGCTTTATTTGTTTTCAAAAGATTTGCCTTTTCACCATTGTCTGAAGAAGATGAGGACGATGAACAAAAGGAACCAATGCTGAAAGAAAGCTTTGGTAAAAAGACCGTATTTTTCCTTTATGAATAGATATTCTTCCAAAGTTTAACTTTTTGCCACCCAGCAAAGACATTTGTATTCAGTTAGTTCAGAAGGGCTTTTGGTAGAGATGGAAGCAGAAAAAAATTAAAATATGACAAGTCACAATTTCTCGCCTAATTTTATACACAGGTGGTTGTGACATTTTTATTTATTTATGCTTTCTTGTTATAATTTCATGTGAGTGCCTGAGATAGTAATAGGAAGGGCATGGGGTTCTGTGAAAAACAGATTATCTTTGAAAGGATGCTGCAAGTGTGTGGGTTCCAGTTTTCCATTTCAGCTGCCAGATTGTCTTTGCTCTTCCTACCCATCACAGCCAGATTTGTGGCTGTTGAGATCTCTTGCTGCATGTTTAAATGATCATTGCTTCAGATTGAAAGCAGAGTAAAATCAGGCCTCGAAAACCAGTCCTATGTGCCATGTGTTAGAATCTAAAGATCAACAACAGTGGTTTCTACCTTTTCCCTTTCCGAGGAAATGGCTCCCCAAAAGCATATTCCCGGTGTTCTCCCTATGGTAATTTATTTTTTATCCTGTTCTATGCATGGCAAAGAGATTGAAAAGTTGGATTCTGTTTCATATTCTAGTCAAACCTTTATACTTTCTAATCATCTGGTTGACTGGGCTTTTCCCTTCCCTATTATCCTACACAGAAGGGATGAAAATGAGAAGTTCCAAACAAGAATCAAATGGAAATCCAAAAACCAACAAATCAGTAAGTTTGATTTTTCACATAGCTCCTACTGGAGTAGGAGGTGGAACATGTAAGAAAATGGTATGATGCTGGCCTAGGTAGTAATAAACTGCATGGAAATTTTGAAATGAAAGGAACTGTGCCTAGGCTAATAGCTAAGAAGAAGAAAACCAGAGTTCTAGCTGGATACATATCTAATATACAGGGTGAGGCAGCATAACTTTCTTTTTAAAAAAAACTTAATAAAACTCATTGTATGAATCAGAAATTTTTATTTTTTTTATAATTTAGGGGCATACCCAAAGTTTTGTTTTACGTAGTTTTGAAGATCAAATTAGGTAGGTGACGCCCCCCATTCTCCATACACTGAGTAAACCGATTTCTGGTGTTTGTCATGACTCTTGCCAGCATAGCTGGCATTATGTTGGCAATTTCTTCCTGGATGTTGGTCTTCAAATCTTGTAGGGTCCTTGGACGGTTCACATAAACAGGATTTCAAAAAACCTCATAGAAAAAAATCACAAGGGACCAAATCTGGAGAGCGGGCCGGCCGCTCCAAATCTGCTCGAAAAGTAGGCCTCAATGGCAAAAGCACGCTCCTCACTGTTCCAACGCATGATGGCGACTGAACTGTGTCAGGACAAAACTTTATACTCCTGCCTCTCAAACAAGACCACTAGCGCTCCGCTACGTCTTCAACCGACTGAATGGCGCGAATTTTAAAAAAGGAAGTTATGCTGCCTCACCCTGTACACTTATATTTAAATCAATTGCTGTTCTTTTTTAAAAAAACAACAACAACCTATAATGTTTCAGTACAGTGATTTTAAACGTTTTTATTCATTATTTCCAGTCTTGGAAAGTGTCTTCCATATCTACTTAAATTAAAGGGAAAAATAAGAGCATATGAATAATTGCTTCTTTCCACTTTTAAATAGAATTAAAATGCTAAAATATGTCATTATAATTTTCTCTCTCAAAACTGGCATCTTTTGACTGAAAAGAATTGAAATGGGTCACTTTAGATATCACGTTAATGTAGCATGTAAATAATAATAATAATAATAATAATAATAATAATAATACACTTTTTTGATATTCCGCCCTTCTCTCCCAGGGCGGATTAAAGCATTTACATACATAGGCAAACATTCAATGCCTTTACAGTCATATACAATGCACACAAACACAAACAAAGACAGAGACTTCTCCTTTCATTTCCAGCTTCTGGAGGCTCAAGGAAAGTTTAGTTTAATTCTACATATTTTTGTAAATGTCCATACCCACACAATAACAAAACAAAAACAAAAGAGAGAGAGAGAGAGAGAGAGAGAGAAATGGGAATTTAGTTAGCAAAGCATTTGTAAGACAGATTACATATAATATATTTTATTGCATTCATTTTATGGTAAATCAGAATGACAAAATAATGATGGGAAAAATCAATTAACTAGTTTTTCTCAAAAATCTAGCAGGAAGATGATTTGAAATGGGTAGAAGAGAATGTCCCTTCTTCAGTGACTGATGTGTAAGTATTTGTAATGTGACCTATGAACAACAGAGATACTAGAAATAGAAGAACTAAAAACACTTGTCATTTCAAGTACATAACTGATGTTTTAGTAGTTTCTGAATTCTTTCTGAGGACTACCAGCTGCCAGTTTTCAATAGAATGTATGAACTTGAGTTGTAACTTGCTAATAGTTGAAGCTTTAGGGCAAAATAGTCTATTGCTGATTTTCTTGTTTCTAAGTAAACAAGGATTTCCCAAACTGTATGTTTTCCCTTTTTCTGCATTGTGTGTGTACATTAAGAGTCTGATAATGGACTATCAGACTATTTCGGTCTCCTCCAGAGGGGGAGCAACTGGAAATAGTGAATTTGCGTCACTTCTGGTCACCTTGAAGCCCTATTGGGAGGGGGGCACCCACAAAACAGAGTTTTTGACCTGTTGGAAGCATTTGCAGAAAAGTGGGATTGATGATTTGGAAAGCATAAGGGTATGCTGGGGACTTTGGGAGGTCAGGGGATAATGGAGATCTTCAAGTCACATTAGGTTCCCCAAGTGGCCATATGTAGTATGATTGTTCCAAATTTTAATTAGATAAAATATATATCTGATGTGTGTAATGATAATTGTTAGCATTACTCCTTCTTGCCAATATTGTATTTTTCTCTCTCTCCTTCTCTTAATGCAGTTCTCTTCCAGCGCTTCTGGATTCAGATGAGGTCAGTGAACAATAATTCTAGTCCTGTTCCTAGCTAGAGAAGGCATAAGCCAAGAATTAAGGAAATGATTTCCGCCTTTAAAAAACAGACTGTTTTAATTGGCTTGGAAACAAGCATAAAACATAAATATAAGGAAGAGGAACCATTAAATATCTTTTCTGAAAACTGGAGGTCTGTTCACACTGCACAATTTCATACCACTTTAATTATCATGGTTCCGTATTATGATGTCCCGAGATTTATAGTTTACTAAGCTATTTAGAAGGATACACTGAAAACGAGAGGGAATGAGGATTATGTTGGTTTAATTATACAGTGTAGACAGGCACTCCGAGTTCCGTGGGGAATAGTAATTTGGGTTAGTGGACTAACATCCTCTCGCAGAGAATCTGAGCTCCTTCATCACATGACACATCCAAAGTATGAAGCCATGGAAATTAAAAGTGATCTCAAACTGCTTTAATTGTGCAATGTGGAGACACCCTGGGTTAAGTAGTACAGTTGGACTTTCTGAATATAATGCAAGCAACATTTTGCCATTTACTCCTAAACCTGGTGAGAAGGATTTATCGCTTTTGAAGATAGCTTTTTGGGGGAAAAAGAGTGCCGGGGGGCAGGGTGATTCGAAAACTTTTCCCCAGTGATTTTGAATTCTATTCCATCTACAGTGTAAAAATATTTAAAATAATGCAATTATATGTGAGATTTATTGATGAAATGTTAGTGTCAGCAAATAGTATTATTTTTCAGTCCATATTATTGAAAAACCATTATTTGGACTTTTTCTTGTTTTTTTTGGCAGTGGGGGGGGGGATATATAAAAGCTCTTGGCTTCAAAGCCTTCACTTTTCACTGTTTTAATGTGTTGATCGTTCTTTGAATTTTAATTGTTTTTTTATCGGTCTATGTCCGTTTTAATTACTTTGTAAAAAAATTTTTTTGGTCATGTCAGGAGCAACTTGAGAAACTGCAAGTTGCTTCTGGTGTGAGAGAATTGGCTGTCTGCAAGGACGTTGGCCAGGGGACACCCGGATGATTTTATATTTTTATCATCCTTGTGGGAGGCTTCTCTCATGTCCCCGCATGAGGAGCTGGAGTTGATAGAGGGAGCTCATCCGCCTCTCCCCGGATTTGAACCTGCGACCTTCAGTCCTGCCGGCACAGGGGTTTAACCCACTGTGCCACCGGGGGCTCCACTTTGTAAAATGAAAAATAAAAAAACATTTCCCAGTCAGGGAAATAACAGACATTCAAAAGTCAGTACAAGTAACTATGTAATTCAAAAAATTATATTGGTGTCCCTCCTCCATAATAGGAGAGAAGAGATATAGGTTCAAGATTCTGAACCTATGTATTTCCATTTCCACTGAGAAGAGTTGGTATAATATCCAATTATATAAGAGTTGAACCAGATGGCATTTGATGAATACATATATCTGTGTTTGTCAACATACTGAGACTATACGACTGGGAGGAGGTGACCCACAGGGGAGAATTTTGTGGGAGTGAAGAGTGCTGAATTCTTCCCTAACTGCCATTTTCTTATGCAATCACCCTTTACTCTATATTTTCCTTACTAGAGAACTTAATGGCAATTTAGAAGCCCAGTTGGGGGAGGGAGATGAGATCAAGGAAGGGAAGTAGGAAGAAGAAATATTCAACGTTCCCACAAATGCCATTATGACTAAAAAAATATGAAAACCTATGTATAATTTCTTGTGATGTTTATGTTGTGCGTTCTGTATTGCAGTAATGACAGCATTCACAGTTATCTGTCTCTGGGTTAATTTTGCAGGAGAGAATGATCACACATTTTGAAAGATCTAAAATGGAATAAAGAAAAAAAAAGGGTTTGTAAGAGAAGACTTCCTGCTGTTGGAGAAAGGAACTTCTGTCTCCCATGGAATGTCCCATGATCTGATATGTTCCATGATCTTTGGAACTCTACGTTGTTCTCAGAAGAAGAACACTTTACTTGGATCGCTGTGAATGGAATGTGACACATGTTGATTTGCATCATTGCTGCAAAAATAGCTTCTAAAGCCATTGAAATGTCTTTTATTGCAGCATGTTATTTTTTAAAATATTAAGTGATACGAAAGCATTTTACTACTGCCTTGAAGACCTGTGAATCCAATATTACAGCCAAATCCCATGTTTTAACTGCACTGGGCAGAGAGAGAGATTGAGAAAGAAACAAGTGAAAGATTATGAATAATTTTCCCTAAACCAGTAAGGGTGATCCATGCACAAAGGTGAATGTCACCTTGTAGCTAGTCTCCAGGAATTAATGTACTTCACATCAAGATTCACAACATCTGAGGTGTTCTCCACTTCCTAGTGTGATTGGAGCTTTGTAATTTAGTTTTGCACACAATAGAGTATTTATGGCTTGCAGCTGTATCCAGAGATCTGTGGACTGGGGTCAGTGCCTTTCTTTTTTTTTTTCCACAGATGCAGCAGTTACTGAAGGGAGATTCTGGAATAATCTGGATGGGGTGGGGGGGAAGTGCTTTAGAACAAGAGTCCTCAAACTAAGGTCCGGGGGCCAGATATGGCCCTCCAAGGTAATTTACCTGGCCCTTGCTCAGGGTCAACCTAAGTCTGAAATGACTTTGAAAGCACACAACAACAACATCAAGAACAACAATCCTATCTCAAAAGCAGACCCACACTTCCCATTGAAATACTAATAAGTTTATATTTTTTAAAATTGTTCTTCATTATAATTATTGTATTATTTTAAAGTGGATTTTTTTACACTACAAATAAAATATGTGCAGTGTACATAGGAATTCATTCATGCTTTTTTCTAATTATAATCCGGCCCTCCAACAGTTTGAGGGGCTATGACCTGGCCCTCTGTTTAAAAGGTTTGAGGACCCCTGCTTTAGAAGAAGAGCTTTTGCTTATGGAACTGAACTAAATTATGACTCCATGATGCTTTTAGCAAAATCAAATACATTCCAGAAAAAATGTCTATTTTTTCATACTTTGAACCAATGATTGTTTAACTTTTAGTGTTTACACATCTAATTGCTGGCAATGGGATGTGAGTATGGTCAGTTCATTAAAATTAGTGCAATGAAGGCTTTCATAAGAAGTCTCTACTACCCAGCAGTTGTGTTTGACCAGTTGTGTTCATCCTGTGCTTTCAGTATATTTCTTTTGGAAGCATTTTTGAAAGACACAACCATTTCATTCAGAGATTTGCTCTCTGAATCAGGTCTATACAAACTGAGACCCTCCAAACTAAATCAGGCAGCTAGTCATATATTATGGCTAGCCAAATACTTGACAACACTCATTTTCATTATAGGTGGGCTGCCAAATTTGGAAGGCTATGAAGCCCCAGGTGGGTTGGATTTGGCCACAAGTTGTGCTAGCCATTTGTTATGTATGCAGACTGTGGAAAGTTACCTGGAAGAAGAAAGAATATAATGATATGTTTAAGCCAGGTGGTGTCAAACTCAGTTTCTGCGAGGGCTATCAAAGTACTGATTGTAATTGTAAGACTGTATGAGTGTAACTTTGTTGCCCTGGCATTGAAAACCTCATGGGTCACGTAAAATAACATGGCAGGTCAGATTCGGCCTGCGGGCCTTGAGTTTGACATGTGTGGCTTAAGCCATCTGTTGAAAAGTGAAGGAATGCTGTTCTAGATCGTAGAACATCTGCTTTCCACCGCTTGTTTATGGATAGCTACAACAGATTTTTACACTTCAGCATGCTATTATACTATGTTCATTCTAAAAGTAACTCTCCTAAAGGTATGTGTGTTTTACATATAAATGAATTTCCAGTGGTTCTCAGTCTCAGGGTCCCCAGATGTTTTGACCTTCAACTCCCAGAAATCCTAACTGCTGGTAAACTGGCTGGGATTTCTGGGAGTTGTAGGCCAAAACACCTGGGCACCCACAGGTTGAGAACCACTGGCCCAAACCAAGTGTGTCCTTGCTCTCTGAGCAGGGTTGGTCCCAGCACCTGTAGCCTTAAGTAGGTGTTGAGTTTCCATTGCTTTCACAGGGATCACAGGCACCTGACCTTTTAACATAACATGTCCTGCTATGGTCCCAGTATAACATTGCTGCAGGGTAGTAGGGAATTTAAAATAACAGATCATGACACAGCTGCTAGTGCAGCCAGAAAAATCTATGTTAATGAGCCTACCTGAGAACTCTTTGATAAGGTCCCCTTTGTATCTAGAGATGGCCCTGAATATGTAAGCCCAATACGTCCTCATCCGTCAAGGCTCTGAACATCTCAATATACCTCTGTCTGCGGGTATATTTCCAAACGCTTTGAAAATGAATGGCAAGAGAAGGAAAGGGTTTTTTTTTTAATGGGAGGCATTTCTTTAAAATTCTAGTGCCAAATTTGGGCTGTAGGAATGAATTCAACACATTCCTTCAGAGATCCCGGAACTAGGTTTTCTCAAGAAAATTTGAAGTCTGCGGTTCTCAGTTTTGTGTCTCAATTTTGTTTCAGTTGTACTTAGTATGGTAATGGGTTTACCTGTAACAAATCACTTGATTATTTGATTCAATTTAAGTTGCAGATTTTTGTTCTGTATCGTAATAAAATCTTTGGCAGTGAATCTTTCCATCTCTTTAACATTTTCAATTGTAATTTGCGGTTTCACATATTCTGATGCTTATATCCATTTAGGATCACATTCTCCATTATAAACACTTGGTTTATAACTTGAAATGTGTAAGGAGCCCATGCTCAAGGTATATTTTTATTGGGACTTTTATTTATTAAATTTGTATCCTACCTTTTAAGAGCTCAATTCAGAGCAGCTTCTCCAGTTTTGGCATCAATACTTCAATATGTTGTGCTGCATGGTACTATAAAAATGTGCATTTGCAAGTATTGGTCCATACAGAATCATAGAATTTGAAGGGCAGTATGGACCATGAGGGCCAATTCCCTGCTCAATACAGGATCTCCACCTGTATCCTCAACAGGGAGCTCTCCAACCTCTTTTTGGAGGCATCCAGAAAAAAAAAATAACTCACCACCTCAGTCTGATTTTTGTGTTCATGCTGCAGATAAAGAAATCTTACTTTGTAAATCAGTTTGCAAGGCTCCCATGATACTTATCATATATCTCAGGTGAGGTCAGTGTAATGGCTTGTTGCATCTTTATGGTAAAAAAAAAATCAGATGTATCCTCCCCCCAACATGCCTTCATAGGATAAATGAATCCCATCATCATTGGCTTTTGAGCAGTGGCTTACTGTTATTGAAAACCTGGGATCTCAAGGAAGACCCCAAAACCCTTGGCCACGGAAAGGTCTTGATAGCCAATGTGACCTTTCACCCTAAACCTAATTTCAGCTAACTTCCACAGATGACTATTAAGCTGGACATACAACTTTCATAAGTACTCGCCGGGGGATGTAGAAAAAGTCCATCACCCTTCAGACAGTAGGCATAATCCCTCAACATTGCCTCCACACATTTATTTATTTATTTATTTATCTTAAACGTTTATATTCTGCCCTTCTCACCCCGAAGGGGACTCAGGGCAGAGCACAGCATATATGCGGCAAACATTCAATGCCGGGACACAAATTCTTATATACATACATAAACATTAAAAACATTTATCAAAATATTAAAATACACCATTTAAAACCGTCCTAGTCATCCACGTCAAATCTAATTGGCCTGGTAATCTTTCCTATTGCTGCTTTATTGCCCTGTCCCGAAAGCCTGGTCCCACAGCCAAGTTTTTACCATCCTTCTAAAGGACAGGAGAGAGGGGACCGACCTTATCTCACCAGGAAGGGAGTTCCATGGTCAGGGAGCAATCATCGAGAAGGCCCTGTTTCTCGTCCCCACCAATTGTGCCTGTGACAATAGCAGGACAGAAAGCAGGGCCTCCCCGGAGGATCTTAATCTCCGCGATGGTTCATAGGGGGAGATGCGTTTGGACAGGTAATTTGGATAATTTCATCTAACAAAGAAGTTGCACAACCCCTTTCTTCGTCCTCCTGGGAACCCATTTCAGGCTGGCTAATATCCATTGCTACCCATTGTTTCACCTGCATGGACCAGTGTCCTCACCTAGACATGGAAACTACCATCATTAGCATCCATTACCTCAAACCTATCTACTTTTCTTTCCCTTCCCATACCCATGGAGGAACAAGCAACAGCCACAACACCTCAAACTGAGCAACATCAATTTATTAAATTTCCCTTCTAACCTGGAGACCAATAGGCAACAATGACAGATAGCACACTCCAGCCAACCTGCCTGCAGATCCTAGCTGGCCACGATATGGACCAATTGACACTCAGGACTGCAGAAGTCCTTCATTTCCAACCGCTGTCAAAGTGCTATAAATATTTATGCATGTTTGCATTGGGGTATGTCAATCTTTGGAGTGCAGACTCTGCTGACATCCTCTTTCAGCCAAAAGAGACTAAAGCTTCCATTCTTTGCCCTCATCCTGTGCTTTATTTGGTCATATGGGGAGCTTGACATGTCAGGTTTCCGAACGTGTGGTTCTTGCGGAGCTGAAATAACACTGTGGTGGAAAAATCTGTGGGTCTCAGGTTTCAGGGGCTCAAAATGGGATTTTAAAACTCTAGCTCCTATTTTAAATTAAATCTTCAACCTGTGAACAAGGAGATGGGGGGTGCTTGAGCACATTTAGCCTTGATCTAAAATAAATACATGCACATATCTATAAGGATATATTCATTTCAATTAGCTAGTCACAGGACTACTGGGATAGCCTATAGTTCCACGGATGAGCACATCCCTTTGGGATGTTCTGTGAAAATCTTTTTTTTAAAGTTTTTTTTAAAAGCCCGTGCCAGAATATTAAGCTCTTTCTGAAATTTAGTGTATCTCTGTTTTAAAAATGTAATCTGAATCGCTATTTCCAAATCTACCACACTACACCAAACATTCAGGCAATAGAAGTAAATGAAAGAAGGAAGACCTTTGTGGGTTCTCAATGCTTGGGCAGAGTTTCTCAAACTGTGCTCCTCCAGATGTTTTGGACTTCAGCTCCCACAATTACTAACAGCTAGTAACCTGATTGGGATTTCTAGAAGGTGAAGTCCAAAACACCTGGAAGAGCAGAGTTTTTTGAGAAACACTGGCTTAGGGACAGAGTTAGGGTTCCATGTTGGGGTTGTTAGAAATGCTTGAACATTTAATTCATGTGTGAAATACAGTTCTGATGGACATATGACAGACACCTGGGGGGGTGACTGAGGGGCATAATGAAATACCAGAGGGGATTGTAGAAATGGATGAGTCATAATCATGCGAGATGTATGATTAGAGGTTGCATCATTCATTTGTCTCTCCGTTATTTATTTACTGATTGTGTCAGGAGCGAATCAAAACAGTTGTATTGCATTAAAAAAACAGAATCAAACAAACAAAGCACAAAATTTGCAGGGGTTGTTGTAGGTTTTTTCGGGCTATATGGCCATGGTCTAGAGGCATTCTCTCCTGATGTTTCGCCTGCATCTATGGCAACCTACAACAACCCAGTGATTCCGGCCATGAAAGCCTTCGACAATATAAAATTTGCAGACTTGGTATTCTATTAAATGTCCTTTGACCAGTATCTGGCCACTTGGAGTGCTTCGGGTGTTGTTGTAAGAAGGTCCTCCATTGTGCATGTGGCAGGGCTCAGGTTGCATTGCAGTAGGTGGTCTGTGGTTTGCTCTTCTCCACACTTGCATGTTGTGGATTCCACTTTGTAGCCCTATTTCTTACGATTGGCTCTGCATCTCGTGGTGCCAGAATGCAATCTGTTCAGCATCTTCCAAGTCGCCTTGTTTTCTGTGTGCCCAGGGGGGAGTCTCTCATTTGGCATCAGCCATTGATTGAGGTTCTGGGTTTGAGCCTGCCACTTTTGGACTCTCGCTTGCTGAGGTGTTCCAGCGAGTGTCTCTGTAGATCTTAGAAAACTATTTCTTGATTTAAGTTGTTGGCGTGCTGGCTGATATCCAAACAGAGGATGGGCTGGAGATGTCACTGCCTTGGTCCTTTCACTATTGGTTGCTACTTCCCGGTGGACATGAGAGAAGCCTCCTCGCAGGATTGCGGAGCATCTGGGAATCCCCTGGACAATGTCTTTGTAGACGTCCGATTCTCTCACTCCAGAAGCGACTTGCAACATGCAACCAACCAACAGACCTTTTCAGGATCTTTAGTGATGACAAATCACCAGGTGTCTATAAAAGGAAAGTGAAATCCTCACTCTTTCTCTCTGTGTGTCATCCTTCTTCCCTCTTTGTATGCTCTCTTGCTGTGGCTATTTTGCTATGTGCATCCCTTTGTGAGTGAATCTCGTGTACGTGAGGTTGAGCACGACCCCCCACACCAGCTCAAACTAACAGGAATAAATGACTGGAACTGGTCATCCAGCCCTGTTAGCCACTGGAGAGCAGAAATCTGCATTGGAAACGGGGAACGCTCTGTGATTGGCTGGTGGACGTCACAGTCCCACCTCAAAGAGGGAATCCTCCCAGCTGGTGTGATGTCAGAGATCAGCTCATGGGCCATCCAGTCCAAGAAGCAGGAAAATCGCATTCAAAGCACCCCCAACAGATGGCCATCCAGCCTTTGTGTAAAAGCCTCCAAAGAAGGTGCCTTCACCACACTCCATGGTAGAGAGTTCCACTGCTGAACAGCTCTCACAGTCATGAAGTTCTTCCTAATGTTCAGATGGAATCTCCTTTCTTGTAGTTGTACTTTCAATGTAATAGTCTCCAGGGAAGCAGAGTACAAGCTTGCTCCCTCCTCCCTATGACTTCCTCTCACATATTTATACATGGCTATCATCATGGAGTCTCAGTTTTCTCTTCTTCAGGCTAAACGTGCCCAGCTCTTTAAGCCGCTCCTCATAGGGCTTGTTCTCCAGACCCTTGATCATTTTAGTCGCTTAACGGCTGAGAGGGAAAAGGAAAGGGCCTGAGGCTGTTAGGAATGGTGGGAGTTGAAGCCCAAAACACCAGGAGGGCCCATGTTTGCCCATGCCTGCCTAAGGGATGATAAAGGAGTCGAAGGAAGGCATCCACTTCCATCAGGAGGAGGAGCCTCTCCGCGGAAGTGAAGCGGGAGCCGGAAACGTCGCAGAGCCTAGGCCGGAGCTGGAAGGAAGGGAGGAAGGGAGGAAGGAAGGAAGGGCTTCCCATCGCTCTCCTTTCTGCTGCTGGAAGGGAGCCTCTTGGGGCCCTTGCCTTTGCCGCCATGCACGACGCCTTCGAGCCGGTGCCCATCCTGGAAAAGCTGCCCCTCCAGATCGACTGCCTGGCCGCCTGGGGTGAGTGGCGTCCATCCCAGGGCGCATCTACACTGCGGAGTTAGTGCAGTTTGGCCCCGCTTGAACTGCCTTGGCTCAAGGAGGTGGGGAGAGAGAGTTTGGGGCGGCAACAGCTGAAGACCTTCCCTGACCATCATTCCATAGCATTTGAGCCCAGGCAGTTCAAGTGGTATGGAACTGCGTTAGTTTTTAGTAATGTAGCTGCACCCCTTTCGTGATGCTGTAGGTTGTTGTTGTTGTTGTTATCCCCCCTCTTTTTGTCTCTGAAAGGAGATCCAAATTAGCTATCTTTAAAAACAAAGAGAACACACCACTGAAAGCCTAAAAATAAGATTGTTATTGTTATTATTTTATTTCTTTCTACCATCCTTTCTCTCTAAAAGGAGACCCAAAAGAGCGATCATTGAAAACAATAGAAGACACCATTGAAATTATTATACTTCTTACTCCTCTTTTATCTCTAAAAGAAGATCTCAAGCAGCTATCACAAAAAACAATAGAACACACACTGAGAAAGCCCAAAACATATTGTTGTTGTTATTAGTATAACTATATTGCTTTCTACCCCTATTTATCGCTTTAAAAAGAGACTCAAAGTAGCTATCACTAAAAACAATGAACATACATTGAAAGCCTAAGCATATTGTTGAACTGAAAGGCTAAAAATGAAAGGAGATTCCATCTGAACATGAGGAAGAACTTCCTGACTGTGAGAGCCGTTCAGCAGTGGAACTCTCTGCCCCGGAGTGTGGTGGAGTCTCCTTCTTTGGAAGCTTTTAAACAGAGGCTGGATGGCCATCTGTCAGGGGTGCTTTGAATGCAATATTCCTGCTTCTTGGCAGGGGGTTGGACTGGATGGCCCATGAGGTCTCTTCCAACTCTATGATTCTATGTCATTTTTGTTGATGATGTTGATGAGCTGCTGAACTTGGTGAGCGAAAGGTTGGCAGTTCGAATTTGGGGAGTGGGTGAGCTCCCACTGTTAGTCCTAGCTTCTGCCAGTTTGAAAACATGCAAATGTGAGTAGATCAATAGGTACCGCTCCAATGGGAAGGTAACGGTGCTCCATGCAGTCATGCTGGCCACATTACCTAGGAGGTGTCTATGGACAACGTTGGCTCTTTGACTTAGACATGGAGATGAGCACCACTCCCCAGAGTCGGACACGACTAGACTTAATGTCAAGGGGGAAAAGGAGGCCGGAAGCAGCTATCAGTGAGAACAGTAGGACACACGATTGAAAGGCTAAAAATGTTGTTGTTGTTGCTCTTTCTACCCCTCTTTCTCCAAAAGGAAATTCAAAGCTGCTATCACTAAAAACAATAAAACACACATTGAAAGCCTAAACAAGTAAACATATTATTACACTTCTTTCTACCCCTTTTATCTCTCTAAAAGGAGATCCAAAGCAGTTATCGCTAAAAACAATTGAACACACCATTGAAAGACTAAACTATTGCTGCTGCTGTTATATTTCTTTCTACCCCTCTTTATCTAAAAGGAGACCCAAAGCAGCTATCACTAAAAACAATAGAAACACACTTTTTTTTGTCATGTCAGGAGCGACTTGAGTAACTGCAAGTCGATTCTGGTGTGAGAGAATTGGCTGTCTGCAAGGACGTTGCCCAGGGGACGATTTGATGTTTTTATCATCCTTGTGGGAGGCTTCTCTCATGTCCCTGCATGAGGAGCTGGAGCTGATAGAGGGAGCTCATCCGCCTCTCCCCGGATTCTAACCTGCAATCTGTTGGCCTTCAGTCCTGCCGGCACAGGGGCTTAACCCACTGCGCCACCGAGGGCTCCTAGAAACACACATTGAAAGTCTAAACATCTTGCTATTGTTATTATATTTCTTACTCCCCTTTTATCTCAAAAAGGAGATCCAAAGCAGCTATCACTAAAAACAATAGAACACACATTGAAAGCCTAAACATGTTGTTGTTATTAGTATAACTATATTTCTTTCTACCCCTGTTTATCTCTCTAAAAAGAGACCTAAAGCAGCAACTACTAAAAACAATAGAACACACCATTGAAAGCTTAAAAAAACCCGCAAACACTAAAATAGGATTAAATATTGGAAGTAAAAAAAATAAACTCAAAAAATATTAATATTGTATCTAAAATGCTTGGCTCCAGCAGTGTTTGCGGTTTTGGATTACCTGTATTAGCATATACACGTGATCTTAGAGATGGGACCCAAGTCTCAACCTGAAATCTGCTTATGATTCATATATATATATATATATCTTATACACATACTGTTAATAATTTTGTATGCCATATTATTGGTAATGTATTGTACCTGGAAAAAACTTGGTGTACATTGAACCATCCATCAGAAGGCAAAGATGTTGCTATCTCGGCCACTCATGTGGACAGTTTGGGATTTGGGAGTATTTTGGATTTCTGGATAAGAAATTCATTTTGTGAATACAGAGTCTGTGGATGTTTACCAGTTTTATTGCGTTTAACTATGAATTTTTATATTTCTATATTTAATTCTATTAATTTTATTATTTATTATTATTTATTTTATTTCGTGTACTTCTACCCTGCCCTTCTCAGCCCCCGAGGGGGGACTCAGGGCGGCTTACAAACAGGCACAATTCGATGCCTACACAATAATACAAAAACGCATAAAAACAGCAGTTAAACAGTTATAACAATTAAAACAATCAATATATATCACAATCAATAACCAATCTCATGCTCAGCGTTCACCAACTCAGAGTCCATACTTCATTCCACATTGTCTATTCCTATCCGTCATCGTAGTCCTTTATTTATCTGCCAGATTGCCCAAACGCCTGGTCCCAAATCCATGTTTTTAATTTCCTTCTAAAGGAAAGGAGGGATGTCGCTGATCTAATTTCCCCGGGGAGTGAATTCCATAGGTGAGGGGCCACCACTGAGAAGGCCCTGCTCCTCGTCCCCGCCAATCTCACTTGTGATAGAGGCAGAGCCGAGAGCAGGGCCTCCCCAGAAGATCTTAAACTCCGAGGTGGGACGTAGAGGGAGATCCGTTCGGACAGATACGCTGGGCCGGAACCGTATAGGGTATATATTTGAGTGTTTATATGTGTTAAGTTTTAATTCAAACATTACTGTGCTTTTTAGTGTTATCTACTTTGAGGCTCCATTACCAGAGAAAAAGTGGGGTTGTAAATAATAATAATAATAATAATAATAATTTTTGAAGTTGTATTTTGAGAAAATCTGATTTGTTTGCTATTTCATAGTAGAAAATGTATAAACTTCATTAATTTTTTCAGTCACAAATGCCCCCCCTCTATTTTCCTAAATGACAGAAGTTTGTCAATTCATAACAGGATACTATTTAAATTAGGAGTGGACAACTTTCAACTTTACATGTGCACCATTTAAAATTTAAACCTGACACACGTTAATAATAGCTCTTTGAATAATTCATAGTCCTGTTGAGTCTGTCCTTCCCTACTAAGATGACTGTACTTTTCCAGTCAGAAGTCTTGTCTGTCACTTGGAAGATTTGGGGAACTTGGTCTTTTACATTCTCAGTAAGAATTTTGAGAATGGAGGGGGAAAGACAACAAGGCATTATATAGAAACACATTGTTGAAATGCAGTAATAGGTCACATGAGATAATATAGGATTAATTTAAATTAAAAAGAGAATGTGTGATGTTGAGGTGATGAATTTAGAAGAATCTGAACTTCAATCAAAATTATTAAATTGTTATATTAATATTATTCATGTTTATGTATTAATATATTAGTTTCTATTGAGGAGACACTGAAATGCATATAGGTAGAACAGTCTATAGATAATATTTGCTTGAGGAGGAGAGAAAGCAGTTGTGCTTTTAATATATTCATATATATATATGAATATGTATATTTAATGGGGGTAGAGTGTATTAGTTTTAGTTGGCAGGGAGGCAATGGAGTGGGAATATTTTGTGTTATTTTTGTATCAGATTCCATTGTTTCATTTTTAATTTTAGTGTCTGTGTTTGTTTTTTTGTTTTAAATTTGCTATGGAAATTTCATAAAAACAAAGAAAAGAAACAATGGTATATTTAATGCTCTCACATTGTTTTGCTGGATATTCTTGTGGAGTTGTGGAAGAAGATTTACAAGAATTTTCCATTCCACATTGACACAGTTGTTTACGGTGACTTGCTTCTGATCCAAAGCAATTTCAGTGTTTACAAATAGAAATGTATTACTTATATCTGGCAGTCATAGAGATGGTACAGCATTACGGTTACGTGAAAGGAATGTGTAAAGATAGAGTGAATGTGAAAGGGAGTGTGCAGACTGTTGTATATAGTGTTTGCATGTATGCATATGGTTAATTTTTTTGTTTTGTGTCTTGAATGGTTTTATTTTACTGTATATTGGTTGTAATATTCTTATAGTGTATGTTTTATGTAATTGATTATTTTGTTGTTTATGTTCTGATCTTATTTTGATGCTGTGTTGTTGGGCTTGGCCCCATGTAAGCCGGCCCGAGTCTCCGCTGGGGAGATGGTGGCGGGGTACAAATAAAGATTATTGTTATTGTTATTATTATTATTATTATTATTATTATTATTATTATTTGCATGTGGAAGTTGTAGCATTCTGCAATTTGTCAGTGTGGCTGCAATCTGTTGCATTTGATGATATTTGTGCTTGCATACTTGTACAAGTGTTCCATATTCAAAATGATTAATGTTTGTGGTCATCCTTATAGTAAGCATCACTTTGAGCATCGTATGTTATGATCCAAGTGGTTATAATTTGCATGTAAACAGTAGTTAACGTGCGTGTGCTCAATCCCAGTATTGTGTTTTTCTATTATGTTGCTGACAGTTTTAGGTATTTTAAAAAAATTATAACTTGCTGATTTTTGCATACCTGAAGAGCCATGGACACACACATACACACACACACACACACACACACACACACACACACATTATGCTGCTATAAACGAATATGAAATAATTTTCTCATTAAAATAGTAGTAGAAATGATTACATGATGCATCTCTGGAGCTTTGCAAACAAATTTAATCCATGGAGTTTGGTTAATATATGATATTAAATATGGTTAAGATATGAGTAGAAATATAATAGGCTTGGATGAAAAAAATGTTTTTGTTAGAATTAATACAATATATATTTTTGTTTTCTTTTGCAGAAGAATGGCTCCTTGTTGGGACTAAACAAGGACATCTTCTACTTTATCGAATTCGAAAAGAAACCGGTGGGTTTGTAATGATTCAGGCTTCTGTATATTGATTCACTGATGTTCCAGCTCTTAGTGACTTATAGATTTAAGCACAATACAAACAAGTTTACTTAACTGCATTTTAAGCTAATTTGTACTGTTTTCTTTGTGTAGACTTCACACATGATAGTGCTGTCAGTAGTAAGATCTCTGTAAAGCTTATGTACTGAAGGTTCAAAGTAAATGTTTTCTGAAACTCCTGGAATCTTTCCATGTCACATTTCTGGCTTTCTAGATGGGCTTACCACGTCCTAATGCAGTGATTTTCAACCTGTGGGTCTCCAGGTATTTTGGCCTACAACTCCCAGAAATGCCAGCCAGTTTACCAGCTGTGAGGGTTTCTGGGATTTGAAGGCCAAAACATCTGGGGATCCACAGGTTGAGAACCACTGTCCTAATGGCTCAACTTATGGCACCGTTGCTTGAAGATAATACAACATATAATGTATCTATGTACCTGTGAGATAGAGACCAAGGTGGAAATGTGGAGAAGATGGTACACCTTTCCCTCTTTTCAAAGTCCTGATCTAGAGTGTTTCACCCCTGTCATACAGGTGTTAGTTGCATGATTGTCTCATCTGACTTTGTGCTGATTGTCTAAAAAAAAAAACAAACCCAAAAATACCAATATGACTTCAGTTACTGAATAGATCAAGTTGTTATTTGTGAAGCTGTTTAATAGAAAAACACAGGACTCCTCTTTTGGCCAATTCGGGTCCTACAATGCCATACAGTATAGCAAGGAGAGTATTGTTTGCTGACTTCCTGTGAAAAGACACCATGTTAAATTCATGGGCCACTGGGGGCAGAGTTGGTGTTAGTAAATATTTTTTTTTTTTTTTTGCTCTATGCCTCCCAGCCCAACTTTCAGGTTCTTCTGAAGTTGAGGTGTTTCACCAACCAGAGGAAGCTTGGGAGAAGGTGTGGGAGAGACCAATTGCCCCAGCAGCTCCAGTACTAGGTTGCCCTCTCATTTTGCATGTGTCAGGGCAATATTTCTATTTATGTTCTTGTTTGCAGTCTTGTTGTTTAATGGGTTGGTTAGCAATTGAGAGATAATGGTTTGTATTTCTTCTGTTGCTTGAGGCTCTTTTCCATTCTGATTGATTTATTGGACTTCATTCTATTTTAAAATTGTAAAGGAACATCACTCTGAGATACAGGCCTATTCCTGGGTGTAAAAACAACCTATAAAAGCACACTTTGATGTGGTTTGGAATAGAAAAGACAAAAATTATATTTTCTCAAATGTCATTGTGTTATTAATATTAAGATATGCTAGAAAACTCTTTGAGGGACCTTGATGTCTTTATATGATAAATTGGTCTTATGGGTCCACCTTTCCACCATAAAATATAGAAATGTTACTGTATGGAGGGTTTTTCAGAGAGCAAGAAGTCTAAATGAGTTCCTTTTGGGAGATAGGGTGGTATAGACATAAAGATTATTATTATTATTATTATTATTATTATTATTATTATTATTATTAAATTTACAATCTCTAAATAGAGGTGAAAATGTGGGTGATGTATTCAAGCCCCATCAGTCTGAGTGAACATGTGGATGATGTATTCAAACCCCCGGTAGTGCAGTGGGTTAAACCCTTGTTCTGGCAGGACTGCTGACCGAAAAGTTGGGGGTTTGAATCCGGAGAGCGGGTGAATTCCAGCTTCTCATGCGGGGATATGAGAGAAGCCTCCCACAGGATGGTAAAACATCTGGGCATCCTCTGGGCAACATCCTTGCAGACAGCCAATTTTCTCACACCAGAAGCAACTTGCAGTTTCTCATGTTGCTCCTGACAGAAAAAAAAAGTATTGAGTCATTGTGTCCTGCAATTGAAGTTTGTAGTCCACCAACATTGGCAAGGGCATGATTGCCTACATCTGCTGTAAATATTAGCAGTGGAAGGAGGGATTGTAGGCAGGATGAAGGGATTGAAGGCAGGATGGAGGGATTCAAGGCATATAAAGGGTAAAAAAAGGGGAGGAATGCAAATAGTGAGGGAATCAGGGAATTAATGTGAGCAAATGCAGATATGTGTAGTTATCTTTTGTTTCATTCTAAAATATTAACAATAGCTAAAATAAGTGTACATAATGAAAGGTTGTACCACGGACACAGATTGGGAGGTGACATTTCAACGCCTTGTTCAGAAAACACAAATTTATCTGAAAATTAAGCTGAGATAATGTATGCTCCTCCTTTGAGAAGCATTTGAATCCTTCACCTCAAAGAACCTCATATATTTTGTGAGTCAGTGTTCTAGTTTTGTAAGATTAGCAAATTCTTTGCTGAATTCAAACTCAATCACCTTTGCCAGTCTGTTCCGGTCAAATCATGCTAGTTTTGAATTGCTGTTGTCTTACTTGGTAAATTTCTCCCCCTTTTTGCATCAACATCAGGAGAGGTTACGACATCAGAAAGTGGATGTAAGTTTTATATCCATAAACCTCTTTAAACCCTTGTGGCAAAATGTTTTTATTCATTTACCGTCTTAGAGTACTTGCTAGAGATTTGATTTGTTTGTATTTAATCTTGATAAAGGATCCCGGGGTCTTGCTGTTCACTAATGTAGATTTTGAAGTGTTTTGTGGTTTTAGATCACACAATCGCAAAGCCTGATTTATTTTTGGGTATGCTATTATGCATATTCATCAATTTCTTGCAGTTTTCATCTGGGTCTGTGAGACATGCAACTCCTCTCATGTGATAAAACTGGCAACAGAAATTTGTGGCATGCTTTGCTTTAGTTGCTGAAACACAAGTTGATGAGGTGCTAGCTTGAAAATGTATTTGTGTTCTAAAAACGTTTCTTTGCTCTGTATTAGGTTGCAATCGGTTTGAAGTAACACTAGAGAAATCAAACAAGAACTTCTCCAAGAAGATCCAGCAGGTATGTGTTGGATCTGCTGAAGGTAATTTTTGAGAGGCATTTCTTTGAAGTTTGGTCTTCATTTTAATGGGCTTGGATGAGGATGAAAATAGCTGTGCAGCTGCTTGGCATAGAGAGAAGTGATGACTGGAGTGCCGCAGGGTTCTGTCCTGGGCCCGATCCTGTTCAACATCTTTATAAACGACTCAGATGAAGGCAGGATCATCAAGTTTGCAGATGACACCAAATTGGGAGGGATAGTCAATACTCCAGAAGACAGGAGCGGAATTCAAAACAATATGAACAGATTAGAGAGATGCGCCAAAACTAACAAAGTGAAGTTCAACAGGGACAAAGGCAAGATACTCCACTTAGACAGAAAAAAATGAAATGCAAAGATACAGAATGGGGGATGCCTGGCTCCACAGCAGTGTGTGTGAAAAAGATCTTGGAGTCCTTATGGACAACAAGTTAATCATGAGCCAACAATGTCATGTGACAGCTAAAAAAGCCAATGGGATGTTGGCCTGCATAAATAGGAACGTAGTGTCAATACAATACAAAACTTTATTACAGGCACTCACCAGCACAAAGTGGGGCACAAGTGCCCTGGGAAGGGAAAACACAGCTCCACAGTGAAGCATTTTTTTTTTTAAAAAACTTTCCCCAAGTAATTCTAGTTTAAATTAATGTGTCAGTGCTGAGTACATAGCCCCACTGAATCAGTAGAATTATCTTGTGAGTTGTGTGGTTTCTGGGCTGTATGGCAGTGTTCTAACAACATTTTCTCCTGACGTTTTGCCTGCATCTATGGCTGGCATCTTCAGAGGAGATTTATTTTGTCATAAGAATTATCTTATGGGTTGATTTATTAAGTTGTCACAGATTCAGTAGGTCTAATATGATTCAGACTAGTAATAGAATTTTGTACTTTATACATGCATCACACTTTTAGCCAAGATCATCTTCCAAAAAGAACTAATAAAACCCCTTCTCTATATGATAATCATGATTACTACAGAAAACCTTTTTCTCATATAGAGTGTGTGTGTGGGGGGGGGGGGTGTAAAATATCATCTGCTACATATGTTGATTATACTGTTATTAAACACATGTTGAAGGATGCTGGGAGTTGCAATTCAACCGCATTGTAGGGTTGCACAATTCCCGTTCCTGATAGCATTACCAAGTGTGTCTTTCAGTAAACATATGGCCAGAGGGAGATAACCTGTATATAACATTATCCTATTTTGGGTCCCTTTTGGTAATTAATCTTCATTGCTGCTAACAGTTTTGATGGTATCTTATTTACAGTAAGTTTTTCCCTCTTAGATCCATGTTGTATCCCAGTTCAAAATTTTGGTCAGTTTGTTAGGTAAGTGAAATAACTGTTCAAATTAATCCTATTTTGGATTTGTAATCCCAAATTTACATGAGAGTAACTCTTTGAACTCAGTAGGATTTTAATAAAACATACATAGGAATGCGATTCTGTGATTTTCCTTGATTTCCTTTCTTTTGGCGGTAGACCTTTCCTTCTCTGTGTTCTTTCTTACATACATGTAAAATGCTTTTCTTTGCAGTCTGACATATGAAAAATTGTATAGGCTTACTTCAATTTAGAATATCATCTATCTGTCTGTCCATCCATCCAATTTACTGGCTGGTGATGGCACTGTAATCCATTGAGTTAGTAATTATTGTTGAGTCTATGGTGCCACCTTAAGAATCAGTATTTTGCCCCTTAAATCTTCATTAATTCATCTGAAATATACGCTTGCTTGTTCTCAGTTTTTGAAATTGTTGTGAGAGCATTATGACATTTCCATTGAATTACTTTACATGATGCAGCTCAAGCAGTAACTTGTGTACCTTATCTCCAACAGAAAACAACATCTATGTTCATGATCTGTTGACATTTCAACAGATCACAACAGTTCCCAAGGCAAAGGGCGCAACTCTCTTCACTTGTGATCTCAAGGTAATCTTTTGAAGTAGTCTTTAGTCTTATTGTGAGACCGTTGTGGCTTGGTACTGCTATCTTGATCTGGGAAAATCTAAAACTCCGAGCAACTATGATAGCAGCTAAACAGAGCCACAGTTTGTTGTTGGAGTGTTGACTCTGACTTGATTGCAGAGTCAAAATGGAACTCCTTATTTGGATGTGACAATAACCAATCCATGAAGGAAAGGTCTGCAGTGTGTTGAAATGCTTCTGCTTGCAGCAAGAGCAAAATAAGGGTGATTTACTAACTTGCAGCCTTGATGAAGTATGAAGAACTAGCTGTAAGAAATTAAATCAAAAATAATTTTGTGGTGGATGAGGACTGTTTTCATTACTTCCCAAACAGGGAAAAAACTTTAAAACAGAATAGTGCTTTCTTGTTTGGCCTTAATGGTGGTTTCTCTATTTGCGTAGAGAAGTGAATCTTACATGCGCCATTTCCATGGGCAGGAAAAGGCACCACTATAAAAAGTGTCAGGAGAGTTTAATCAAGTACCACTATTAATCAGCACACTTATAGCCTGGACTGATTTTTTGAAATAATAACAGCCTTTATAATGAAGATTTTAAGATAATGACTGCAATAATAATAATAGTCATCATCATCATCTTTATTTATATTCCACTTTATCTCCCCGGTGGGACTCAGAGTGGATTACAGTACACATATAAGGCAAACACTCAATACCTTTTACACAGTGAACAACAACGACATACATTACATATACCCAGACAAAGGTAAAGGCCTTTCCCTTTAATCTCTGGCATCTGGAGGTTATGCTCAACTCTGGCTATGGGGTGTGTGTGTGTGCTTTTGTTTCATTTTTCCATGCCAAGGAGCCTGTTGTCCGATTGTGTTTTGTCAGCATGTCTGATGGGGTGCCATTTTACCTTCCCACTGAGGCAGTACCTATTGATCTGCTAGGTTGCCAGAAGCTGGGCTAACAGTTGGGAGCTCACCCTGACTCACGGCTTCAAACTGCGAATCTTCTGGTCAGCAGATTTCCTGCAGCTAGCAGTTTAACTTGCTGTGCTACCGCACAAATGATTTATATAACCTCAGAGTGCGTAATGAAGACATTGAAATAGCTAAAGCTTTTCAATACTTTGATTCAACCTTAAGGAAAATGGAGACCATAGTCAAGATATCAGAAGATTAAGACTTGGAAGGACAGCTATGAAGAAACTAAACAAGATCCTCAAGTGTGAAGATGTGTTATTAAATACCAATCAGAATAATCCATGCCATAGGATTTCCATTTGCTATATAGGGTTGTAAAAGCTAGACCGTGAAGAAGGCTGACAGGAAGATAATTGGCTCATGTAAAATGTGGTGCTGGATAAGAGTTTTACAGATAATGTGTATCAGCCCTAGAGCAAATCAAGCCTGAACTCCCACTATAGAAGTCGAGATTACTAAACTGAGGCTGTTGTAGTTTGAACATAACACAGGAAAATATAACTGTTTGGAAAAAACAATGGTCCTCAGTTAAGTGGAAGACATTAGGAAAAGAGGAAGACTGGCCATCTTAGAGGTAGATTGATTCAATCAATCAAAAAAGCCACAGCTGTCCCAGATTTGCAAGATTTGATCAGGGCAGTTGATAACCAGGGCGCTGGAAGGTCTTTCATTCATAGAGTTTATTGTACATTGAAGTTGGTTTGATGGCAGATCTATAATCAAGCCGCTTTGAGTCTCCTCTGAAATAGATAAAGTGAGTTATAAATAATAATACCGCTTCGAGTCGCCTTTTTAGGCTGATATTTGCGGTATACAAAAGAAGTAAATAAATAAATAAATAAATAAATAATAATAATAATAATAATAATGATAATAAAGATTCTCTTGCACATGATGTTCCAGACTTTACATGGCTATGCCTTTGAAATAGATATTTTGCTATTTTACTCCACAATCTTTGCCAAACTTTGTGTCTAACATTGATGACTCAGTAAGGTGCTTAATGATGTGTCATTGAAGTCTGCTTTCTTCCACAGCACTCTGAAACAGGGGAAGAGGTGCTCAGGATGTGTGTAGCAGTAAGAAAGAAACTACAGTTGTATTACTGGAAGGACAGAGACTTCTATGAATTGCAGGTCTGTTAATACTATAGACAAGTGTCTCCTTGTCATGTTCTTAAACTTTTTGTTCATATTTTATTTTGACTTTTGCTAAATTATGCTTTGGCCACATCATGAGGAGACAGGAAAGCCTAGAGAAGACAATTATGCTGGGGAAAGTGGAAGGCAAAAGGAAGAGGGGCCGACCAAGGGCAAGATGGATGGATGGCATCCTTGAAGTGACTGGACTGACCTTGAGGGAGCTGGGGGTGGTGACGGCCGACAGGGAGCTCTGGCGTGGGCTGGTCCATGAGGTCACGAAGAGTCGGAGACGACTGAACGAATGAACAACAACAACAAGCTGTATTAAGTGTTCATTATAACTATTAGAGAAAACAGAATTTTTTTTCCTGTTAGCCTTACTTTTTGGGGTGCTATTGGTGACAAGATAATAATAATAATAATAATAATAATAATAATAATAATAATAATAACAACAACAACAACAACAACAACAACAATAATAAACTTTATACCCCACCACCATCTCCCCAGTGGAGACTCGGAGCGGCTTACATGGGACCAAGCCCGGACAACATTACAATAAAATAAAACCAAAAAACATAACCAACAATCAACATCATCAAAATTACATAGAAAAAAAAAATTCCAATAAACACATTACCACAGATAATGACAAAGTTAGAAAAATTGAAAGATAAAAAAGTTCTGTTTAAATTTCAGCGGTTTAGGAGTTAACCTTCTGACAAGTCTGTGAGTGCAGACTCAAGGATTTGTTGGATTTGTTATCCTTTTGTATGAATTTCAATAGTCTAATTCCTTTGTGTTTCTATTAGTTCTGCTTCTAATTAACACATAGTGATCAGTTAAAATATTATCTTCAGACAAGTACATTAACCACATTGAATCCACATGGATGTCGTAAGAGGGCTAGATGTAGCACTGTTTCCCAAGAACATAAATGTCACATGTATGTGGAGATTTGTTCCTTGGATAGTATTTTGCCATTGTGAATCCTTTCCCCCCAAAACTGTCAAATTACATTTTTGTCTTTTGGAATATAGGATGTCACTTTTTATGTTAAGGACTTTTCACTTGGTATTTCTTTATATATTCTAGTCATTTCTCATTAGAAAAGCCACTTAGTCATAGAATCATCTGCCTCATGTAAGCCGCACTGAGTCCCTTGGGGAGTTTTATTATTATTATTATTATTATTATTATTATTATTATTATTATTATTGAGTTGGAAGAGACCTCATGGGCCATCCAGTCCAACCCCCTGCCAAGAAGCAGGAATATTGCATTCAAAGCACCCCTGACAGCTGGCCATCCAGGCTCTGTTTAAAAGTTTCCAAAGAGGGAGCCTCCACTACACTCCGGGGCAGAGAGTTCCACTGCTGAACGGCTCTCATGCTTATGGATGCTTTCCCCAAGAACTTTGAATATAATTTGTAATGTGTGTTTACTCCACTGATAAAAATTGGCTCCAAGTGAGAAGACATTGAAGAAACAATTTGATAATTGTATTTTATTTAAGGAAAGTATCTGAAATTCCTCTGTGCTGAATTTCTGTTAAAATGTACTATGGAACAGAGCACTGAGATGGCTGAGCAGGATTATTTATATGTCACCAACTTGATCTGTTCTCCTTTTGATCCATAGGGGGACTTCAGTGTCCCCGATGTGCCCAAATCCATGGCATGGTGTGAAGATTCCATATGTGTTGGTTTCAAGAGGGACTATTACCTAATAAGGGTAAGAAAGATTTTGGACTACAGAAAAAGAGTAAAGAATGTTGTTTTGCTGGGAATTCAGTAGAATTGGTATGGAATTGTGACTACTGTATTATCAAGGTTGTAATCCTGTGTGTGTTTATATAGTGAAAAGCACAATTGAAACAAAGTGAAAATTGCTGCATCTGATTGTGTTCTTAAGTCTGTTTATGATCACTTCAATAGAAGTTAGGCTTGAGGTGGTTCCCAAAGGGATATCATGTTTGAGTCTCTGACTTTTGGCGATATGATCTTGATGTGTGGGATTTTGGGGCTAGGAATGAAAATGGAGACTCTGCCACATCTAAAGTTGAGAGTCAATCTTACATTGTTGTTTTGTATGCAGTTTTTTTTTTTTGGTGTGTCAGGAGCGGCTTGAGAAACTGGTGTGAGAAAATTGGCTGTCTACAAGGATGTTGCGCAGGGGACACCTGGTTGTTTTAACATCCTGTGGGAGGCTTCTCTCATGTCCCCGCATGAGAAGTTGGAGCTGATATACGGGAGCTCACCCCGCTCCCCGGATTTGAACCACCGACCTTTCTGTCAGCAGACCCATTGCACCACCAGGGACTCCTTTGTATTCAGTGACCTGCTTTGTTTATTCCCCTGCAGGTAGATGGGAGAGGATCCATCAAAGAACTCTTCCCCACAGGAAAGCAGCTCGAGCCACTGGTAGCCCCTTTGGCAGATGGAAAAGTTGCTGTTGGCCAGGATGATCTAACAGTTGTGCTCAATGAAGAAGGGGTTTGTACACAGAAATGTGCCTTGAACTGGACTGACATCCCAATAGCCATGGGTGAGAACTAGTAGAGGTTGGCTAAAACAACAAAACATCCCCCAAATCTCAAATTGTCCACATTGGTGGTTGTGGAAGCAGCAACTTCGGCTTTCTGATGGATTGATGTAAATTTGTTTCATCCACCAAATTATTAAAAATATTGTGCATGTAGTTACCCTCAGGCAGTGAATAAGGTGTTTATGAAACATAAATGAATTAAGTATTTGGATTTCCATCTGGATCCCATTTACAAGATACAATGTCTATGAAAATGTTACAAAATAATAACAGTAATAAAAAAACCCAACTTCCGGACTCAAACATTTTGTATAAGGGATACTCAATCTGCAGCTTTTTCTCTTTGTTAAGCCTGTGATGATGGCCATCCTTTTAAAAACAATATTACACTATGTAACAAAATTTGAAAAAAAAAAAATCTGTTCCTGGTTTGAAAGGGTTACTTCCTGTTTAGTTGTGTGGTACTTACTTTGAAAGTAGTTGTTATACTCCAGAAACTTGGTTTTTGTGGCTGCCATAAACTGTGTTGAATTGATTGAGACTCAATCAGATATTCATTGAAAAACTGTAACAAAGGATGTCCCACAAAAACAAAGTTTTTACAATTTAATAAACCTTTTCCGTATTTTTTTTGCTAGAACCAATTAGGAAATGACATTTATAACCTAGGAACAAAATTATGTTACTTAGTTTTGTCAAATCAACTTCTCTGTGCAATAAACAGTATGAGAAAATGACTTTTTCTCAGTTCTAATTTGAGTGGAGTTTGAGGTTTGCTTTCCTTTCAGATTTGGTGTCTCTGCTTCCCTATATTTTAAGTGGATATTATTCTAATTCTGAGAAGTGTTTTGAGTGCAGTGTTGATGATTCAAAAAGTGTAAGGAAAATTAATTGAACAGATGTTAACATAATGTTCGTAGAAGAGACATTGCTCCTGAATTTAGATTAGAGGCATGCTGCTCTAAAACCATATTGTATTGCTGACTGTTGTGTCTTCAAAACAGAATTTCAGCCTCCTTATATTGTGGCAGTCCTGCCAAGATACGTAGAGATCCGTACATTTGAGCCCCGTCTCCTGGTGCAGAGCATTGAATTACAGAGGCCACGTTTCATTACTTCAGGAGGGTATGAAATTTTATTTGTAATTTTTTTTGTCTTTACAAAATCTAATTCTGCATTCACACCCTTGTACTAATTTTTTAAAAAGTTATTGTTATCAATATTTCAAGGTATATTATAATGAAAGTTACCAACTTAAATAATTATGGGACAAAGCCTGGACTACGGTATTAGATTATGTGATTTTAATAATTTAATGATAATATGTTTTCAGTGGATGTTTTTATTTGCTGGATATATATTGTATGTAATGTATGGCATGGAATTGTGCCTCAACCCCTTTGGGGTTGAGAAGGGCGGGATATAAATAAGGCAATAAATAAATAAATAAATAAATAAATAAATAAATAAATAGTCTTTTCAACTTACTGTGGTACTTTATTTTTTTTTCTATAGTACTAATATTGTGTATGTAGCCAGCAATCATTTTGTCTGGCGTCTCATCCCGGTTTCCATTGCGACCCAGATCCAGCAGCTCCTCCAGGATAAACAATTCGAACTGGCTCTGCAGTTGGCAGTAAGTGGTAGGGTGGGGGCATTTTCATTTTCCTTCAGTATTGTTTATTTTTCTACACCTCCACCATACACTGAACATTAAATGAAAACCCCATTGTTGATTGAAGACCTAGGTATTTAATAACTACAGAATTCAGTATTCTTTACATTTCTATGATTTAACATGATTTTATGCCTGCTCACAGCATGGCTTATTTGTTGTTGTTGTTTTGCCAGCTTCTTCCATAATGATGTTCAACATCGAGCCACTTCTGTAGAAAGATTCAGAGTGAGACTGTGCCCTGTTAAAGTAATTCAGTCATCTTTAGATGTTCTTCACAATAACTGCAGTCTAAAAGTTAGATAAAAATATTTTTTTGCTTCATCTTTAGTATTTTTAGCTCTGTCATAAAACTTGTTCATGTCTTGACTTTTTAACCACAGGCCATAAAAACACCGCATGAGCAGTTTATAGTCTCTGTTCAAGTCAATACTTAAAATTACTTCCTTGTGCTGTGAGAAATTGTTGTGCTGATGACCCAACTGCATTTTTTAAAGTTGCTTTCTTCTTTAACTGTAATAAGTAAAACCATTTTTAAAGAAAAAAACCCAAGATACACATCTCTCAGATTTGATGGTCTTACAGTTTTTGTAAGTGTAAATAGAACAATAATTGAGGCTCATGATGTTGGGCTGCCCATTTTTTCTTTACACGCTGACACTATTTTTCATTATTTTAAAGTAATTTATTTAAAACACTATGCTATTTTTAAGAGACAAGTATCTTTTTGTTCTATTTTTCCCCTCAACCAAAACTTACGTTATTGAAAGAGTGGCTTTCTCGTATATTTTTGTATCTTTATATTTGTTAGGATATGAAGGATGATTCTGACAATGAAAAACGGCAACAGATCCACCATATTAAGAATCTCTATGCCTTCAACCTTTTCTGCCAAAAGCGCTTTGATGAATCCATGCAAGTCTTTGCCAAGCTTGGGACAGGTAAATTGAAGGTGTAGCCTAGTCATAAAAAGTGTTAGCTGCTAGGGGAGTATGGTAACTTTAAAGTGTGGTGCTAAACTTGAAAGCCAAAGTGATCTCCCCTAAAACGCAGAGGCTGCAAACTATTCATCTTGCTAGCCTTGAAGTCAGCTTCCTTCGGACACTTCTTCTAGTCTTTCAATAAGCTGCAGAACCCAGTTTTCCATAGGATTCAGCTGGACAGTTCAAAGTTATAATAACAGATGTTTGTAAAGCACTTTAAACTTTGCTAGGAGCTGAGTGTTGTGAACTTGAACAACTTGAATTTCAATATGAACTCCATCTGAATACATATTGCAGTATAACCTGGGAATGTTGTGACTTGCATTTTGTTCAGATCCCACTCATGTGATGGGTCTCTATCCTGAACTGCTGCCTAGTGATTACAAAAAACAGCTCCAGTATCCCAACCCAGTTCCAGTTCTCTCTCCTGCGGAGTTGGAGAAAGCACACCTGGCACTTATAGATTATCTCACTCAAGTAAGTATTTTGTACCTCCTATAATAATCCTTCCTTGCTCGTGGCTTGAGATATATATATATATATATATATATATATATATATATATATATACATACATACATACATACATACATACATACACACTATAGACACAGAAGCACATTTTGTGATGGTCTGGGGTCAGTCCATCACTTGTTAGTGAGGACTTGGTTTGGGGAGGGGAAGAACTGGAAGAATTATGGGAGTTTTTTTGTTGCTTCATTTTCAGTGCTTTTAATTCTCTCCCATGGCTTCACCTAATACTTTGAAAGAAATCCTTGGGCATGGTTTCACTGTCAGCATGAATAGCTGCTAAGTTAAAATAAATTAAAATTAAATCCCCGTACGGTGGCTTCATTATCTATGTTGCTACTTCAACTATTTTATTTTGGCCATTGTGTGTACTGCATTGTCAGTGTACACTGTGAACATTGTTCTCAGTAAGTTTCCAGTTTAAATATTTCAATGGGTATGAAGAAGAGAGAGGGAGAGACAAAGGGCAAAAATATAATAAAGGAAAAAACTGGAGAGGCAAGGGAAGTGAGGATTAATGGCAGACAGCATTAGCCTGAACCTATGTGCCTAGTGGTTTTCTTTTCTTTTTCTGGGATAGTGTGGACATGCTTTGCCATAACTTTATTCTTTTGGGCTCTTACCTTTAACTTCTGCAGAAAAGAAGTCAGTTAGTGAAGAAATTGAATGACTCAGATCATCAATCCAGTACTTCTCCTCTCATGGAAGGAACTCCCACCATCAAATCTAAAAAGAAGTTGCTGCAGATCATAGACACTACCCTCTTGAAATGCTACCTCCACGTAAGCTTTTTCCACCTGCAGTTCTCTGTCTCTTATTGGGCATTTAGGATTTCAGTTCTATTAACTTAGCTGCTCCAGAAAAATTGTTCTTGAATAAATGCAAGTATATTGATGCGGTGCTTACAATATCCATATCCATATACAAGCCCTGTAAAAAAACCTGACGCCTCCCCCCTTTCCCTTTCCCTCATCAAGTTTATGACAGTGGCGTTGCACTCCAGGCCTGGGAACACCTATGACCACCACACCACACAAGGGTTCAGGAATATAAGCAAACAGTTTATTGCAAAAACAAAAAAAGCATATAAAAATCAGGTATAAGAAAAGAAGATGTATGACCCCAAAAGGTTTAGCAACAGGTGATAAACAGTAATCCAAATGTCTCAAAGTTCAAGAGGTGACAAAGTTCATGAACAGCCAGAAATCACAGGTACAGTGTAAGTCCACAAGCAAGAGGTATAACTAGTAAAACTTGAACAGGAATACAAGAACAGGAACATAGAAATCTTCCAGGATATATTAAATCCAAAACCAAGGCTAGACTTGAACCAAGAACCAGAGAATCCAGCCTAGCTTCTTACTCTAATGCTATGTTGCCTGAACAACTTGCTGTTTAATAGAAGCCCATGAAATCATTCTGTTTCCCGTGAATTTCCCCACATAATCTCTCTAAACGAAGCAATCTATTTTCTGTTCTGATCTGTCAATGAAGACTTTTGTTGATCTCTGTAGTTACAGGTGGTTTCTCCCGGGAACCTTCCTTATCACTCAGCTCTTCACTCAATTCCTTATCTGCTGTTGCTACTTCTGACTCCTCTGAATGCCCTTGAGTCCCTGCACTTTTCTCAAAGACAGAATAATTATTTCCCAGACTTAAATTTCCCAGGCTTGAGGGCCCATCACTTTGTGCCACAGGAAAGCTCACAATCCTCTCTAAATCATCAACCTCTGCCTGATCTACAACAAGTGGTGCCATTAGAGCTCCCAGAGAAAAACAATCAGCGGTTGATGGATGTATAACTAGCAATCTTTCCTCGAAGATATAAGTGGAGGTGGTGGCAGCAAAAAAGTTTTGGGGTTATGCAAATTTTGGATTTCTGGAAAATGATGTTCTACCTGTAATGCATTATAAATGATACTCCTGCAATGATGCAGCTATGGATCAATTATACAGTTATTCCTGGAATAACTGTATAATTTGTGTGTGAAAAGAAGTGACTGGTTTCTATTAAATAAAGATGTACTTGAGTATTTGAATCCTAACTGCAGGGTATCAGTCAAACAGAAAGAAAAATACATGCTCTGCTGCCCCACCCCACTAAGTACATATTCTCAAATCATAAATCCCTCTATTTCCTTGATTTCCATGTTGTGTCCCTTTTGTGGATAATAGTAAACTATTTCTGATTCATTAACATTTTTTTCTTACTGACAGACCAATGTAGCTCTAGTGGCGCCACTGTTGCGACTGGAGAACAATCACTGTCACATTGAAGAAAGTGAGCATGTGTTGAAGAAAGCTCACAAATACAGCGAGCTGATTATACTGTATGAGAAGAAAGGCCTGCATGAAAAAGGTAAAGTGGGGAACCAATCACTGTGAAACATTTTGCCTAAAACCATGTAGATTTTTCTAGCTTGGAAGCAAAATATTCTTGAATTATATTTTCTAGTGAGGTTGTTTTTTTTAAAGTGCCTCCTGGTTTTAAGTTATTTCTTTAATGTTTTGTATTGTTTTGATTCATTGTACATCATTTTGGGGGCTCTGGCGGTTGAGAGGTGATAAATAAATATGATAAATAATTGGTAGTGAATTACTTAAATTAATTGTGAAACCTAAAGGTTAATGTATGTAGGGTTTTCTTTTCTTTTGCTGCAGCTTTGCAGGTGCTAGTGGATCAGTCAAAAAAAGCTAACTCACCTTTGAAAGGCCACGAGAGAACTGTGCAGTATTTACAACATTTGGGTAAGCATAACCTCTTTTTAAATTCCCTTTCCATCCAGCAAAGACCTTACAATGGCCCTGTGAAACAAAATTCAAAAGATATAATTGGTAGTTGTATCCAAAATCCATAGTATATATTGATGTAGTAGTTTAATATGTCATTGTTCCTTGTCTCAATCCATAGGGAGAGGTGGGTTGTTGTTCGTGTTGATGATGATGATGTCGACAACAACAACAACAATAATAACAGCTTTAAAGCTCACTAACTTCTTCAGCAGGGAAAGATGTAAAAATGCAGGGATATAAGATCACATTGTTAAGATATATTGGTATGTATTTTACTTGTTTGAGATGTTACAGATTTGGTTATTTTTGTGTGCTTCTTACTGTACTTTTATTTTATTAAAAAAATAAAATTCTTTAAAAGGGAAAAAGATATTACAAATTTACATTATTGTAATGCATTCTATAAGGGATTGTCTTTCGTTACTTTCTCAAAATTCATTGGCTTTAAAATGCTGTAGTCAGGTTGGTATCTGGATTGGGGTTACAGGGAGCATATGACACTCACTGTTGAAAGAGCTTCACTGGTTAGTGGTCCGTTTTTGGGTAGAATTCAAGGATGAAATTTGGGGACAGTAGGTAAATCAACCCAAAAAGTTAAGTGAAGTAAATAGTTCTCCTTCTTAAAGGTGATTTCTCAAATCATTTGATTTCTCATGGCGCAGTTTTGTTTCTTTAAAACACAGTTTTGTTTCTTGTTCTAGGCACTGAGAACTTGAATTTAATATTTTCATATTCTGTGTGGGTGCTTCGAGACTTCCCTGATGATGGATTAAAAGTAAGCACACTTGATAAATGATAATTTAGCAAAGGCAAAATCATGGTTTGCTCATTGAAAAGTGTAAATGTCAAGTGAAAAATACTGCTTAGGCCTTTCTCATATTTAGCTCAGACAATTTCAATTCTGGAAAGTATGTTAAATATAAATAGGCCAGTGGATTCTTCAGTGACTACAGGCCTACAAAGAAACTACTTTGGGTCTTCTACAAGGAGAAAGGTGATATATTAAATAACAGACAAACAAACATTCAAAATTGCTCCAAACTGTGTCTTCCTGTGTTAAGACACAGTATAATTCCACCAACACAGGTTGGTTATAATTGGCTTTGTCCAAAATGTTGCTTCTTATAATCCTGTTGTTATTGACCTAAAACAATTTTTGTTGAAAAGTGTGTAAGCCAGCAGTTATAAGTTTTATGTTATGTTATAAGTTCAGCACGACATGCAATCTACATCTTGTTTATCTTGTGGAAAGCCTGTGTGCAAGACTTTCTAGAGGTGAATAAAACCAAATAAAACTATAAGATTATATAAGGTACATAAGGCCCATATTAATTTGAAGAGAACATACATTTGCGAGTGAGAGGAAGGCCTTTCATATTTCCATTACTTTTAGATGTTTAGTTTGGATGTTGCTATGTTGAATGTAAGTGGATGGCATGTGCCTTACATCTCTGAGAAATACACAGCAATCCAAAGTGTTGATTTCTAGGTTGGACAAGTATGAGCCTTTCCTCTTTGCACTCTGTATCTATATAATTGTACTTCCTGCTTATGAAGGGAGAGTAATTATCATTGCTGCTTCAGAGGAGGGTTTGTAGCTCAGTGGTAGATCACATGCTTTGCTTGCAGAAGGTCTGAATGGCAGTCTTTAGCATCTCAAAGAAGGGCTAGCAAAGAACCGTGGAAAGGCACTGCTGGTTAGTATTAAAGACACTGAGCTAGATGAATCAAAGGTCTGTCTCAGTATAAAGCAGTTTCCTGTGCTTCTAGTTATTGCGTTATTAGTGATCTTACATATGGAAACATGTGACTAACCTCAGGAAAAAAAATGCAAACAACAACTTTGTGAATTCACTCTTTTGTCTGGCAGATCTTTACAGAAGATCTTCCTGAGGTGGAATCTCTCCCACGGAAAAGAGTTCTTAGTTTCTTAATAGAAAACTTTAAAAACTTGGCAATTCCTTACTTGGTAAGAATTTATTGTAGTTGAGCTAACAGAATTCTTGTTAATTGCATTTCTCTAAATATCTGGTGTCTGACTTGTGATTATGAGTGTAAATTAAAAAAAATCAGTTCGTAAAATAATAATACAGTTCTTATCTACAGAAGTAGATAACACTTCTTATCTACAGGAGTTTGGTTCCAGGACCTCTGTGGAAATCAAAATTGGTGGGTGCTCAAGTTCCATTACATGCTTGTCTCACTGCAAAACGGTGTCCTATATATAAAATAGCAAAATCAAGATTTGTGTTTTGGGTTTAAAAAAACACTTTCAAGCTATGAGTGGTGGAGTCTGTGAATGCAGAATCCATGGACAGGGATTGCATTTTGGAAGCACATAGTGATCTTTTTGAATGCCAGGTGATTGATCTTTGAAATGTTGGTGGAAGATGCAGTCTTCTTCAGTTAACTTTCGTCTACTGGATGTGTACATGCATTTACAGGAACATATAATCCACATCTGGCAGGAGGATGGTTCTGAGTTCCACAACTGCCTGATTCAACTCTACTGTGAGAAAGTACAAGGTTTAATGAAGGAGTATCTCAGCTCATTTCCTTCAGGTAGATATACACATAGCCTGCTTCATTGTTCAAAATGTTATTAATGAAAACAAATGATGGAGAAATGATAGTCGCAGAGCAGAATCTCAAGGGTAATTCTGTGAATTCTAGATTGTAGGTAGCCAATTTTGCATGAGAAACCTTTGTGTCCTCATCTCTGCATTATGAGAAATATTATTAGAAAGAAAAGGCATTTTGCATAAGGTACTAATGTCCAGTCAAGAAAAAAGATTCAGCAAATTTAACTGAAGTATATCAGAAGCAACAAATGAATCCATAAACATGTTCTCCTCCTGCAGATAAAACGCCAATGCCAGCTGGAGAGGAAGAAGGGGAACTAGGAGAGTACCGGCAAAAACTTCTTTTCTTTCTTGAGACATCCATGTGTTACAATGCCGACCATCTCATCAGTGACTTTCCCTTTGATGGTGAGATATGGCAAAGCATGTTGGCATCCATGCTGTGCACAGCCAGCAGTATTTTTCTGGAATCTAATTCTTATTTTTTTTAAAAAGTGTTCAATGTAAATGCTAGAAAAGTAACTCAGATCCATAGTCTTCAACCACTGACACTCTCCTCCCGGCATATGACCCAATTTTCTTTATATCTGCACCTAATGTAGGGAGGTTTCCACTATGCACCCTAACCTGTAAATATACATACTGTGATTGATTTATTTATGTCTGGAACAATTTTGAAAGTATGTAGGAGACTGAAAACGGTGATGGTTAATGTTGTGGACAATATGTGAATATGAGTGTATGATACCACTAACAGCTAAATTGAGTGGTCTGGTCTTTAGGGTGATTTCAAAGGGCCTGTGGAAGTGATCAGTTGAGGTCTCTGGGAAATCTGTTTTTTTCCTCTCCCTCAGCAATCTGCTATGTGAGAAGGGCACACATAGGGGAGGGAAAGTGGAGTACTTCTGAGAGAATGAGAGAGAGGGGAAGGAGGGAGTACTCTACTGTTTTAACCTTGGTCCCATCACCATTAGTTTCAGACCTGCCTGCCACCAGCATATTGTCCTCCACAGATAACCCCAGAAAGAAGGTGATCTTTGACATGAAAGACTTGTTACTTCTGGTTTTAAACAAGCAGAACTTGCTGTTTTATTTTCTCAGGTCACTGTAATGAAAGCTAATTATTAACGTACCAATTCATACTCCTCCTGAAAATCCAACGCTGAGTTCCTTTCTTCTTCATTTTTATGACAAACTAGCTTGGGTATCCGGCATTGCCTGGGTTATTTGAAAAAGTCATTTTTTTCATTGTACAAAATGCATAAGGTTGTGGGTGAACTACAATTCATATCATGCCAGGTTAACCCCAGAAAACTCAATCAGTACTTAAAGTTTATTATGTTGGGCAAGTTTGCTCTAGATGCATCATTGGTGGGGTTCAGTGTACTCTCTGGCTGTAGGCTAAACGATAACTCCCACTATGGTGAGTCAGTCCCATCAAACCCCTCCAGTAAGTTCAGTTAGTCATGGGGGTTCTGTGTGCCAAGATTGGTAGAGGTCACAGTTTCTCTGGTTGTGGGTGAACTACATCTCCCAGAAAGGAAGGCCAGTTGTCCTCAAACCCTTCCAGTAATCAACCAGTGTACCTAGTTTGGTCCAGATCCATCTGTGTTTGGGTTCACCATGATCTCTTAGTGTAGGTGAACTACAGCTCCCCCAAATCAAGATAAATTTTCCCCAATGATCTCCATTATTTTTTGCTGGTCACGGGGGCTCTATGTGCCAAATTTGGTCAAATTCCCTCTTTGGGGGAGTTCAGAGTGCTCACTGATGGCAGGTGAACTATACATTCCAGTACCTACAACTCCAAAGTGTCCAGACCAATTCCTCTCAAAACCCACCAGTATTCCAATTTGGGCATATCAGGTATGCATGCCAAGTTTGGCCCAGATTCATCATTGTTTGGGTTCATAGTGCACTCTGGATGTAGGTGAACTGCAACTCCTATAAATCCCTCCAAAGACTTCAGTATTTTTTTGCTGGTCATGACGGTACTGTGTGCCAAGTTAGTTCCAGACCCATTGTTGGTGGAGTTCAGAGTGCACTTAGATTGCAGGTGAACTATATATCCCAGTACTTAAAACTCCTATACATCATGGTGAATTCTCTCCAAACCTCTCTAGTATATTCAGTTGCTGAACAATTCCTATGTTTGCTGTGTACCATAGAAAATAATAGGAAAGAACTAAGGGAGAGTCAGTGGGTGGGGTCATGCAAATTCCACACCAATGGAGAGAGTAAGAAACACTGGGATGCCTGTGGTGGAGGTAACACATAAAATATAGGATGAAATGATACCTGTATGGAAGCCTTCACTTGGGTGGTGGGCAGTATTGTGTTTGTGGAGGACATTGGCAGGGCTCTTGGACATGTTCATGGCACTCACTATAACCTACAACATGTCATTGGAGGGAGAGCCTTTGTTGTCTCCTGAGTAGTGGGAGCTATAGCTGTTTGTGGAGCAGGAGCTTGTCTGTGTAAGTGGACACCCCAGCCACATACATACATACATACATACATACATATTTTCATTTTTATTAGGTGTATAGAAGATTCCCATAAGATCTTTTTTTCTGAATTACCTTGTTGCTGAGGGCAGTAATACCTATGCCAGCCTTTTGCCTCCAGGTCTCTTAGAAGAACGTGCCTTGCTGTTGGGACGAATGGGGAATCATGAACAGGCCCTTTTTATATATGTTCACATCTTGAAGGACACAAGAATGGCTGAAAAGTATGTTTCTGCTCAACCTGATGTTATATGTCGTTTATTAACAAATCTATTGTTTGTTGTGTTTTTTTGTCATTTATTTTTTACTTGTTTGGGTGGGAGGATGATGCAGCTTGTGACATAGGTTATAAACTCCAGTTTTGTTTTGTAACCATAATTTACTTTTCTGTAAATCTCACTTCAGCTGGTGCTGCCACAACTTCAGAGATGCATTGTTCTTTTTGCCTTTATCAGATAAAAGAGAGATGGGAGAGAAGGTCTGCTAGCAGAGAGAGAGATAATCTGAGACTAATATGATGTTTCTGTTCCATCTATGAAAGCTACCTCAAATGGAATCTCAGGGCTCCAAATAATGCTCAATTGCTCACTGGAGAAAAAGATGAAGTACTTTGGCCACATAATGAGAACACAGGAAAGCCTGGAGAAGATAATGATGCTGGGGTAAATGGAAGGAAAAAGGAAGAGTGGGCGACTAAGGGCAAGATGGATGGATGCTATCCTTGAAGTGGCTGGTTTGACCTTGAAAGAGCTGGGGGTGGCGACGGCCAACAGGGAGCTCTGGCATGGGCTGGTCAGAAACGACTGAACAAATAAACATCAACATAAGATAGACTGACAAATATGGATATCTGTGATTTATGAAATACTTAATCTCTCTGTGTGTTCTTCTTCACTACGTAGCAATTATTCGTTTGTTTGTTTGGTTCTTCCAGAAAAAGGAAGAACATTTATTAGTAATCACTGACAATTGTTATCTGAGAAGTTAAAATTTGAAAAGACCACACTGAATTTCCTTTTTATGTTATTTTTCAGTTATTGTCACAAGCACTATGACAGAAGCAAAGATGGCAACAAAGATGTGAGTAGTTACCATTGTTTTGAAGTTGATACTGCATATCTATCTAACATCCTAAGGCTGAACTATACAAATTAGTTATTTACTGAGCTTTGTCACTCTTTCTTACAAAGTTAGCCCTAGTCAGCTCTCACTTGTCTATTTGCATTGACACCTATTTGAGCAACACTTGAAATATTGTAGGCAAGTAGTGATTCAATTTGGGAAAATAGTTCAGAGGGGAGGAGGCATAAGACCCTTCTCATTTGGTACCATTGTCCTAATCTTATGCTCTCCCAATTCACATTGACTCTATTATTTTAAAAGCAAGAATGCTGAGGCTGTGTAACCAATAGGTTTAATGTGCCCTTTAATTCCCCAGTTTCATGTATGTAGTGTGTACGATTAACAAATACAATTGGCAGTAGTCAAGATCACTTCTTCTTAAATTGTGGGCCTGATCCTAAATGGGGTCCCGTTAGCTCAGTGGTTCTCAATCTGTGGTCCATGGACCACCAGTGGTGTGCAAGAACTAAAATATGGTTTGCAACCTCACTGTTACTACACCGTTGGAATGAGAGCAACTGGTCTCATGAAATCCTCTTATCATGCTGAGGCTTATTAAATATGGTTTTCTGTGCGCGAGCAGATGGCCACTACTGGATGGCATATGTTCTGTATCAGAAACTAGAGCGGATGTGGTATATCCAATGCAGTTTACTGAATCAGCATCCCAAATAACCAAACTGAATCTAAAGTTGACCAAAAACTGATTCGTAACCCTTTTGGTACTAATGTTGGATGGAGAGTGGTCCCTGGTCAAAAAAGGTTGGAAACCACTGCCATAGCTCAATGTTGACGTCACAAAAATTGGCAACAGTAAAAGATTTCTGAATGCCACCCATTTCCACAAATCGTTTAGCAACAACATACGGTGTTTACAGTGGATTCTGCAGAAGATGCTTTAGCTGTACTGCACACAAAGGAAAATCAGTCTGTTTAACAAACCTTGCAAGTGCTGATTTATTATCAGTTAATGTTTGATTTTATACCTATTTTATATACCTATATCCCCTGGGTCATGTAAAAATGTTAGGTAGAAAGAAGTCACAAGTGGAAAAAGTTTATGAAGACCTGGTCAAAATAATTAAAAGAGATATTCATATTGGGAAGAACACATGCAAGTCTATAAAAAGTTATACAGTATAAAATGATTGTTAAGACTGCTCTGTGTACAGTACTCCACAGTTTTATTTTCTACCACTTCATTGCATATATATTTGTATCCTATATTGCAAGTGAGTAACAACAAAGTATATATTATGAGCCATTGTGTTAGATAAATTTGTACAGGATTGCAGGCTTATTGGAATTGGAGTCTTTATTTCTATCCATCAAGTGCAGTGGGTTGATTTTTGCCATACAGGTATATTTGTCCCTGCTCCGGATGTATCTCTCACCTCCTAGTGTTCATTGCTTGGGACCCATCAAGTTGGAACTCCTAGAGCCTCAAGCCAATCTCCAGGCTGCCCTGCAAGTTTTGGAACTTCACCATAGCAAGTTGGATACTACCAAAGTAAGGATTTGGGGTTGCTTTTTTCCAGAATGGATAATTGTAGTGCAGAGATCTTCTCTTGCATGAACAAAACAGCCTTTTTTCCTTTTATAAGCAGTTCTGATGTGTGTGTGTGTGTGTGTGTGTTTGAGGAAAACTAAGCTGTATCCAAACAATATATGTCAACCTAAATAATAAACATGCAATTTGTTACTCTACAAACAAAACTTTCCAAGAAACATCATGTAATTTTCTTGGCTATAATTGACAATAAGTCAGTATGAAGTGCAAATTAATAGACATATTGTAATGAATACCTATATAATAATGTAAATTTTGGTAAATTTTGACAAAAATAATGTTTCTGTCCTACCACTTTTCTTATTTTATTACTAGGCAATAAACCTCCTTCCGGCAAATACTCCAATAAGTGAAATCCGAATTTTCTTAGAAAAAGTCCTTGAAGAGAATGCTCAAAAGAAGCGATTTGATCAAGTACTTAAAAATCTTCTCCATGCTGAATTTCTGAGAGTATGTTTTTATATTTTTTTACATTACTTATCATTGATTGTCAGTGTGGAAACTTTGCTTTCAGAATTGATAAATAGAAGTTGGCAAATTGTATTTTAAAAAAGGAAATTGGCTAAATATTGCTTCCTTGTTTTATCACTGTCTGCATGAGATCATTTTCTTTCTGTTCTTGTTTTGGCATAGGTACAAGAGGAACGAATTTTGCATCAGCAAGTGAAATGTATTATCACAGAGGAAAAGCTTTGCAGTGTGTGTAAAAAGAAGATTGGAAATAGGTACGTAGAAGTCTGTAGAAAATTCTACTTAAGCCTGTTTTTCCAGAGGCTTCCAGTGTAGAAGGTCAACTGTGCTCAGGCATTCTTATAATGGGTAAAATTCTATACAAATTCTCTTCTGAGTTATGTTATTAGCCTTTGGGATATATGTGTGAATTTATGTTGCTAAATTCTGTGGTTGGAGCCTTGAAATATTACTTTCAGAATTACATGTTTTGGCAGCTACTTAAAAAAGTAATTGTTCCAATCTTTTTTCTGTGGTAGTCTTACAATTATGTACAATTACAATTATGCTCTCTATAGGGTCACACAGATGTTCTCCTTTCCTCTCTGAAATGAGATTCAGAGCACCTAAAAAGACTTAAAGTGGCATGGGGCTATAACTTTAAATTTCTCACTGTATCTGTATAAGCTGTTGCCTTTTCCATTTCAATCCTATGCTGTGTTCTAACTACTAGTATTTCAATTTTCACAATCAATAACTTTCCATAGTATTTTTAATTACTGTGTTGAACAAATGTTTTGCAAGGTTATCCATCCCTGTTTCTTCTTCTGCATCTTTCTATGGCTTCTTTTTACCTTGTTTTTTTAAATTAAATCGAATATGTCCAATTAGAAAACACGCTTTTCTTTTTCATTTTTTCTGTCGCATTTCAGCCATTCCCTGGAAGGTGTAGGCTAGAGAAACAATCCCTAAAAATACAGATTCCTAATCATCATTTTGTTTTTGCCGCACGTTGAATTTTGCATGATTTTGTACATTTGGTAGTATCTGTGTTACCACTTAGCCATCTTACAGACTTTAGATTTTTTTAAAAAAAAGTTTCAGCTGCCCCAAATGTTAAATAAACCCCTTACTAGCAACACATGTATGTAGAAGCACACAAAAGTACAAAGACATAGGAAACAAAATATGAATTGCTTCAAAGGGTGTAAATACAACTGTAAAGATGAATTTACCTTAGCATACTTCGAAAGATAACCGTATCAGATGTTACTTTGTTGTAAAACAATTAAGATGGTAAATAACTCTTTTTAATTTGATCTTTCTTTTTGCATTTAGTGCCTTTGCCCGCTACCCCAATGCAATAGTTGTGCATTATTTCTGTTCCAAAGAAGTTGGCACAGCAGACACCTGAAAGCATTGCCTCGCATGATATAACTAAACCAGCTATGATGCTCACAGAAGTCAGAGAAGCTTAGACAAGGAGCTGACATCTCTAAGACATGTTCTGGGGCATGTTGCTTACAAACAACGCAAGTCCATCACTTGATCAGAGGAACTCCACTTGTTTTCTGCCTGTCTAGGCTTTGTAAGAATATGGACAGTGGACTATTTTTGATATACTTAATATCAACTACTCCTCATAGCATTTCAGCATGCAGAAGAATGAATATTAGCTAGCGATGAATTGTTGTGGTACTCTGGATTTTGCAACAGTTCTTGTTCCAAGGAAATGTTTTAAAAATAATGTTGGTAAAGGAAAAAATCATTTTGTGTTGGGTTGTACATCCCATTCACAGATGTCATAGTTTAAGCAGCATTGCATTGCATCTGCATCTATTTTAACTAGCTATTTGGAAACCATTTAGAGGCAAGTACTTCTAATAAATTGACACCTAAATTTTGCCTTCCAATATTGGGAAAAAGTAAATATTGGGGATAAAATATTAGTGGTTATGTCACTAATATAAAGAAGTTCCAAGGGAACTAATCTCACATGCTGTGATCAGAACTGGAAAATATGTATTTTTTCATTTTTGTTTTTGAGATGCATGTAAGTATACATACACATACTATTTGCACTGTGTACAGTCACTCCTGTTTTGAATGAATTGAACAGTAGCAGTGCGTTTCTGAAGGGAGGGGGAACTTGTACCAAAAAGTTAAAGCCACCTTTAAAGATGAAGACTTAAAAATATAATTCAGAAAGAAGATGAGTTTTCTGTATTGTTTGAACGTCTGTTTTATACTTTCTACACAAATTACACTGAAAATCTTAATTTTTAGGTACTCTTCAGTTTAGGGTGAAGCAAACATTTTTGAAATGTCAGTATTTTGAGTTTCTTGGTGTCACTCATGGTAATGCTCTTCTGTTGGTTCATTTACAAACTAACAGAAGATGGGAAAATACTGGGTTGCAGTTCATACCCCCACAGACTATCACATTTCTATTTAACCTGTTGTTCCTTAAGTCTTATCTGTTGTGATAGTGAACAGAGAAACAAGCTGAAGAGTAAGAGAGGAAAGGCGCATGCTGGAAGCAATTGGGTCAGGGTTATCAAACTGAAAACCAATTCAATCTGTTTACTTGTTACAATAACAGTTCTTAGTAATACCATAATTCAGTACATCGGCACATGAAATCCATTGACACTGTCTAAAATTCATCATTGTTCTCAGTTGGTTTGAGGAAGTAAAAGTTAAGAAAAAATCTTTCTCTGCTGTTTGGATCACAGTAACAATATATGCTTGTTATAATCTCAATGACCTGTTAAGCACAAGGATAAAATTTCTTCTGCAACCCAGTTGTTTTTTTTTTTGTCAAATCTTTCTCCTTGGTAACCTTAACAACACTTCCAGGCAAGTCTATACTTGAAGCCGCATTGATTTTTCTGTTATGTGCAGTATACACCACTTGTGTCTTACTGCTGAATTTCAGATTTGTTCTTGTGCTGAGATATAAAATGCTTTTTGGTGCTTTGTATTTCTTCTGTTTGAAGAAGAGAACTACAGTGCCGTGGGATTTTGTATGGATTTGTTGAGGAACCTTGGTTTCTGGTCTAGACCGCATACAGTGGTTGAAGATTGGGTGAGAGGTTCATATTATAGTAGATGGGAAAAATAATCTGTTCTATCTAACCCAGTGTTTCTCAACCTGTGGGTCCCCAGGTAAACTGGTAAACTGGCTGGGATTTCTGAGAGTTGTAGGCCAAAACAACTGGGGACCCACAGGTTGAGAACCACTGATCTAACCTATGATCTGTGTAGACAGTTCTGACACAGCACATGATAGCCTGCTGTTGATAAAGCCACATACTGAGCTAAGGTTTCTCAGATGTATTTTATTCTGTCACAACAAAGCTTTTGTGTGTTTCCTTACATACTTCTGGCAGAGTTGTGGTTTGTGCTGTAATGGCTCACTAGCACAGAAACTGAAACTTACTAACTGTACAGCAGGATATTGAAAGCAATAAATTATTATAAAAATGAGAGACTGGTATGTTCTAGTTTTTCTATAAATACAATATATTTATTTATTAGAAACATTTATATTCTGCCCTTCTCACCCTGAAGGGGGACTCAGGACAGAGCACGACATATATATGGCAAGCATTCCATGCCGGGACATAAAATAACTATAAACACACACACACACTAAAATCAGTTAGATCTACTTTAAAATCAGTTGTTTAAAGTCATCTAAAAAAACTATGCTGGCTCCAGTCAGTGAAGTGGGTTTCCTATTATTGCCTTATTGCACTGTCCCAAAGGTTTGGTCCCACAGCTAGGTTTTTACCATCTTTCTGAATGACAGAAGGGAGGGGGCAGATCTAATCTCACCAGAAAAGGAGTCCATAGCTGGGGAGCAATCACTGAGAAGGCCCTCTCTCGTTTCTGCCAAACGCATCTGTGATGGTGGCGGGACCAAGAACAGGGCCTCCCAGAAGATCTTAGTCTTTGTGGTGGTTCGTAAAGGGAGATGCGTTCAGATACATAGTGTATATATAAACAGAAAGATAGTATAAATGTTGAACTAGTTATCTATATTCAACATAATCTTTCATTGCCATAAAGGGTGTATGAGTCAGACTACTTGTTGAATAAACAGAGATTCAAGAGCAGAAGACTTCTGAAAATCACAATCTCTCTGCTGTTCAGTGGCAATGAAATTAAAGGTGCTTTGAAAGAGGACGAGGAGACTGTAATTATTGAAATGTTCTTTTTCCCTGTCTTTGCTGCTAAAGACATAGAGGAAATACCTTTGTGCAAACTCTTGTTTCCAAGAGGAAAAATGAGGAACTGAGGCAAACAGCAGTGGTGACAGGAAATTCATGACCTCACTGAAAAACTGCAAAGAAACAAGTCATTGGGTCCAAATCACATTCACTTGAAAGTTCTTAAAGAACTCTAAAGCAACATTACCATATCTTCTTACTAAAATATATATGCCTCTGAAACCATCCTTTGTACGAGAGGGTGGTTTCAGAGGCATCCTTTGTACGAGAGAGTGGCCAATGTAATACCATTTTTAAAAAACCTAGGGGATCCAAAACCTCTCAAGTTCTTTTAGCTAAATACCTATTGCAGGTTGTCCTGTGTTCCAGTCAACAAGTGAGCCAAGAATCAAGTGGTTGGGATGTAAAAGTTCTTGAGTTTGTTTAGTCCCAGAGTATCCAGCACGATGAAAAAGAAGCAAAAGGATGGTCAACAGGCCTTGGAATTGTTCAGTAAGTCAGTCTCCCAGATAAAGTCATCAAGAAGTAAAATAGAGGCATAAATTAGAGCCCGTCCAAGGTCAGGCAACCCAAATGGTAGAAAAGTGTTGCTAGTCATCAAAGTGGATTGGAATTTACAAAGCTGCCAGTTCCTTAATTACTGTAGGTCAGCATCATCTAGTACTTAGTAACTTCTAGTAAGGGCAAAATTGCACTTTATTTCTTCCTTGCTTTGCTGGATGAATGATTTCAGTGGGTTTTCAGCATTTGCAGTCTCCTGCTGTGCAGAGGCCCCAATTGACCTTAATCCCCAGTACCATAGACTCCGATCATTTCAGCAATCTGCTTCCTCCTCCCCGTTTGATTAGGCCAACTCTAGTGGATGAATTATGACACAGGTAAATTAGTGGAAAGTACTATTGCTATTAAGCATAAAAATGATGAAAGAGTCAAAGTGCCTTCTGCAAAGTTGCATGATTTTAAGATTTCTTTGAAACTGCAATAAACATTGGACAGGAGTAATCTGATAGACATTATTTGCTTGGAGTTCCAAATGGCTTTTGATGAGGTCCCACACTGAAGATTGATCAACAAAGTTAGGAGATTAGCTGATATATACTTTTAGAGATTATTCACTAAGAATCAAGAAGCAGAAAGTCAGAAGAAATGGGCAATTTTTACAATAACGCAATGGGATATTTTCCAGATTTGCATCGGGGCTAGTGCTCATTCACAAACAAAAGTTAGAGCTCACCATTAAACTGCCCAGGATTTCCAAGGACACTGATTTATTTGAAGTGATAAGAAAGGGGTTGTGAAAAGCACCATGGTAGAATGGGACAACTAAGATTCATGGTAAGTGACTGTAAAGTGATTCACACTGATTTCCTTTTCTTCTTCTTTTGTTTAAACTCAACCATCTCATCACATGAACTTTGTAAGGCATTTGTTCCATTTTTTGTTCTCATTGTAAGAATTTTTTCACAAGCTTTGAGGTTTATCTAGTTCTTTAAAAATAGAAGCACTGAATGGATCCAGTAAAATAATTGCTACATAAAGGGTTTTTTTACACAAATACTAAAAAAATAGATAATTGGCTCATGAGTAAATGCGCAAGATAAACACGGTATGTTCTGTACATCACATTAATATTGTAAAAACACACAGGAGTAGTTTTTAAAAATAGACATGATGATGATGTTTCTTAAGAGCTGGCTCTATGGTATTTCCGGGAGCCCCTGGTGGCGCAATGGCTTAAACCCTTGTACTGGGAGGACTGCTGACAGAAAGGTTAACGGTTTGAATCTGGGGAGCGGGGTGAGCTCCTATCTATCAGCTCCAGATTCTCATGAGGGAACATGAAAGAAGCCTCTCACAGGATGGTAAAACATCCAGGCGTCCCCTGGACAATGTTCTTGCAGACGGCTAATTCTCTCACACCAGAAGCAACTTGCAGTTTCTCAAGTCACTCCTGACATGAAAAAACAAAAAACAAAAAAAGTATTTCCGGGCTCTATATGCTCAGTCCGAGCCAGATATTTATCAGCTTTGGGGATGTAAACAATAATATCTTATCCAATCAAAATAAGATCTCACTGGCCTATTATAAATTATCAATGGCCTATACGTTATACTAGCCACTGTTTTGCTGACTGCCTGCCATCAGATAATATCAACCACCAGATTTTTGTAACCCTTTCATACCACAGCAGTACATTTTGCTCAGGTTGGTTATAGGCCATTTCTTTACTTTCCCTCAGGTTATTTTCCCCTTAGCACAGTGGTTCTCAATTTGTGGGTCCCCAGATGTTTTGGCTTTCAACTCCCAGAAATCCAAATAGCTGGGGTTTTTTTGTGTGTGTCAGAAGTGACTTGAGAAATTGCAAGTCGCTTCTGGTGTGAGAGAATTGGCCGTCTGCAGGGACGTGTCCAGGAGATGCCTGGATGTTTTTGATGTTTTACCATCCTGTTGGAGGCTTCTCTCATGTCACTGCATGTGGAGCTGGAGCTGACAGAGGGAGCTCATTCGTGCTCTCCCCAAATTTGAACCTATGACCTGTCAGTCTTCGGTCCTGCTGGCACAAGGATTTAACCAATTGCACCACTGGGGGTTACTCCTAACAGCTGGTAAACTAACTGGGATTTCTAAGAGTTGTAGATAGTTAAGCTTTTTGTTTGGAACTAGTTTGTGTCTATATTCTTAATATGATGCCACCGAACACATCTACATTTTTTGCTTTATACCATAAATGGGCATGCTATTTCTTTAACATTCAGGCTCCAGGCACTTTTGCAAAATGTATTTTCCAAATTAGCCCTCGGCCTGCAACAGGAGATCAGTACTCCTGTTAGGAAGGAAGGAATGGAAGGTTGAAGATAAATAGGTATAAGTAAGCAGCACTTTCAAAGTGGCTGTTTCCAACATTAAAGCACTATAGCAGGCATGGGCAAACTTTGGTCTTCCAGGTGTTTGGACTTCAACTATCGGCTGTTAGGGATTGTGGGAGTTGAAGTCCAAAACACCTGGAGGGCCAAAGTTTGCCCATGCCTGCACTATAGGAGTCTGTAACCTGAAAATCCAGCATGTTTGAACAAGCAATATGTCTCGCATAAACAAAAAATAACAATGGACATTTTGAGATGCATTTTTATTAAAGTATAAACAAAGGAGTAAGCAGAACAGGGTAGGCAAAATGCAGTTTAGTAAAAGATGGTTACAGGATTAATATGAAATGTTTTCCTTCCTATGACTAAGATGCTGTCAGGCATTCCAATCTGTTGCCTAACCATTTCCTTATTCTGATGCAAGTGATAATTAGATACTTAGTTATAGATAATTAGAATGTAACTCTTGAACCTTTACACAGTGGGGCATGATTCTTACTATATGATCCATATTTCTGTTTCTGTAATATCTACATTTAACACATGTTTTTCATCATGTACCTGGTGTTTAGGTATTTGAATATATTTCTCATTTACAATGTAACTTTGTATTATCAGTCTAGTTTGGAAATGGATGACTTGCTGATAGGAGATACATGTAAATCTTCTGCATAGCTTGAGGCACCTGTGTCAAAGGTTAACATAGGACTGCATTCTATAGCCAGGGTTGCTGCAAAACCTGTTTTGTTTGTTGTTGACTCTTCAGCAGAGGTGGACAGATGCAACGAATGCAAAGATTAGTCATTACCAGCTGTTCATATCACAGGATGAAGTGGATATCATGAAGTGGATATCTATTGGACAAGGTTTGTAGTCCTAATGGTTATCTTTTGTGCATAACCATTACCAACTGATCTGCCCTGTGTGCATCGTGTCTGACTTGTTCTCTCTACCAGATCATGCCTCTCTGATCTGAGTCTCTGATTTTGTTCTCTAGTGCAATACTGCTCAGAGTATGGGCTACAAACCAGTCTTTATCCTGCTTCACAGCATTTTTTCTAGAAAGTTTTAGCTGTTAATACAAATTTAGTGTGCATCCTTGGTATATCTTGGGGGGGGGGGCACCTATTGGTCCCACACACAATATAATAATAATAATAATAATAATAATAATAATAATAATAATAAACAACTTTGGGTTGTTGTAGGTTTTTTCGGGCTATACGGCCATGTTCTAGCATTTGATGGCCTGGCAGTGCCTGGGGCAATCTTTTGTTGAGAGGTGATTAGATGTCCCAGATTGTTTCCTCTCTGCTGTTTTGCTGTTTTAATTTTAGAGTTTTTTTAATACTGGTAGCCAGATTTTGTTCATTTTCATGGTTTCCTCCTTTCTGTTGGAACTGTCCACATGCTTGTGGATTTCAATGGCTTCTCTATGTAGTCTGACATGGTGGTTGTTAGAGTGGTCCAGCATTTCCGTGTTCTCAAAGAATATGCTGTGTCCAGGTTGGTTCATCAGGTGCTCTGCTATGGCTGACTTCTCTGGTTGAAGTAGTCTGTAGTGCCTTTCATGTTCCTTGACATCTAATCACCTCTCAATGAAAGATTCCCCCAGGCACTGTCAGGCCATCAAATGCTAATCAAGGTGGTCAGTTTGAACATTCACACCTAGCTCCAGCAGACAAGAGTCCTTTGTCCCACCCTGGTCATTCCACAGATATATAAACCCTTTTTCCTAGTTCCAACAGACTTCATTACCTCTGAGGATGCTTGCCATAGATGCAGGCGAAACGTCAGGAGAGAATGCCTCTAGACCATGGCCATATAGCCCGAAAAAACCTACAACAACCCAGTGATTCAGGCCATCAAAGCCTTCGACAATACTGATGTTTATTTATTTATAGCATTTGTATCCTGTCCTTTTCAAGCCCTGAAGGGGACTTAGGGCATTTTCCAATCGCAGTCATTAGATCATGGAGATTACCTGCTCCAATAATGAGGAATATATGGCAGTGTGGACTCAGATAACCCAGTTTAAAGTAGATATGTTGGGATTTTCTGCCTTGATACTCTGGGATACAGGGCAGCGTGGAAGGGCCTTAAGATCCATGTAATGCAGTTCAAACAGTATGCAACGGGTTTACATACACTGACCCTCCAGTGCAGTTCAAACTGAATGATTTGGCAATGCAACATCTGACTCCTTTTTGGTTAAATATCTTCTTTCCCTGGTATTTGGGAAATGACGACTGAGGGCCCTCCACACAGGCCTATATCCCAGAATATCAAGGCAGAAAACCCCACATTATCTGAGTGTGGTCTCAGATAACCCAGTTCAAAGCAGATATTGTGGGATTTTCTGCCTTCATATTCTGGGATACAGGGCTATGTGGAAGGGCCCTCAGTCTGGTCTTCCAAAAGAAGACTCCAATATTCAATTAACAGAGGTATTTTTCTGTTTCACAGCTGAGTTGTTTCCTCCTCCTGCCTCTTTTCCTAGGAAGGGGAGCATTCCTGGCTGCTCACCTGAGGGACTGGAGTAGGCCACGCCCCCTCCGCCAGACCTGGGCAGAGCGCGGCCTCCAAAGCGACCAGGGCCAAAGCGCGGAGGGACCCTTCTTCTCTGGCTCGCCCCCAAACAAGGCTCCCTGATGTTCCGCCAAGCGCTGCTCAATCACCGCTCGGCCCGGATGCTGCCCCTCGTGGCCGCCCTGCTGCTCCAGCAGAAGGAGAGGAAAGACACCGGCCTCTATCACTGGCGGGTGAGAGGAAGAAACATGGTGAACGTAGAGCTTGGGACTACGACTCCCAGAATTCTCTCTCGCTGTGCGCCGCGTAATCAAAGGCTCAGGGGATTCTGGGAAATGTAGTCTAAATGAGCACTTATCCAGGCATGGGCAAACTTGGGCCCTCCAGGTGTTTTGGACTTCAACTCCCACCATTCCTAACAGCCTCAGGCCCTTTCCTTTATCCCCTCAGCTGCTTAAGCTACATTTCCCCTCAGTTAGACTACATTCCCCCTCAGTTAGACTATGCTTAATTTATTTATTATTTACTAGCCGTTCCCTGCCACGCGTTGCTGTGGCCCAGTCTGTGTATGTGTGTTTTGTGTGTATATGTGTATATATATTTGTGTATATGTGTTGTTGTTTTTTGGTCGTGTCAGGAGCGACTTGAGAAACTGCAAGTCGCTTCTGGTGTAAGAGAATTGGCCGTCTGCAAGGACATTGCCCAGGGGACGCCCGGATGAATTGATGTTTTTATCATCCTTGTGGGAGGCTTCTCTCATGTCCCCGCATGAGGAGCTGGAGCTGATAGAGGGAGCTCATCTGCCTCTCCCCGGATTCGAACCTGCAACCTGTCGGTCTTCAGTCCTGCCGGCACAGGGGTTTAACCCACTGCGCCACCAGGGGCTCCTGTATATGTGTTTGCATATATAGATAGATAGATAGAGAGAGAATCATAGAATCATAGAGTTGGAAGAGACCTCATGGGCCATCCAGTCCAACCCCCTGCCAAGAAGCAGGAACATTGCATTCAAAGCACCCCTGGCAGATGGCCATCCAGCATCTGTTTAAAAGCTTCCAAAGAGGGAGCCTCTACCACACTCCGAGGCAGAGAGTTCCACTGCTGAACGGCTGTCACAGTCAGGAAGTTCTTTCTAATGTTCAGATGGAATCGCCTTTCTTGTAGTTTGAAACCATTGTTCCGCATCCTAGTATCCAGGATAGCAGAAAACAAGCTTGCTCCCTCCTCCCTGTGTGTGTATGTGTGGTTTTGCACATGCGTTGTAATGCATTTTTGTTTTTTTGTTTTTTTGCTTTTTAAGTCTCTTCTGTTGTGTTTTTCCATGTTTTTACGAGTGATGGTCACTCATTGGCCTGGTAGGTGTATTGTGTCCAAATTTGGTGTCAATTTGTCCAGTGGTTTTTGAGTTATGTTAATCTCACAAACTAACACTACATTTTTATTTATCTAGATTTATTTATGATACTAGCCGGCCCCAGCCACGCGTTGCTGTGGCCCAGTCTGGTGATCTGGAGAATAAAGCAATGAGAAAGTGTTGATTTCTAATATGTGTAATTTCTTGATGCTCGTGGGTAAACAGTATTTCTTGCTGTTTCTTTGTCAGTGTTGATGGAGATATTGTCTGGTTTGCCTACTCTGGAACATGCAACATATCATTGTCTTTCTTTAGGAGTCCTATTTAAATCTATGATACTCTATCTGTCATATACAAATATGTGTGTGTGAATCATATCTATCTATCTATATCTATGGCTGGATGGCTCTTTGTCAGGAGGGCTTTGATTACGTTTATTTGCCCTGGTGAAGGGTGTTGGACTGGATGGCCTTAAGTATTTTCTGTTGGTCATGGGGGATTCTGTGTGGGAAGTTTGGTCCAATTCTATCGTTGGTGGGGTTCAGAATGCTCTTTGATTGTAGGTGATCTATAAATCCCAGTAAATACAACTCCCAAATGTCAAGGTCTATTTTCCCCAAACTCCATCTGTGTTCATATTTGGGCATATGGAATATTCGTGCCAAGTTTGGTCCAGATCTATCATTGTTTGAGTCCACAATCCTCTCTGGATGTAGGTGAACTACAACTCCCAAACTCAAAGTCAGTGCCCACTAACCCCTTCTAGTGTCTTCTGTTGGTCATGGGAGTCCTGTGTGCCAAGATTGGTTTAATTCCATCATTGGTGGAGTTCAGAATGCTCTTTGATTGCAGGTGAACTATAAATCCCAGCAACTACAACTCCCAAATGACAAAATCAATTTTTTAAAGTGATGGTCACCCGTTGGCCTGATAGGCGTATTGGGTTCAAATTTGGTGGCAATTCTTCCAGTGGTTTTTGAGTTATGCTAATCCCACAAACAAACATTACATTTTATGGAGAGATTCTAGACAACTTCGTTAATGAATGGCAACCAATGATTCAACACCTTAATGTAAAGTTAAATTAAAAATGTATATAGAGGATGCTATAAGACTGTAGACAAGGAAGAAGTGGATGTAAAGTAAGAATCTATGATATCTTTTTATGTAATATTTAGATAGTAGACTGTTGTAGGCTGTTAGGAATGGTGGGATTGAAGTGACCCCTTAATAGAAATATATTATGAGATAAAGGATTATAGAACATTAATAGATAGAAAGTATTGCACTATATGCAACAAACACTTGCAAATGTATGTTTACTTAAATAAAATAAAAATAAAATTTTAAAAAAACCAAACCAAAACAAACAAAAATTACATTTTATTTATATAGATTTCTATCCCGCCTTTTCCAAGCCCAAAGGCGACTCAAGGCAGCTTACAAATTGGCAGCAATTCGATGCCATAACAACCCACAATATACAATTAAAGCATTTAAAACAGCATTATAAAATCAATACAATACAAAAACCATTAAAACATATAATGACCAAGCGGCTGAAGGAAGAAAAGGAAAGAGCCTGAGGCTGTTAGGAATGGTGGGAGTGGAAGACCAAAACATCTGAAGTTTGCCTGGGCTAAGTCCTCAGACTAGATTCCCCCTCAGTTAGACTACGCTTAAGCGGCTGAGAGGGAAAAAGGAAAGGGCCCGAGTCTGTTAGGAATGGTGGGATTGAAGTCCAAAACACCTGGAGAGCCCAAGTTTCCCCAGGCCTGCTTTAGAAGAAGCTTGGGGTTCAATTTTGTAACCTTTGTAAGGTTAGCCCTGGCTTGTACTTGGATAAGGAACATTATAAGCTATAGGTAGGCTATATTTCAGATGAAGGAAACTGGCAAAGCCTGTTCTTGGGTACTCCTTTCCCAAGAAAAACCTATATAAAATTCACGGGAATAACAAAAGTCAACAGGTAACTTGAAGCTGCAAGGAGTGGCTTCATGCAAAAAAAAAAAAAAAAAAAAAGTGGGTGACAAGGCTGTTGTACTTTATAGTAGGTAAGAAGTTACTGTCAATAGGTGTAACTTGCCTGCCAAACCGGAAAGTGCACCTTTGTTATAACTACTTTTAATCCGAGGCGCATGGACTTTAGCCTTTTTTGATCTGTGGCCCTTCCACACAGCCCTATAACCCATAACATCAAGGCGACTGGAATATATGGCAGTGTGGACTCAGATAACCCAGTTCAAAGCAGATATTGTGGGATTTTCTGCCTTGATATTCTGGGATATAGGGCTGTGTGAAAGGGCCCCTAGAATCCTGACCGTCATTTGATTAAGCCAGGTGTTAAATATGCATTCCCCCTGCATTTCTTTTTAAAGTGTGGATCTAATTACTGAGAAGTCTAGGAGATTGTTTAGTAAGAACATTGAGATCATGATTTTGTTACAGGGCAAGTTCACACTTGACTATTCCAAGCTATCTTTTTGTTTCTCATTTTGGGAGGAAAAGGCATTTCTGTGTGGCTGCTGCTAAAGCGCTGGGAATCAGAAACCTTTGCTGATCTACCACTCAGATTTTCAGTAGATAGAATCATAGAGTTGGAAGAGAACTCGTGGGCCATCCAGTCCAACCTCCTGCCAAGAAGCAAGAAAAATCGTATTCAAATCACCCTGACAGATGGCCATCCAGCCACTGTTTAAAAGAGTGGTCCCCAACCTTTTTTTTGACCAGGGACCTCTTTGATCAGGGACCACTTTGACCAGGGACCACTTTGACAAGGGACCACTTTCCAACATTAGTACCAAATCAGGGTTACAAATCAGTTTTTGGTCAACTTCAGATTTGGTTTGGTTATTTGGGGTGCTGATTCAGAAAATTGCATTGGATAGACTAGATCAGCTCTAGTCTCCAGAGCAGCAGAAAACAAGCTTGCTCCCTCCTCCGTATGACTTCCCCTCACATATTTATACATGGCCATCACATATTTATACCGTCTGTTAGGAATTATGGAAGTTGGAGTCCAAAACACCTGGACGGCATTGCATGACTCAAAGGCTGGCTTGTGTTCTGTTGTTGCTGTTGGAAAAGGGAGAGCGTGTTTTGTGTTTTGATTTTTAAAAACAAATTATGATGAATATTTTGGATTTTTGAGAACCAGGAAAGTTTACTTTTAAAGAGTGGTTATAACCAAGCAGGGAGTTCTTTTGTTCTGTAACTAATTTACACAGGACTGCAAAAATTGAGGTTCATAAAAACTTTTAAAAATGTACTATGATTATATAGGAATTTTTGTGTTCTAAACCTAAAAATGACCTCAGATTTGCTCCATCTCTTACAGTTTTTTCACAACTTGGTCTGACATTTCTATGTGGTAAGATCTGACTGAACGAAATTAACATAGAGATTAATAATAACATTTTTGAAATAAATGTGTGTGGCAAGCCATGCTTATTATCTTTTTCAAATTCAGCACTCCGAAAAGTACAATTATCTGTATTTCTTCAAATCTAAGATGCCTTTTGTTGTAAGGCACATGCTAATTCCAGCATCACCAAGAGACAAAAGTGTGTGTGTGTATAAATAAGTATCTGTGATTCTAAGATTCAACCCATTTTAGAGATGTAGAGGAAAAGTGCATCTTAGTATCAGTACTGGATTGTTGTAGGTTTTTTCAGGCTATATTACCATGTTCTAGAGGCATTCTCCCTGACGTTTCGCCTGCATCTATGGCAAGCATCCTCAGAGGTAGTGAGATCTGACTACCTCTGAGGATGCTTGCCATAGATGCAGGTGAAACATCAGGAGAGAATGCCTCTAGAACATGGCCATATAGCCCGAAAAAACTAAAACAACCCAGTGGTTCCAGCTATGAAAGCCTTCGACAGTATCAGTACTGTTTCATTATCCAGGTGGAGGCCACTAGGGGGTGCTAGAGAGAGAAGGTTATTTCATTTTATGGGGGCAGAGTTGAAGGAGGAAAACAATTTCTCCCATTTTCGCTTGTTATTTCCCCTCCTCTCTTCCCATATCATAAACTAGGGTTGTTTTCATGACAAGGACATGGGTGGGGGGAATAACCAGGGAAAATGAGTTTCCTCCTTCAATCCACACTCTCCCCATAAAATGGTCTATCCTTCTCTCTCCAGTGCCTTCTAGTGGTCTCCACTCAGATAACGGAACACTAACTTTTTTTCTAATACAGGCCTACAAGTGGGAGAATGGGAATAAAACTGTTGCTTTTGTAATGCTTCTGATCCCATCTTTTCAGCTATCTAAATGTAAACAGGTTCTTCCAGATAACACTTTCATTGCACAATCACCTAAACTAAATAGATAAAACAGCCATATATGGTCTGGTTTTGAAACCTAAATCTGCAATGTCTCCCCAAGTGGGAACACAATCTTTAAAGCTACAAAAAGTAAAGTTTCCAACTATTCTGGTTGTTAACTTTTTTTTAAAAAATACATAGAATAATTCTCAGTTGTTGCCAGCATAGAAAACTTTATGTATATTTACACATTTCTGTTCAAGAACTCTGCTCAGTAAACAATGTCAAATAACAGCCATACAAATTAAGACACATATTTGACATGGCAATTTTCTTTGCCAGATGAATGGCAAGATGGAAGAGGATAGATTGGTTCTGAGGTGACAGAAATGGAGGCTCAGAATAAAGACTATTGGTGGGATTTACTTGCATAGTTATGTATGTATGTATGTATGTATGTATGTATATATGTATGTGTGTGTATATATATATCTATATATCTATATATGGTATATCTTGTAAGCCGCTGTGAGTCCTCTTCGGGGTGAGAAGGACAGCATATAAATGCTGTAAATAAATAAATAGTTGTGATTTTATTTTAGTAGTATAATTTGCCACTCTTCAAAGCATCACACTTTGAATTGTCCAGTAGAATATTACCTGAAATCTTTCCCCAGGAGTTCACATATAGGAGATTATTATCTTTACTAACCTGTCTTGTGTTTCCTTATACAAAAGCCTATCAAGAATCATTTCTTGTGATGGCTTATAATCAACAAGTCAAAACTTGACTTTGACTACTCATGCAGCCTCCCTAAGCTTATGCTTCATGATTTTATCTGTTTTGCTTTTTTAAGTAATATAGTTAGCTGATGATTAATATATTTTGGACTGTTTATCTTTTCAGAAGGAGAAACATAAGTACTACAATCTCACAGTAAAAGTTCTCCGAGCCAGAAATATTAAAGGAACTGATTTGTGTAAGTAGACTTTATTACATTTGGGTTTTTGAAATGCTTTGGAAAACTTTTATTTTTTTTCTATTCTTATAATGCCTTCTATTTAATAGGATTGGAAATATTTGTATTTCTTGTAGATCAAAAGCTACAGGTTCTGCCTTTTTAGTTTCTCCTAGGGTATATTTATTTCTAAATTTTGTGTATGTTGGGTTCTTTATATCATTACCACAAAATGTAATTTTAACACATTATTTAAAACAATGGAATGTGATTTCTCTAAAAGAGGATAAACTACTGCCATTGGTAATCAGCATGGCAGAAAACCCTCACGTCAAGAACATGTGACAGTTTTCACCACCTATTCAGCACATGACTTGCTTCTGTTGCATTATAGTGACTGACAAATAGTCATTGAGATCATCCATGAGAGAGAGAGAGGGAGGAGGAAGTTGGATTAATAGCAATAGGGTTCCTAAGGTTTGAAAGTACACTGAAGATTCAGTTTTGGCCCAACAGATCAAAATACTTTCTGAAATGTGTGAAAGGACAATCCTGACATACATGCTGGATAATCTACACTGTGTCCTTAAAGCAGTGCCTCATTAAATCAGTATATCCAAAGCATACTTACCAGGGCATGGCAGCAGCCATATGGTTTACATGGAGGGGAGATTGGAAGAAGATGTTGAGTTTGTAAAAAAGTTGTGGATGTGTGTAAAAAGCATATCATACTGCCAAAAAGTGAGCTACTTTGAAGTGTAGCTTGTCTTCCTCCTAGTTTGTAGTTAGATGTGAAGAATGTATTCCAATTTATATTGGAAGTTGGTCACATTTCTATCTTCTTCCCTGAAGTATCCAAGGCAGATTGCTATGTGGAACTGCGGCTTCCCACTGCATCACCAATTACTCGTCGAACTAAAGTTATTGACAACTGCAGTGATCCTGAATGGAATGAAACATTTCACTTTAAAATTCACAATGCTGTCAAGGTAAAGGATGGCATTTCTTGATACACGATTGTTAATATTGGGTAACATTCTTATTCTTACAAAGGGTGAAATTGACTTAATTTTCTGGAGCAAAAATATGTTATAGGCAAGTAAAACGTTGCCTAATCCTCAATTTTCAGTAGTCTGTTGCTATGTTTTGCCATTGTGTACAATTTGAATTGGAATAGCTTTGGGGGTAGTGGGATGAGACAGGGTGCACTAAGTAGCAGCAGAGTGCAGGAAGGAGGTCCCTAATTCATTCTTTCTGCTTGGGTCAGCTGCTGCCATGGTCTTCCTTGCTCAGAATGAGCTGCCCAGGATCATTTGAGCTACTCTCTTTGGCCATCTGTTTCTAAATACATTACCACAATTTAAATATCATAATTAGTGTACTTATTATTCAGTGTATAAATACGATCCTCCTTGAACATTTCAAAAGCCAGCAATAAATACAAAATAGATCTAATTTAATAAATGTGATCATAAATATATTGGATCTGAGCAGTCTTTATACACAGATTTACAATGCAGAGAGAAGTCACTGGTGATCGAATGGCTGGATGCCTCATCCTGACATCTAAGGAAGTGACTTCCTCAGCAGCTAGAAAATTGTGGTGACTAGAATTTGGGATATGGATAGTAAAACAATTTCAGTGCAGAAAATTTCTTTTTCTTCCCACTATCAAATGATCCTGAAAAAAGTGTAATTGCTAGCGTACTGGCTAAACAAGATTTTGGCCTGAATTTTTCTAGTTCAGCAAATAAAAGCTATGCTAACTTTTGAGAAAGCACACTGGTTTGTAAAAAGGTATAGGGGAATCTTAACATCACAATTATAATAATAGGAAGCAATAAAGTTTATCTCTCTGAAAATTGTCATGTTTGCATCTTGAATATGACATTTAACTGAGCACAATTCTTATCCTTCTATTCAGCACTCTATTCTTTCCTCTTTCAGAATACTTTGGTGTTGGCACTTTTTGATGAAGATGTTCTTGTAAGCGATGAGCTTACATCTGTTATATTTGACGTGACAGGGCTTAAAGCGGGGCGTCCTCTGAAAGAGACGTTCAAGCTGAAAGAAGTAAGTCCTTTTGCTGTCGAGTGCATTTCAAACAGGCTCATAGATATGAATATAATCAAATACCTTTCACAATGTTGATGTTTTTGTAACTTCAAAGTTATCTCCTTGAAAAGAGGAAAGATATTTGCATAAGATTTACATATGCTAATTTGCACATTTAGAAATATTTGTAATCCATTCATCAATCTGTGGTTTAGGAAATGATTGGATAGGCAATGGTTGTATCCTTAATTCCTTAAGCTAGAGCAACATTTAAAGCAATACCACTTGTGTCCTGGGTTTGGTTTTAAAATTATTTTTCTGCTTGTGTATGATGTGTTAATGTGGTACTTATTTATCTATAGGATGGAGAAGAACTGGATGTAGAGTTTTTTCTAGAGAAAAGGTGAGAGTTGCTGTATTTTACAGTGTGACATAGTCCTAAACACACAAGAGAACCCATGTGCTATAGTAGTTGGAGAATTGGACTATGACTCTGAATACGTGTTACATATATTTTCATTCATTCACACACTCGCGCACAATATTTTTATAAAATCTTTTTAAAATGCATTAAGACAGAAAAGAAAGTATTCTGAATGTATGTAAGATTGAGTACACCATTCCTTATTGTAATCCTTTGTCTGATCCAGTTCCTTCAGATTCAGTTCCTTCCCCCCCTGTATCTTTAAGAATCAGATCAACTGCTTTCATTTGCTTCTATAAAATCCCTGGAGTTCTTTTAGAAATCCGGAATAGATTTATCTTCTCTTATGATACATCTTGTCTTATTATTTGTTGGGGTTTGGGAGTTCAACAACAGGAATGTCAAGGGTTATCATTCTGTAAGCTAGAAATTTAATAGCTCAGTTTTGGAGAGAGTAATGGGTATACATTCTTATTCACAATGACTTTCCTCCTTTTATAGTTCCGATGCTCCCGGTGAGGTTGTCACAAATGGAGCCCTTGTGGTGAGTGTTCAGAAGAACAGATAGTATAATATCTGGGAATTGCATATTATAACTTAATAATGAGGTTTCCATATTTAAATAGGGCATCTTCTGCTGATATTTTAAGACATTTTATGTTTATTGATTGTTTTATTTGTTTTATTTATGTGTTTGGATTGTTGTTTGTATGATATTTATATGTTGGAAGCTGTTTTGTGTCCCTTTGTGGGAAAAGTGGAGTATAAATAAAGATTTAATATTATGATGATGATGACATTAGAGCCTCCTCCAAAGCATTTGGCCCCAGGCACCACCCTGGCCATTATTTAGGGTCTTGTCATGCACTTTATCGACTTCCTCGGGCCTATGTTTCCCCCATTGACCCAGCCCTCTTGTGGTTATGCAGCGCAACTTGGAAACAATAGCTTCAGGCCCCACCCTGACCATCAGGTAGGCCATGCTTGCACGTTACCCACTCCCTAGCCCTAGTCTACTCCATTGTGCCAACCCAGCCCTCTCATAGTTGTTGAGGCCCACTTTGGAATCTTAGCCATTGGAAGCAGAGATGCCTAATGTAATGAGTATTGGATTGGCTTTAATTTAAATTTGTGTGATTGTTATATAGTACTATGTTTATATGTTTATAATGTTTTTGTATGCTCTAATGTCAGTAAGTGCAATGCTTACCATGCTGGAAACTGCCCTGAGTCCCCTCAGGGAGATAGAGCAGTATACAACAGTATACAAATAAAGGTTTATTGTTGTTGTTGTTATTATTATTATTGTTATTATTGTATTGTCGAAGGCTTTCATGGCTGGAATCACTAGGTTCTTGTGGGTTTTTCGGGCTATAGAGGCATGTTCTAGAGGCATTTCTCCTGACATTTCGCCTGCATCTATGGCAAGCATCCTCAGAGGTAGTGAGGTCTGTTGGAATTAGGACAATGGGTTTATATATCTGTGGAATGGCTGGGGTGGGACAAAGAGCTTTTCTCTGCTAGATGCAGGCGAAACGTCAGTAGAAATGCCTCTAGAACATGGCTCTATAGCCCGAAAAAACCCACAAGAACCTATTGTTATTATTATTTGTAATCTGTTAGAAATAGAAGCTCGTTCACTAGCAAATAAAAACATGCTGAACATGGCAGATATTCAATCAGTGTTCTATAATATTCTATTATTAATTAATTAATTAATTTATTTATTTACTGCATTTGTAGACCGCCGTTCTCAGCCCTAGGGCGACTCATGATGACATGAGAGCCTCTTCCAAAGTGTTTGTCATCTGTTAGAGATAGAAAGGCATTCACTGTCATGTTCAGCATGTAAAAACATGCTGAACATGACAGATATTTGATCAGTGTTCTATAATGTTTAAAGAGATGACAGCTCACAAGCAGGCCATTAGGATAATAGCAATGTACACACAATTTCCCCAGCAGCAGTATTGGTGGTGGTGATGGTAGTAGTAATAACAGTAACAGTTTTGATTTTCATAATGTTTTTTAACCCTTGATAGATTTCTCCTCCATGAATTTGTCTTTTCTACTTTTAAAGCTGTCCAGTTTGATGGTCTATTCCATAGTTTATCTGTGTGCTATGGGAATAAGAACTTGTTTTTAACTTTTCAGAATCTCTCAGCAGTAATTAATTTTACTGTTGTCTGTGAGCGATTAAGGTCACCCCGGCCCAGTGAGGAACTCCCATGTTTTCCGTCATATGCCTTTCCCCCACTCTACACTTTCTGCTGTGTAACACATATGTGTAACACATATGATATGAAACTTGGGAGCAAAAACAAATAAAAGGATTGTATTCTATTTCTGGTGGTTACTGTGATTCTGAGTACAGAATGAATGGGAGATCATTGACAACAATTCATAACGAGGATACAGTTACTGTTGTTGACAAAAATGTATCCTCCTCTTCTTTAGTATCAGTCACCAAGCCAATGAGGCAGTGTATTTATTTTAGCATTGAATTCAATAACATGAATGCCTAAACTATTTTTCTAGTCACTTTACTAAAACATGTCTATTTCAAGAAGCATTTCCCACAAATAGATTTTTTTTGCTTCCACATAGGCTTATCCTTGTCTTCGTCTGGCAGGGGTAATTAAGAAAAATGAAAACTCAAAGCTAAGAGAACAGGGTAGGTCTACTTTGTTGTTCTGCTACACTTTTAATTAGTTTTAGAGTAGATTAAACCCTGGCTAGACTTTGTTTTGGCCATTCCATGAATTAGCAGAAGAGACAAATTTGGTATTCTAGTGAAAAGAAAATTGAAGTCTCGGTAAAAAGCCAAGTGCTTCTTCAATGAACCAGTGGAATGCTGAGCAATTAGTCTATGGTCATAGACCACCCAACAAGATAGAGCATATGCATTTTATTAGTTTATGGGGATTTTCCCAAACTAGGTATACAGAAGTTGGGGAGAGTGGGCAAAAATGTTAGTCCTTACTTTGTATGCCAGGGGTCCTCAAACTTTTAAGCCAGGGTCAGGTTCACATTCCTTCAGACTGTTGTGGGGCTGGACTATAGTTTGGAACAAAAATGAACAAATCACTATGCACAGTGCACATATCTTATTGGTCATGCAAAAAGACATGAAAGAATAATACAATATTTAAAACAAAGAACCATTTTAACCAATATAAACTTACCAGTATTTCAATGGAAAGTGTGGGCCTGCTTTTGGCTGATGAGATAGTCAACTTAATAAGCATTGCTGTTGTTGTATGTCTTCAAGTTGTTTTAGACTTAGTGCCTGGGTAAATGACCCTAGAGGGCTGCATCCAGCCCGTGGGCCTTAGTTTGGAGACCCCTGGTGTAGGCTATAACTTAGTGCTCAACTAATTGTGTTCAAATGTTTAAAATAGTTTGGAACCACCAGAAATTATGACTTATACCAGTCAGCAGAGTCCCTGAGCTTGTTGGACTGCATGTTCCACCAACCCTAGCCATCATAGTTAGTAGTGAGGAATCATGAGAATTGTCATCCAGCAACATGTTTCCCACTTCTACTATAAGTCTTTGTCGGTCTGTCTGTATTATTTCCTTCTATTTCTCTTGGTTACCTTGCTCTTTATAATCCCCCCCCCCTTTTTGGTGTAATGCATATGTTAACCTTAGAGAACCTGGATTACTGTAAGGCACTATAATATAATATAATATGATATAATATAGTGAAAGTACATACCTCTGATCTATTTATTTACTTCCCCCAAACTCATTTTCAGTGTACATTTTTTCTGGAAAAGGCTGTAAATGTTATTTCCAATCTTGTTTAACTGCACATATTTAATAATGTGGAAATTTGTCTCTGTATAGGTATAAGAATCTAAAGCAGTGGTTCTCAACCTGTCGGTCCCCAGGTGTTTTGGCTAACAACTCCCAGAAATCCCAGCCAGTTTACCAGCTGTTAGGCTTTCTGGGAGTTGAAGCCCAAAACATCTGGAAATCCACAGGTTTAGTCAGAGTAGATAAACAGATGTAGTGCATGCAAATTAAAAAGTAACATGCAGAGGGTAAACCAGATTTGTATGTTGTTAGAATTCATTTTTTCAGTTACTTCAACCAAGGTGAACATCTGACATTGTTAATATCCATAGTGTTCAAGATGTTTTATATACAAATCTGGCATTTTTCTATTGTTTTGACTTTGGCGGATCTGTTCTTTTTAGTGTTTTTGTCCTTAAACCATCTGTTCTGTATTTAGGAAGCAACCAGTTCAAGCTTTCACTGCCAGGATCCTATGAAAATCAATTGTGCGTCCCTTATAAACCAGATTCTGATCAGAGTGTAGGAGTTCCATTTGTTTTTCACATAGGCAAACAAATGCCTTCAGAGCTGGGTGTGGAATTGGAGAGAACTGTTAGAGTCCATCAGGTAATAGCCATATACACTCTTTTTGCAATGCTGTATGAACCAGACTTCCTTATGAAATACTATGTTTATTCTCAGGTTGGAGGGAGTTCTGATGCTGAAGAGCATCACATCGCTCTTGGATCAGGGACTGTTCCATTACATTCACTTCCTCTGGGAAAGGAAATTGACATGACTATTCCACTAGAGAAGGTAATATTCCATTATAGCACCTATTGATTCTCCTTTTGTAAGGTAGCATATTCCAGATAGTAATATCCTTAAAGCATGATGCAAACAAAAGACAGATCAACATGCATTTCACAGAATCACAGAGTTGGAAGAGACCACAAGCGCCATTTAGCTCAATGCCCTTCCATGCAATAATACACAATCAAAGCATTCCTGACAGAAAGCCATTCAGCCTCTGCTTGAAAACCTCCAGTGAAGAAGAGTCTTATTATCCTACTGTTTAGGTGGAATGTCTGTTCCCTCAATTTGTATCCATTGCTTTGTGTCCTAGTCTTCAGAGCAGCAGAAAACAAGCTTGTCCCCTCCTCAATATATCCTTTCACGTGTTTAAACATGGCCATCACGTTCCTTCTGTTCACATGCACGTACACAATCCATATCTTTTCCTTCTCCTCAAAATAAATAGGTGGTGTTAGCCCATGATATCCTTCTGGACTCTCTCACTGGGGTGGGACTCAGAGGTGCTGTTTGACAGTAGCTGTTGTATTTCCTGAAGAGGCTGTACCCAGTAGGTGATGCTGAGGGATTCTTGTTCGAAACTCTGGCCACTGACCTATGGGGTCCCTCAGGGTTCCTTTTTGTCCTCCATGCTGTTTAACATATACATTAAACCATTGGGAGAAGTCATTTGGAATTTTGGAGTGTAGTGCCATCTATATGTAGATGACACCCAACATTACTACTCCTTCCCACCTAAAGCCAAGGAAGCTGTCTTGACCCTAGGCCGGTCTATCATCAGGAATGGACTTGATGAGGGCAAACAAATTAAAACAGAGGTGTTTCTTATCAGTCGGAAGGCAGATCAGAGAATAGTGCTTCAGCTTGTGCTGGATGGGGTTTCACTCCTCCTGAAGACACAGGTCTGCAGTTTGAGGGTACTGCTGGATTAACCATTGAACCTGGAGGCCCAGGTTTTTGTGATGGCCAGGAGTGCCTTTGCACAATTAAAATTTGTACACTGTGCCCATTCTTTGAAGTGCAGGATCTGGCCATGACCTTACATTCCTTAGTCACATCCCATTTGGATTACTGTAACATGCTCTATGTGGGGCTGCCTTTGAAGAGTGTTCAGAAACTTCATTTGGTCCAAAATGCTGCAGCCAGGTTGGTAATGGGTTCTGGCTACAGGGAGTGGACAACCCCCTGTTTATGTAGGTCTAACATATATTGAAAACTTAAATTTAATGTAATAGGGTTGTAACCCTATTGCAGCTCAGAAATGTTGGTATTTGGATAATATTTTGGGATGAATTCTGGAACTTCCATTGCATTGACAAAATTGGGATTGGAGCACAGTGGCTTCTAATAGGTTTTGAGGAAGGGTGGAGGTAAAGTTCACAACAAATTGATTTGATCTAAGGTAACATTTTTATCTCTGCAACATTGTCCCATTTAGCTGAATGCTCCAACCAGTTATTATTATTCAGCACCCTAACCTGGAAACCTGTTTGATGGTCATGTGTATTGAAATCCTGTCTTAACATATTAAGCTTTTATATATTTTATAGATCGCCAGATAGTATCACATATGCACACAGCTGCTGGTCATGCTGGCTGTGGAATTCTGAGGTTTTGAGTAAACAAGCAAACAAGGAAATCCCAAGTTCTGTATGTGCATGTGTGTGTGTGCACACACTCATACAATACAGATAGGCCTATATGTACAAGAATCCTCTAGGTCAGTGGTTCTCAACCTATGGATCCCTAGGTGTTTGGGCTTACAACTCCACAAAATCCTGGCCATTTTAGGTCATCCTACTTGCCTTCTTTTAACATTTCTTTAGTTAAGCACCTAAGATAGGGAGATTGCCTACTGCTTCATGGCTTCATTGGTGTGGTAGGAAAGGTCCTGAAAAACTGACTCAGACTATTGTCCCTAATTTCTTGATGAAGTGGTGGGGCTTTTAATGGTCTAAAAGGAAGTTTGAATTCACTGTCAAATCAAAAGGGAGCATAAAAACACTTTAAAAACTTGTTATTTCTCTATAAATAAATAAATAAATAAATAAAGATTATTATTATTATTATTATTATTATTATTATTATTATTACATCTTACCTTTCATTGCTCATTACTTTTCTTCTTAGGGGCTAAATGTAGACCTGCATGTGAAGGCTGAACAAATGTGAGTTGTGTTTCTTTGAAGATGAAGATTTTATTGTTCTTGCAAAATGCATTTGGAGACTGGATTTATAGCTGTGAGTTAAGAGAAACACATATATGAAGCAAGAGGGGGTTTTCCTATAGAAACTTTCCCTGCAGAAAAGACAAGCCATTATTTCATTTTAAAAGTGGCTCTGTTTTTTAGAGGTGCCACCAAAATGTGCCATCAGTCAACATTATACCTCAGATTGTGTATTACAGATGTAGTCCAATGTTGTCTATCTTGGAATTGACTCTTGATGTTTTGACTCCTACTATGCAGAAATATTTCCTAACCATTCGTGGAAACACCAGGGATTATTCACATGAAAATGATTTTTCACATGAAAAAATTATGGTATACTACTGAGCTTACAGATTTTCCCTACATTTTGTTGATAGTTTACAGCTGTTGCTCAATATTAATACTGAAACACTTGAGGCAGTACTTTTAAAAGATGTTGGAGACATGAAGGTGTATTTCTTTTATTGCTTTTTTCTAAATTAGGACAAAAGATCTTGATGTACGTCTTGGTTTTGATTTGTGTAAAGAAGAGCGAGAATTCTTGGAAAAAAGGAAGAAAATGGCATCTCGGACTCTAAAGAAGACACTGAAATTGAGAGAGGATCCTGATAAAAATGAGGTATGTAGTTGACCAGTGTTTGCTGAGGTATGTAAAGCTGTTGATCACAACTCAGTAGAAATAAAATAAATGAGCATTTTAAATTAAATGATGTCTTTTATGAAAATACAGCCAAACTTCCATGTTTGTGGGTTTGCCTGTTGTGAATTTGCTTTTTCATGGTTTGATTAAAAGGTTATAGGAATCTCTAGTCGTACAATGTAATTCCGTGATCAGCTTGTGCTAGAAGTTTATTCTAGAGTCATCCTGGGGACCTGGAGTTTCCTAGAGATAACACTTCTCTAAGAATCCCTAGGTCCTCCAGTACAATCTGGCAGATGGTGACCATAGAGCAGAGGTGGTGAACCACATAGCGCCTCTCTCCTGGCACACATGCTGTTGCCTGCCCTTACTTGCTCGCCTGCTCACCATTCCTCCCCTGGTCAATCGTCCGCTTGCCCCTGCTTGCTCGCTTGCTTGCCTGCCCCCTTCACCCACTTCCACTCGCTTGCCTGCCCGCCCTCTCATCTGCCCTCTGCTCTCTCACCCACTCACCCTGTTCACCCCCTCAAGTAACCCCCCCCCCCCAAGCACTCGGTCTCTAAAAGGTTCACTATCACTGCCATAGAATAATGCTAGAGAAACTAGATATTCCTAGAGAGGTGTTATATCACATTTTAAAATGACAAGTCTATTATTTGCATTTTTTTCACTTTTGTGGGGATCCTGTGTCCCTAACCTGTGCAAATATGGAGGGCTGGCTGTATTCAGAAACTCACAGTTAGTACAATAAAAATAGGAGTCAACGTATGTCTGTAATAAATAATGTTCTGAATTTTGTTGATATGAATTCTGCCTTTCGTTTTTGTTTTTGTTTATGGTAAAGGTTCCTGTTGTAGCAGTTCTAGGATCTGGTGGTGGGATAAGAGCACTGACCGGATTGTATGGTAGTATGTTTGGGCTTCAGCAGCTAAATCTTCTGGATTGTATCACATATCTCAGTGGGGTCTCAGGCTCTTCATGGTAGGTTGTAATGGTAATTCTTGTTTCTTGGCAAGTGGCAGGGATATGAGTTGGAGGTATAGAAATATACCTTGTGTTTTGGAAAAGTTAAAATAATATTGCTATTAATGATCCGATAAAACTGATAATTACCCAAAAGTACAGTTTGTGAGTACAAACTCACACAGTAAGTGAGTTTTACATTGAATAGCATCTATGTGTTCAAAGTAAAAACCTAAACACTTAATCCACATAAAATTTGGCACTTATTTATAATGGAAAATAATGCCTGGTTCAGAGTTTAGGAGTTACAGATATATACTAGAGTCACAATAGCAAGTGAAAAATTTAGAGCAAGCAGTAGTGTAATACACAAATCTTTTGAGATATTTCTCTGAAGTCATCTTAATTCCATAATAGCATTATTGATCTCTTTGTTTACGAAACTTGAGAGAATTGTCCAAGGCTCTCCACCCAAGAAGTAACAATGTCTTTAACTCTCAGGCTCTTAGAAACCTGTTAATCAAATGAACTCGTATAAATTTTATGTAGCACTTGAATTTAATGAAGATATTTCATCTGTTGTGTTTGGAAAATCTTCTTAGGGGCATGTCAATGTTGTACCAAGACTCTGAATGGTCATGTAAAGATCTCAGAGATGCCATCATCAGTGCCAGGGATAAAATATCTAGCAGCAAAGTTGCAGCTTTTTCCTCTGAACGGCTGAAATATTACTTCCAAGAACTTAATGCAATGGAGAATGATGGAAGAAAGGTATCTTTCACTGACCTGTGGGGACTTATTGTAGAGTACTTCCTGCAGATGAAGGTAAGGCATTTTAAACCGAAACCATTTTTATTTACCATTTCAATCAATTTTACAATGCTTCAGATTTGTTTTTGTTGGATATATGTAAATTTCCTAACATATTAGGAAACTTGTATACACATTTTAAAAAATCCCTGAAACACGTATAGGTTCTATTCACTTAAAAACAAAACTGATTTTCCAATGAATTGCTGGTATTGCGTAAAATAATGAAAACACAATCCAGAGGTCCTGGACAAGAATTGTACAAATATCATGGACTGCCAACAAGAAAAATAGTGGACCCAAGAGCAATTCAAGCTTGAGTTTTCCTTTCAACTCAGAATGACTACACCAGGGGTCCTCAATTTTTTTAAACAGAGGGCCAGGTCACAGTCTCTCAGACTGTTGGAGGGCCAGATTATAATTTGAAAAAAACATGAATGAATTCCTATGCACACTGCACATATCTTATTTGTAGTGCAACCCCCCTTTAAAAACAATAAAATAATTAAAATGAAGAACAATTTTAACAAATAAAAATTTATTAGTATTTCAATGGGAAGTGTGGGCCTGCTTTTGGATTATGAGATAGGATTGTTGTTGTTGTGTGTGCTTTGAAGTCCTTTCAGACTTAGGTTGACCCTGAGCGAGGGCCGCGTAAATGACCTTGGAGGGCCGCATCCAGCCCCCGGGCCTTAGTTTGAGGACCCCTGGACTACACTGTGGCTATAATGCATGAGATAACAAAACTGTTTGGAAATGATTACAATGCTTAGTAAAGTTGAAGAGTACTCTACAACTGGATAGACTCAATAAAGGAAGCCACAGCCTTGAGTGAGGCTGTTAATAAAGGCATTCTTGGCGGTCTCTCATTGATAAGGTGACCATAAATTGATAGTAGCAGTAAACACAATGTGTTTGAAGTTAGGTACCTTGGAATTCTGATATGTTTTGTTTGCATATTTTAAAACACGTATACAGGCAGTTCCAGGGTAACAAACATCCATCTTACAAATGACTTATAGTCAAGAACAGGGGTGCAATGACAGGAAATGAGAGAATTCTACCCCCAGAAGGGAAATTCACACCTGAGAGAGTTATCACGGGGAAAAGGTGCCTCCACTCAAAATTTCTCACCAACCTTTTTTCCCAAAATTTTCAAAATTTTCAAATGTTTTTCACAGGGATAAATAGTGAGATGAAATCTCACAGGTGCACATATAGCAAAACAAAATCCACAGGAGTGTTAACCCTTCTTTATGCTATCCTAAGCTAGGAAATATCTAGTTTTGACTAGAGTTACACTTAAAAAATATACCTGTTCTGACTTACATACAAATTTAACTTATGAACTTATGAACAAACCTACATAACCTATCTTGTTCATAACTTGGGAATCATCTGTACTACTTAAGATGCTATTTTAGAAGACTTTTGGACTAATTTCAAGAAGTGTACCTGTGTATGTGGCTGCTTGCATGCAGAATCTACACTTAGAGAATTGATTCTATTCATGTGCATTCTTTTTTCTATTCAGGACCATCAGTCAAAACTATCTGACCAACAGGAAGCTGTGAAACAGGCACAGAATCCTTTCCCCATCTATGCCGCTGTTAATGTGATGCCCACTATTAGTGGTGATGAATTTGCAGGTACAGCAAGGCAGGTTTATTTGTCACTTTCAAAAATATGTAAATAGTGGCATTATTTTACAAGTAACTAGCTTGAGCAGTGGTGACACTTAAACTTTCACAGCAAGAATATTTATTTTGAGAGCCACATAGTGACATAAAAGACAGAAGTGAAGAAAGGAGGGAGGGAATAATAAAGACTGGGAAGAGAAAGGATTATCTGCTGGCAGAAAGCATAGCGGTTGTGAAATTCACATAGCCCTTGTTGGACCACTCACTGTTGACTGTTGGTTTCTGGGAGCTAGAACCAAACAGCATTTGGAGGCTGAGTTATTCTCACCTGCGTAGTGTAGAATAAGGTGTGATGGCTTTGTTTGTAGTTTAGTCCATATTATTTTACTGATTTTATATTATGTCCATATTATTTTACTGATTTTATATTATGTCCATATTATTTTACTGATTTTATATTATGTCCATGTTATTTTATATTTTGTCCATATTATTTTACTGATTTTATATTATGGCGTAGTGTCTTTACAGTAATTAACATGCGAATGCTGAACATGCAAACGGCATCTAAGTCAATCTTTTCAGTTGAATGGAAATATAACAATCTTCTTGACTTAAAGCAAGGCATGAAAACTATGTGTCCTTCCAGATGTTGTTGATCACCCAATCCCATCAGTTCTAGTCAGTATAGCCAATGATGAGAGATGATGGGAGTCCCAGCACAAGTTGCCCTCTCCTAACAACGGTTTCCTGTATGGGGATGTTTTTTCCCTTCTTCTTAGAATGGATTGAGTTCACTCCCTTTGAGGTTGGATTTCGCAAGTATGGTGCTTTTGTCAGGACAGAAGATTTTGACAGTGAGTTCTTTATGGGGCGACTGATGAAGAGGCATCCTGAGCCAAGGATCTGCTACCTTCAGGGTATGAATTTTAGAATTTGGTGTGCAAAAAGGCAGAGTTGAATATTTTTGCATTTGAAATCCTGTTCATGCAACTGCTCTTCATAGCACTGTTGCTGTGATTTTGTTCCAAACTGGAAAAATGAATATTTACAGCCTGTAGGTAAGAGTAAAAATAGAATCTATATCAGATTGGAATCTTATCTTGAAAACTTGTTATGCAAAGTAGTTTTAGTGCTACATATGTTACTATAAAGTGCTGTAGGGTTTTGAGTGTTGAATACGGTCACTGGGAGACCAGGGTTTAAATCCCCATTCAACCATGAAAGCCCACTGGGTGACCTTGGATAAGTCACACTCTCTCAGCTTCAGAGGAATGCAGAGTCAAACCCCCTCTGAACAAATTCTTCCAGAAAAACCCCACGATTACTTCACCTTAGTGTTGCCATGAGTCAGATGTGACAAGGCCACATGACAATAATGTTACTGCAGATTTTACTAATGTATGTTTAAAAGCAATGCTTCCTTGTTAGTCAATGTATTGCTTTTTTATGGTATCTAAAAAGGACCAGCTATGTTACTTAGTGTATTGTTATTGTTATATGCTTTTAAGTTGATTCTGACTTTTGGCGAACATCTTTTAGGATTTTCTTGGCAACATTTGTTCAGAGGATGTTTCTCTTTGCTTTCCTCTTAGGCTGAGAGATTGTGATTTGCCCAAATGTCACCCAATGGGCTTCCATAACTGAGAAACCCTGGTTTCTCAAAATCCTAGTTCAACACTCAAGCCACTGTACCACATTGGCACTTGTATCTAGTGTAATGTTTCTCAACCTTACTAATGCCGTGACCCCTTAATACAGTTCCTTTTGTTGTGACCCCCAATCATAAAATTATTTTCATTGCTACTTCATAACTGTAATTTTGCTGCTGTTATGAATCGTAATGTAAATATGCAAGATGTATTTTCATTAACTGGACCAAATTTGGCACAAATACCCGATCCACCCAAATTTGAATACTTTTGTCATTTGGGAGCTGTAGTTGCTGGGATTTATAGTTGACCTACAATCAAAGAGCACTTTGAATTTCACCAGCAATTGAATTGAACCAAACTTGACACACAGAATTCCCATGACCAACAGAAAATACTGGAAGGGTATGGTGGGCATTGACCTTGAGTTTTGGAGTTGAAGTTCACCTACATCCAGAGAGCACTGTGGACTCAAACGGTGATGGATCTGGACCAAACTTGGCATGAGTACTTAATATGCCCAAATGTGAATACTAGTGGAGTTTGAAGAAAATAGACCTTGACATTTGGGAGTTGTAGTTGCTAGGATTTATAGTTCATCTGCAATCAAAGAGCATTCTGAATCCCACCAATGATAGAATTGGGCCAAACTTCCTACACAGAACCCCCATGACCAACAGAAAATACTGTGTTTTTTATGGTCTTTGGTGACCCCTCTGACACCTCCTGGTCCCTACCCCCAGGTTGAGAAATGCTGATCTAGTAGATTGTTACTTTTTGTTATTTTTTAAAAGCAACCCTGGGATAGATTAAGGAATGGAACAGAACTTAAAATGGTCCAGTCAAAAGCACTGTGGAATAACAGATTGGTACTCATGGTGTCTGGTTATTTTTGGATGCCAGGAGGAGCAACCTACTGCTACTCAGTTGTTGTGTAATAAAAATATTGTTTCTTTTGGTTTCTCTTATTTTTTAAAATATTATGTTTATTTTATATGATGGACTTATGATGTTCCTAAGATGGGGTATTAATAAAGCTGGCAAAGAAGTGAGAGAAGTCAGTCTATGAAATGAAAAGAGCTTCCTTAAATTATGGGTAATTATGTTTGTGTTTGCTGATTGTTTCCTCCAGCCACCCAGGGAGTGCCTTTTAAAAGTATGTATGGGCAATTAGAAAAAAAATTAATTACATCAGTTAAGTGACCTAGTAGCCACATGTTGGACTATTTTCAAAGTTGTTACAAAAAGGAAGCCCATTAGATTACGCTTTCCAAACTCTGATCTAGCAAGAGCTTGGAAAGCTCGAGCAATACTCCTCGAACTGAATCTATGATTTGCAGATTTTATACCACATCTATGGGGAGCATTTATAGCATAATGCATATATTTTTGTTAGTAATTGTCAAATTGAAACTGAATCCAAGCAAGACAGAGGTGCTTCTGGTCAGTCGGAAGCAGATCAGAGAATAGGGATCCAGCTTGTGCTGGAATGGGGTCACACTCCCCCTGAAAACACAGGTCTGCAGTCTGGAGGTCCTCATGGACTCAGTGCTGAACCTGATACCTGTGGTGGTCAGAAGGGCCTTTACACAATTAAAACACAGTTATAACTGCACCCATTCTTTGAGAGACTGGATCTGGCTACGGTGGTACATGCCTTACTTACATCTTGTTTGAATTACTGTAACATGCTGTATGGAGGGCTGCCTCTGAAGAGTACTCGGAAACCTCAGCTGGTCTAAAGAGCTGCAGCCAGGTTGTTCACTGGGGCTGGCTACAGGGAGTGGACAACCATCCTGTTGCAGCAACTCTACTGGCTGCCAGTTTGTTTCTGAGCACAATTCAAAGTGCTGGTTATGACCTTTAAAGCCCTAGACGGCTTGGGTCCAGGCTATTTGTCTGACCGCATCCACTTGTACGAACCTGTTCAGGCCTTAGATCTTTTGAAAAACCTTCAAGTTAGGTTTGAAAAGCCTTCAAGCTGGGATTGAAATCCTTCCTTATTTATTCTCCAGGGATATGGGGCAGTGCATTTGCTGCCAGTCTGGATGATGTCTTCTTGAAAGTGGTTGGATCAGGCCTGACATTTTTAGAATCTCTGGGTGATGTTATCAAAGTTATTGGTAAGTATTATTTAAGGAGTTATTTGATAGAAATGTCTGATTTTCTAAAACCTATAGTCTGGATTAGAATAAATATCTTTTTGTATGGCTGTTTTGTTTGATTCATAATTTTAGATGACTGTCGCCGATTCCATTTCCGGGATCCCATGAGACTGAAAACTCGTATGGTTATACCAGGTGGTCCCATGTTACAGTTTTTCCAGGATTTCTTCAAGTCTCGTTTTACTGCTGGGGAAACTTTCAATTTCATGCAAGGCTTGTATCTCCACAAGGATTACGTCAGCCTTAAAAACTTTGTGGCCTGGAAAGGTAATATCCTTCTGACAAAAAAAAAAAAAAAATACTATGCTGAATATCTTCAAACCAGAAGATGAAAACAAAATTTAATGTAAACATCAGCTTGTTAATTAAAGACCATAATATCTCCTCTGTAGTAGAGTTATGTCATATATATGGGGGCAGGAATGGTTTTTAAATGACATTTTACTGGGCATTTCATTCAGGAATATTTTAGGCTCCAATAAATGTCTCAACTGTTACCTTTGTTGTTATTGTGTGCCTTCAAGTTGATTCCAACTTACGGTGACCCTAACACAACCCTATCATGGGATTTTCAGGGGCGGAGAGTGTGTGACTTGCCCAAGGTCACCCAATGAGTTTCCATTGGGGAAACAAATCCCTGTGTCCAGAATCATAGTCCAGTTCTCAAACAACTACACCATGCTGGCTGTTATTTTTATGACTTCTAATCTAGCAGTATGGAAACATTTCATTTTTCCTCCCTCCTTCAGGCACCCACTTAGATGCATTCCCTAATCGGTTGACTCCAATGGAAGACAGTCTGTACCTAGTGGATGGAGGCTTCTCTATCAATTCACCTTTTCCTTTGATGCTCCAACCAGAAAGAGATGTTGATGTCATCCTGTCATTCAATTACTCTTGGGAAGCACCATTTGAGGTGAGGCAAGGATGTGTGAAGATGCTTCATAAGTCACAGATTCTTCACAGGCTCAGGCATTTTGAATAATGTGGAATGCAGAAGTTTGAGCAAGCACAAAACATAAAAACTCTCCCAGTTTTAAGTACTTGTAATTCATTCTGGTCCTGATAGAAGCAACTGATAAATATTTATAGTTATACTCTGTGAACTGCAAAACCAAGGTGTGTGTGTGTGTGTGTGTGAGAGAGAGAGTTTCTGTTCTGGCTTGATTTTATCTAAGATATAGTTGGTTCTGTTCAATTAAGAAACAGAATAAATAGTAGAGTAAATATTATGATTGGAAGGAAAACTGAGACAGGTAGATAGAATCAATAGGATGTCAAAAACATCCCTTTCTTTCCTCTATGAATTTCTCTAGCACAAGAATGAGAAAATACAGGGGAAATCTTGATTGTTGTTTAATAACTCCCCTGCCCTTTACTGCAGATCCTAGAGTTGACTCAGAAATACTGTGAAGAACGTGACATTCCCTTCCCACAAATCAATGTGAGCAAAGAAGATGAAAAAAATCCTAAGGAATGCTACCTGTTTATGGATGTGGAGAATCCAAAAGTTCCCATTGTGCTTCACTTCCCCCTAATAAATGATACTTTCTGCAAATACAAAGCACCAGGTAAACATGTTTGGAAGCATCTACAGTTTAAAGTATCTTCCTGTTTTTCCATGTAGAATAATGGATTGGCTGAACATTTAGAACTTAGATATTGGTGCAGTCATTAGGCTGTTGTAGAGAACAGTCAACGTTTTCTGTTTAGATGATAAGATGAACTGAATACACTTTTATGGGAATATCAGTTTTGGAGGTCTATGGTAAGGATTGAATTTGCTCTTGCTTTGACATTTTTATAAAGCAAGAACCTTCCAGAATGCCTTGTCAGTGGTAAACGTGTAGACAGCCTTAGGCAGTGCATTTCTGAAGAAACCTGAAGGAAAATACTTACCCTGTGTATTTTTCTCCTTCTTTGGCTGTAGGTATAGAACGTGAATCAGAAGAAGAGAAACTGCTTGGTAATTTTGAAGTCGAGGCAAAAGACTCTCCTTACCGGACGCTGAACTTCACCTATGAATCCCATGAATTTGATAGACTGATAGACTTGAGTTGCTATAATGTATTAAATAACAAGGGTGCTATTTTGGATGCACTACGTTTAGGTTTAAGCAGACGAAAACGAAAAAGCAGGACACGAGCGCTTTCTTGAAAATAGGTCATAAATAGATGAGTGTTTTATGAATGGTTCAGGTAGGAAAAAATGTGTAAATGATCCTATTGATGTGAATCGGCATTGCACTACTAAATACTCCTCAGACCTCAATGAATACTTGCATTTAGTTAGAAGGAAATTGGTTTATTCTTTCTCCTTTGACTGCTTCTTTGCAGTGAGCAGAGGACCCAGAGAAGAGGATATGCTAATAGTCTTCTAGTACTACAGGTCCAGAATGTCTTTACATATTCATTGGGATAAAGTGGGTTTTTTTTCTTATTAGGGATTTTATTTAATTTAGATAAAACGGTTTTGGTCTGAACAATTAGATGAGGTGGAAAACATCTCATGGGCCATTTTTTTAAGCTTTATATTTCAGAAATTGTTAGTTGAATCAAAGTAAAAAGTCAGTCTTTTGTTGTTTGCTGAGTCTCCTATAAGTAAAATGTGGGGAAAACTGGGGCTACCAATAATCAGCATTGAGTTTGGACAAGAAAAAAATATTTGATTTAACATGCGATTGTAGCAAAACAACAATTTATCCTTTCAATTTAGTATTATAGTAAACATTTAAAGTCTCCTGCTTTAAATAGTAGGAGTGTCTTCTGGCCACTAGTCCTTTTGCTACCCATTTTCTTTTGTACTGTACTTTACCATTCTGTGATTTATTAAATGTGAGGGGCCATGCTGAAAAAAATGCACCTTTTTTCTTTGACCATCCCTGAAAAGGAGGTTGGTTGTCCAAGGGGGATATATAGCAAAGGCATCCCTTTTGAGCCATATTGGTAACTTGTGAAAGGTCTTTTAAAGGAACTCTGATGTGACTTCTCTTCTATATACTCTTTCACTATCTAAAAAGAAAACAAAAAACCATTTTCTTTTAAACTTGTTTTTATTGTTATTTTGTTAAACTGTCTTAATGATTGTGAACTCCAGAATTATGGCTGCTATTGATAGTTTCTGCTGGATTATAGGGTGCAATTACTATACCCTGAAGCAGAATTTTGGAAGAAGAAATAATGATTGTCTCCCGGGACTCAGATGATGTGGCAACACTGGTTCATCAGCAGAATGTTTTATTGTGAGCAATCAATGTATTTTTGAATGATCCAGACAAAAAAAAAAAATCTTTGAAATTAACAGGAAATCAAACATAGTTTTATAAAAGGAAATTATTGTTATGCTTTTGTAAAGATAAACACATTTGTAAAAATAATAAATACATGTTTTCTAGTAGTTGTGCTCTAATTTTGAACATCTGGTGCAATGTATTTACATTTAAAGAGCTGTATCACAAGAGTTTAATTTGCCCATTATATGCAGTCTTTTATGAGACATTAAGAAATATTTTGATGTCTAGTTTTTGATAGTCTGACCTGGAGTATTGTGTAAAATCTGGGCTGAAGATCTGGGGGCATTTTCGCCATGTTTTTATTCACTTCAAGTTGACTTCCTGTTTTAAATAGGCTTCTCCTGAGTCTAATATAGTCCAAGATGCCCAAAATGTGGTTAAAACATCCCAAAATGGTATTTTGGGGTAATTTAAAAAAAATCATTAAGATGTCAACAGGTCATATTTTCATGACCTTTTCTTTATCATAAGGAACAGCACAATATTTCCAAAGGAGGCATTTCTGGTAAGCACAACATGTAGGAAGGCATCACATTGTTATGACCTAATTTTAGCCATGACAAGCTGTTTCTGAATGTCTTCTTCAGCTGAAGGTCACTATGGCCAGTGGTTTTAGCTGGGAAGAGTAGATCTTAAAGCAAGTAAGCAAGCAGAACATGATGTTTTGATGACTACAAAAAGACTGAAGTTCAGTTGCCTACAATTAACTCCACACCTGGCTAATCCAAGATTTCAGAGTGCCTTCTAGCTACATGTTTTACCAAGACAAATTTGTTTTATCAGGTATGTTAATAAAGCCTTTCTTAAATATAGCTATGACTTCATCTTTTGACAGTTAGAATACTGAATTCAGTAGAAGTTCTAATGGAATTCAACTAAACTAATAAAAGATGTTCTAGATCATTCCTTTCACTACTAGTTTCTCTAAAGGCTATCATTCTGCTTTATGGTGTAAGACAAGGTTAACAATTTTTTTACTACAACCCATATCGTTATGACATTGCTGCTGTATTTTGTATTGTGACAACAGTGGATATTAGGTAAAGGTAAAGCTTTTCCCCTGACATTAAGTCCAGTCGTGTCCGAATTTGGGAGTTGATGCATCTCTATTTCTAAGCCGAAGATCCGGGGTTGTCTGTAGACATCTCCATGGTCATGTGGCTGGCATGACTGCATTGAGCACCGTTACCTTCCTGCCGGAGTGGTACCTATTGATCTACTCTCATTTGCATGTTTTCGAACTGCTAGGTTGGCAGAAGCTGAGGCTAACAGCGGGAACTCATGCCGTTCCCCGGATTCGAACCTGCAACCTTTCATTTAGCAAGTTCAGCAGCTCAGCGGTTTAACCCACTGCGCCACCGGGGCCTCCCTAAGTGGATATTATTATCATAAAATGTTTCTAAATTATAGTAGTTATGCTTTCCTGAGAGTTGAAAACACTTCTACTTGTACCAAATGAGTTTCTTGATTTTAGTTGTTGACCCACTCATTTCTGAAAAACAAAATCTGGATCTAAAGCAAGAATATGGTACACTTGTTGTCCAAATCAAGTCAAAAGTTCTTTATTATGCTTGCATGCAGAAGCATTTAGGGTAGTTTGTATGAGTGAGGCAGGACTTGTTCTTCAAGGTTCTCTTGAGAATATGTGCTTCTTTGTAAATTTAATATATACATAATGTAAATACCATAACATTTCATGACAGACAAGAAACTGGTGACTGAGGAGAACTCTGCCCACTCTCTCACCCATAGCCAATTTCTGTAGCAAAATGAGGAGTAGAGTGTTCTCTGTAAAAGAAGTATAGTGTCTAAAACAGGGATGATGTAATAGCAGGAGAGAATTCACAAAATCCTTGTTATGTACTCTTTCATATATCATTTTAAGATAACTGAATAGGAGTGGCAGAATGGATACTGCAGTACTTACATATTAAAGCCGGTCATTCCTCTTTACACTTGAAAGTTAATGTCATACAGAACCACAAACTCAAATGTCTCTTATAATTGAAGACTGTCGTCCTTACATGAAGAACAACCTGATGTTTCCTTATACAGAGAGTATCATTTGACCATCAACCTCATCATATGAGGCTAGATTCGGTGGCAAAAGCCGATCTAGCCCTGTCATCCACAGAGCTGGCTGGCTCCCATCAAATGACATCACGTAGACTCCGTGAGTGAAGAGGGGCAGAAGTGGTGTTTTGCCACAGCCCTGGCAACATGGGAGGCTTCCCGTGTTGCCCAATCTATCCCCACGCATGCTCCATGCTTCATATGATTGCCCTGCCTGTGAGGTGGGCAAAGAGGGCAATGTGAGGTGTGGGCCATCGGATTCCCCATGACTCGCGGTGAAGTGAAACACTGCCTCCTGCTCCTGTCTGTCTGATGAAATGATAGGTAGGGATGTTTAAAATTGTCAGTTTCACTTCCCCACTCTCTTGAATTGTTTAAACATCAAGTTCTTTCTGCCCCAAATATGAAGTCTGTGAATTTTGATAAATTATTCAAAAATGAATTCAAACAAAAATCTCCCTCAGTTACATCATCCAAATTCAGTAGATACATTTTTTGTTTGATGGAGTGGACCACAATCTAATCATATCATTAAAGATGCAGCACTTGCCAAGTGACCCCAGTTCAGCTTTTCAAAGCATCCTTCAAAGAGATAAACATTCAAAACTCTGAGTCTGGAAAAACAAATTATGGCTTTCCCCATGACTTTCCCCCAATCCACAAATTCCTTCCACCCTGAATATGTAGAAATTTGTGGATTTTGGAAAATGCTGACAAATGTTTTCACCTTATTACAGAATTGTAGAGCAATTAACATTTCCTAGTTGAAATCATTACTGCTTAGTGGTGGCTGTTGGCTCCCATCTAGAGAATGGTTAGTAACTCCATTCCAGGCTTTGGGTGACTATAAAGAAGCTATCTGGTGCTGTATACATCCTGGAGAGAACATTCAGCACCACAGATAACTCCTATAATGTACTAATTAAAATTTGTTGTCGCTCACTGACATGGGAGTTACCAGACATCTAAGCTATTTTTTCATTAACCATCTATAGAACAGAAGTAAACAGCTCATGGTAGCTAACCTATCAAAACATTTGGTATGGGGAGAAGAATGAAACATATCTATTAATTCTCTATAGCTTCCTTGCTTTGTCCTTAATGCAGGCTCGGTATGTTCCTCAACCTGGATTCCCATGTTGCGTTCTGTGATGCTTGGCCGGCTGTTAACTCGAATGTTGCCACTTTTGGCTGCTGATGTTATACAGAAAAAGGATTCTGGATTCTTCGGCTGGCATGTAAATACAATTTGTGTGAATACTCCACAGGTTTCAAATAAATGTCCATGGTCTGTTTTAAGGATAAAAAGGGAAAGGAATCTAGTAGCATCTGATTTATTTAAAATAATTGATTTATTTTAGCATGGGTTTTCAGGATTAAAATGCATTCCTGAAGTATTTTAGGCAGACAGTTGTGGGTGTGTTAGTAGAAGAGCTAAATGTTTAATATTGATTTCCTTTAATTTAAAATGAATTCTGCTCTCTCTTTGTTTTAGCGGGAGACTCATCCTTATTATAGCCTTAAAGTAAAAATCCTCAGAGCCAGAAACATCCATGGCTTAGATTTATGTAAGTTTTCAACAAAGATGTGAAAATGAACATGCTTGTTTCTTGCAGTATGCAAGCCAATATTATACAGTTATTCCTTTCAGACACATGAAGCACTATGGCTTACATTGTTAGTCTCTCTTAAGAGGATTTACTGAAAGTGTTGATAAAATAATAAATAGTCAAGAAAACCATGTTCATTGTAGCCAGAACTCATAACTGGATGCAGGTCATTGTCTACTTTCTTAACTATTTAACTAACATTCTGGTTAAATAAGGAAGAAAAGAAACATGTTGATTTAAGTGCATTAAAGACTCCATCAGATGTGTTACAGAAAGCAGGGTGTGTGTGTGTGTGTGTGTCATTTTCTTAGCAAAGTATGTCATCTCTTTCTGTTTTAAAAGACATGGTTTCGTTTTACAAATCCCATCAAACACTTTATGTTCTCCGGCCTTTCTCCCGTTCTGTCCTGCTTTCTGAACCATTACACCAGTGAGTGCAGTCCTTGCTCACTCCACATTCTTTCTCTTTTAATTCAGGGAAAATGTGAATTTTCTGCACTGTAAGGCTATATTCCAGAAGCATTCTCTCCTGACATTTCTGGGTGCTTCTGGAACATGACCTTACTGCCTGGAAAATTCACAACAACCCAGTGATTAGGCCATGAAGGTCTTCGACAATACAATGAGGAAAACTTTGGAATCATAGAAAAACAAACTTATTATAGTGCAAACTTAAAAGCCAAGATTACCATGGACCTCATACCATTTGAGAATGGAACTGGGGGGAATTTTAAACCTCTTTGCCACAATCTGTCCTTCCCATGTCTTCTTGCCCCGTATTACTACATTTCTACTACATTTCAGGAATGAAATACAACAGATGACAACTGAAAATAGTTTTTGTTGTGTGAAGGGCTCCATGTTACTTCGTTCCTGAAATGTCTTCGAAGTGTGTGGAAACCGGGGAGGACTTGTGTGTGATGAGGTCCCAAGTAAATAGCGAGCTTTTATTTTTGTAATATTAAGTGAAAAGGAGAGAAGGGTAATAGAGACAGAGTTTGATTGTGTTAAACTAAAGTTGAAATTAAAATAAAATTGAGGTCCAAAACACCCGGAGGACTTGAGTTTGTAAATCACTGCTCCAAAGGAAACTTACCGTATGTGGTTCTTTTCCAGGTTTGGGCCCATTTTCTACATGTAGAGGAAGTTTAAAACTTCTCCCAATCATCTGTTTTCTTGTACCCCCTTACATTACCAGAAAATTTCTATTGGCACCAATAGAGGTTTTTTAAAGTCCTATCCCTCTATTTTTAAAGATACCTCCTCCGTGTTGCTTTGTAGTAAAAGAGAACATGATCTTAAAACACATCTTCTTGTTCAGCTTTCCACCACCGATTTCAGTTTCCTTAACTATAGGATACTGTTAAAGGCACTTAATGAACTATGAAGAACATCTTTTCTGGGTCTTTTCTTGATACACATGTTCTTCTGGTTAGTGTCTAAAGCAGATTGTTATGTGGCACTGAAACTTCCTACAGCATCTCCATTGGTAAAAAGGACAGAAGTTATCTATAATTCCAGTAATCCAGAATGGAATGAAACTTTTGAATACCGTGTTCACAGTGCTGTGAAGGTGAGTTTGGTCTTTTTATTACAGGAACTATTTAGATCAGCCTAGACATGTATATCCTTTGAACAATATGCCTCCTCAGCTCCTATGTGATAGAATGTACCTGTGTGCAGCAGCTAGCTATTATTAAGGATAATTGATACTAATGGCTATAGTAATTAGACTTTTATTATAGGAACCCCATTAGAAATAGGGAAGCTAGGCTAAGCAATAACAAGAAGACAACTAAGAACTTTTACCACATGAAACTGCTATTCCATTCATATGATCACTTATAGTAGCTACATATTGGCAGGAACACCCTTGACATAACGTCTCTCCATTTGTACAACTGCACTGATTTGCCACTCTGCATTTGTGCATCTGCATAACCTCATGATTCTATTCTCTCACACTTCTGCTTCTACGTAATTTAAATCAACACCCATTGAGTCCAATGACTCCAACATATCATTCAACTCTAGCTTATCCTTCCTCTCTCCCACTCAACCAAAAGCACCCCCTTTACTCCAAATACTTTTGGAGCAGTGGAAGAACAAAAAAGGAGGTGGAGAGAGGAGGTGAAATGATCCCTAACAATATTAGTCTAAGAGAAATTAAAATAAATAGATAAGACAAGAGATTTTAGGTTATGTGTGTGTGTCAGGAGTGACTTGAGAAACTATAAGTCACTTCTGGTGTGAGAGAATTGGCCATCTGCAAGGACGTTGCCCAGGGGACACTGGATGTTTTGATGTTTTACCATCCTTGTGGGAGGCTTCTCTCATGTCCCCGAATGGGAAGCTGGAGCTGATAGAGGGAGATCATCCACGCTCTCCCAAATTCGAACCTGCGACCTGTTGGTCTTCAGTCCTGCTGGCACAAGGGTTTAACCCACTGCGCCACTGGGGGCTCCTATTTTAGATTATGAAACACTCATTAGCTCTATTATTACTACTATCTCTAAGACATATTTAACTCTTCAGACTTTCAGTGCTGCTGCATTTCCAACTTTAGGAGTGGTGTGAGTAAAGGTTGGCTGATGACATTTTTCATTTTTTCCCCCAAAAAGGGATATAATATAGACATTTCCTCTTATATTGGAGGAGGTTTGCCTGGACTTGGTGGTTCTTCCTGTCTAATCCAGAAAGCAAGTCAAGTCAAATTAAGTTCCAATTCCACAGTTCACTGCAGAAAAAGGATTCTTCGTTTTAAGGCAACTTCTACATAGCTTTTGAACATAGAGGTCTAATGATGAAAGCTTGGACCATGGCCAAATGAAAAGGCGTCTGAACATATTTGTTTAGACTTGCTTATTTAATTACACGTTGAATCAGAAACAGGCTATAAAATATCTTCCCTCGATGTCTTTACAGTGCATGTACAACAAGCAACCAGATGCGGATGGTGTCAATCCATAGATATGCCATGGGGGCTTCATATGCACCATTATATTAACAAGATCTATTTTTTCAACATATACATATGTGGTTGTCAAGTAATATTTTACAGATAGGACTCTGGCCCTGGTGTTTGATCCAATAATTTGCTTAAATTGAAATCCCAATCCTGAAGCTCCAATGAATACATATATTCATCTTATTTGTTCCGTTTGGCAAGTGTCTTGATGCAAATCTTTGTTTAAATCTGTTGGTCGGCCAAACTGAACAACTGGTTAATATATATGTTTCAGGGCCAAAAGATCGGCTGACTAAGTTTGGTGCATAGCATATAGCATAATGTACAAGTGTGGCAACATTTCCTAAAGTCTTTTTTATTCCTCCTTTTACAGAATATTTTGGAACTAACTTTCTACAACAGAGATCTTGTGCTGAGCAGTTTAAGCAATCATGCCACTTCAATTGCTTTTGATACGGGAAATATTGCCCCAGGAGAGATTTTGAATCATACATTTGTCCTAAATTCTCAGGTGAGTCCTTGTTTTTGAGTTTCCTTTGAAAGGTGGTATTAGGTAAATAAATTACATTTCTAGACAGGCAGGTATAATCACATATTAAGTACTGTAGATATTTAGATGCATCTCTGTATTTGTGGTAACATGATATACTAACTAAATGGACTGAAAGTAAATAATTGTTGTATTAAATAGAAGGTAAGCTATGTCTTTCTCTCTTCGATAACAATAAGGATTTCGGTCATATGAGCAATTATTTTGTATAGGGAGCCAGTGTGATGTAGAGGTTTGTGTGTTAGACTAGGATTCTGTCAGGCCATAGTTTGAATCTCTATTCAGCCATGGAAACTCATTGGATGATCTTGGGCAAGTCAAATTTTTTCAGCCATAATAAATATACTTTAATTTATACTTTATTTATATTCCACTCTATTTCCTTGAGGGGACTCAGGGTGGATTACAGAACACATATTCGGCAAACATTCAATGCCGCTATACAATTAAAAAGGACAAAAATACATAAACAGAGGTAGGCTTTCCTATCTTTCCCATCTCCGGCATCTAGATGCTGTGCTTGAGTCTAGCCACGGGGAGGTGCTGTCGCTCCATCTTCCATGTGGAGGAGCTTTGTTGTTCATAGTTGTTCACCCAATTGAATCGCTAGCATATTCTTATGGGTGCCTTTTTGTCACCTCCCCACTAAAAGCGGTACCTATTTATCTACTCACATTACTATTTTCAATCTGCTAGGTGGGCAAAAGCTGGGCTGACGGTGGGAGCTCAGCCCAACCTAGGCTTGAACTACCAACCTTTTGGTTGGCAAGATTTTTTACAACTGGCGGTTTAACCTACTGTGCCAGTTTCTCTGTCTGTCTGGCCTTACATCGTGCAAATTGCAAGGAAGTCTTTGGTTACATCAGGGAGAAGGTGATGGGGCAGAAATAATCTGAAAACAGTGAAGAGGTTAGGGATTGAACACACTTATTTAGATCATCATAATTCACAGAATGACAATAAGTATTGATTGTAACTCCACCACTCTTTGGAATATTTCAGAATACTGCAGAAAGGGAGGGGAAAATAGCTTGACACAATAGGTTATAAAACATCATTTGGATTGTGAAAAAGAAAGTGGGCATACAGCAACAAATACCACCCCCTTCTGTCACATTTGTGTGATCTTGAAGTCTCACATCAAAAAATGAAGGAGACATTTCATCAGTGCAGAGAAAGAGCTACTTAAGCTGCATTTAACTATGTGAAAATCAATGAATAGGTTAGAAGTTTTGAGCTGAGATGCTAAGATTGATACTGACAGAACAATGCAAATTGGGTCAGATATGACACTTAGATGTTATACTGGAGCAAAGGAATGGTTTCAATATTCTTTTTTGTCTGATTTTTCTAAGGTGGAAAGAGCAGAATTGGATGTCGAATTTTCCTTAGAAGAAAGGTGATATATTCCCTCCCTGGCTGAAGTTGCTAATTTACTTTTAAATCATGCAATTTTTCTGATGTCACTTCCTGCTCTTTTATATATTATTTGAAAAAGGTTGCATAACTTCTTAGATTTGAAGTCTTATTGAAGGTCTGCAATGATTTTAGTTGGTTTTAAAGCCCAGAAAGAGGAGCAATATGTCTTGAGACCTAGCAAATAAATGACCTCAAGGATAAAGAAAGTATCCGAATATCCTGCTTTTCTCTGTTGGGAAATCTGCAATGGGATTCAAGATCCATTAGTCTAGTAGTCAAACAAACTCATCCTATAAATCTTTCATTTCAACAGTCCACATGCACCTTCTGAGGTCGTTACCAATGGCGTCCTTGTGGTGAGTAGCAGGCACATATTTGCCTATCTTGGTGGAGAAGGTTGGGTTGAAGATAGGGGAAGCTGTTCAGCTAGCATTCATCTTCAATAGGATAATGAAGAACGGATCCTGTTATCCTGCATTACTTTTTTCACTCTGTTGCTATTGCGAATTTCTTTTCATGGTGACTTTGACTTATGGTGTTGTTTTTTGAAAAATCATATAGGCACCTTCCTGTCTGAGTATTGAAGGAACAATCAATAAAAGTGAGACGGCTCCATGGATAATTCAAGGTAGGTTTATTTCCATGCTATAATTGCCATTTGCTAACTAAATTCTTTGGGAAAGATTGTAATATTTCCCCATTTCACAAGCTTGTTGTAAGCATGAATGAGACAAGAGTACTTTGTATACTGATAGATCTGTACAAGTTGTTTCAGTGAATTGTAGACTAAAATATATCTAAAAGGAATGTAGATGTAACCACACATGATCAACAGTTGGTCAACAGTTCAAGAAAGACAATTTAATAATAGTGCCTTTATTATTGAAAGAAGAGAGAGCATTTTATACTTATCCATTATCCTGATGTGTATGGAAATTTCCCTTGCAAAACCTAAGACATTCAGTATCATCAGTTGTGTCTAAAGTACATTGCCACATTGTACCACAGCTTATCAAAGAAATGCTCCAAAGTGTTGTGGGTCACCTTGATCTGCAATGATGAGTGTTCCGGTGGGATGATTGCAGACAATGAAAATCAAACCTATTACTATCTGCCATGCATTGATTGTGTTTCCTTGCATGGCAGGGGGTTGGACTTGATGGTCCATGTGATCTATTCCAACTCTATGATTCTACCTGTGTAGCCTAACCTTTCAGTTTACTTTGCACTATTCTGACCTCATTTCTATTTAGCTATCTATTCACATAATAAAAGTGAAAATATGTATGTGTGTATGTGGCAGAGGTGTCCACTATTGCTTATTTTCTTATTGCCCTAGGACTTGCTATCCAAAAGCTTGGTCCCATAGCCATGTTTTTACTTTCTTTCTGAAGGACAGGAGGGAGGGAGCTGCTCTAATTTCACTAGGGAGGGAGTTCCACAGGCAAGGGGCCACTACCGAAAAGGCCCTGTCTCTTGTCCCCATCATCCACACCTGTGAATGAGGCAGGACTGAGAGCACAATACACAATTATTTCTTAACACATTTTTCTTCCCACATTCAGAGAACTGCCAAATCAAATTATCTGTACCAGGATCCTTTGAAAACCAGTTATCAACGTTTTGTGGTGCTGCCTCAGAACAACAGCGGAAGATCCCATTCATTTTCCATGTGAGCAAAGACATTTTCCCCACATTGAACCTGGAATTGCTGCAAACCACAGCGATGCTAGAGGTAAGATGATGCATCCAGATCATCACTTTTAAAGTTGAAACTATTCCTGCTTATGGCTTGTTTGTAATGATCACTTCTTTGTCTTCAAATAGATGGGTATGTATCTCCTATATTGAAAAAAAATATTTTAGTCCTAAAAAAGTTCACAGTGGGAAAATTGGCACACTGATAATCCAACTTACCTAATGCCATCAGCAAGTATGTCTACTAGTTCCTGCTTGAAATGTGCAAAATTTGGCTAATATACCTTTTAAAGGAAATAATTCCTTTTTGACTGATTTCATATGGAATTGATTATAACCAGAAAATGTAACTTTGATGATTATGTCACTTTTTGATTAAATATAAAACATGAATACATAGAGAGATAAGAGTGGCAAATGGAATGTGATCACAATGCTTTGAGCGTGTGAGCATCATTGCAAATGTTTCAAGAGGGTTTGTTAAACCATGTTGATCTATTTGAATGTGGTACACGGTCCCCATGATCAGAGAGGACTACAACTGCAATTCAGCTGAACATGACTGCAAATCTTTCTTCACACTCAATGCATGTATAACACTTGCTGGGTGCATGTAAACAGTTTGAGATACATCCCTGCCACCCATTTAGCCTTCCTTACAGTCAAGCAAGCAACTGAACTGGGCTTAACTTCTCATTTTAAATGCCCCAACCTTCTCTTATACCCATAAAATCTCACTGTGCTTTTATCTTAACTTTATCTTAACTGTCAAACTTGTGGTCCTCCAGATGTTTGGGCCTCCAACTCTCAGGAGCTTTAACTGGTTTGTCAAACGGCCAGAAAAATCAAACATCTGGTGGGCCACAGTTTTGACACCACTGTCTTAAAAGAAGTCTTATTATATGAATTCCCCTTTCCTGACTCAATTTCAGGAGGTCAGCGCTCTTCCTTTTAGAAATCATAGAACCATGTCCATGTACCATGTAGCATAATTTGTTATCAAGTTTAAGAGCAGGTTAAACTGCTGAGCTGTTGAACTTGCTGGCTGAAAGGTTGGCGGTTTGAATCCAGGGAGCGGGGTGAACTCCCACTATTAGTCAAAGCTTCTGCCAACCTAGCAATTCAAAAACATGCAAATGTGAACAGATTAATAGGTACCACTTCTGCAGGAAGGTAAGAGCACTCCACTAAGTCATGCTGGCCACATGACCTTGGAGGTGTCTATGGACAATGTCCGCTCTTCGACTTAGAAATGGAGATGAGCACCACCCCCCAGAGTCTGACATGACTAGATTTGATGTCAGGGGAAACCTTTACCTTTACTTAAGAGTCATGACTGACCTGACATTCTGATCTGATAACGAAATAGGGCAAGAACTGTATAATACAGTTGAAGGAGACCACAAAGGCCATCTGAACTACCCACTGCCACATAGGAATACATAATCCAAGCACTCCTTGGCCATTGAGGAGAAGACTGCAAACATTTTAATTAGTGGGGGAAACCTGTTTCATCAATACTATATGAGCTTTAATAACTTTCCTACAACTCAACCAGCAGCACCAATTCATGTCTTGCTGTAAATCAGGACTTCTTAAAATTGTTCCATGTGTGACCTCTTTCTGCCCAAGAAATTTTTATGCAACCCCAAGTATATAGATATGTAAAATAGATATAAAAATAAAACATTTAATTATAATAAATTAGCATTTTTCAAGGCTTGCTAAACAGTCTGCTTTTTCTTTTTATGAAGAAATTTCTGCAGATTCCATTGTAAACACTGCAAGTTGTTGCTAACTTGTAAATTTCCAGGAGAGCCACCGGGTGGTAGAACTTTTCCATGGACATACAGCCAAAAAAACTCACAGCAACGCAAAACTTTTACTGTTGCCAGATTTTTCGTAATGTCAGCATTGAGCTAAGCAAATCTCTTTTGGTGTCAGGACTATTTAAGAAACAGTGCTCTAAACTCTGTTGCTCAACATATGTAGCTCCTAGCAGGCCAAATCTGACAGATGGTATAATTAAGCTCCCTTGTAATAATCTTTTCTGATCTACGTTTTTTTGGACAGGCAGATTGATGAACTGGCATCAGAGCCAGTAAACAAATAATCTATATTAAATACATGATTTGAACAGTTTTGTAGGCCCAAAGGCACAACAGATGTGGATATCCTTTGAGCATTATTGTCTTCACTGGTAGAAGATTCACTCAGAGAAGTGCAGATGGTAGTTAACCACTTTGGAGGAGCAGGAGTAGCAGATTAGTTATGGTAGCTAGTAGAAAAAAAAGGTACTATGGCTGTACTATGTGAGGCATCTTGGCTTTGAGAAGCTCAGATGAAGGCACTTGTGACCTGGAACTAAAACTATCTCTCACCACCTTCCATTTTTTCCCAGAACTTCTGAATTATTTCCTTGATATTTCCATAGCAATAGACATCTTGCCCAGTAGTTCTCTAAAATAGTGGGTGGCATATATGTTAACAAGGAACAGGCACTAATCCCAGTACTTTGATATCTGCTCAGATATGCTGGGTGCTGATTCCAGACCTGATCTAGAGATATATCTTTTAAAATGAACCATTTTTGCCCCCAGGAAGGATGGAGTGAAGATTTACATATGAAGACTTCAGTCATAGGGAATGGAGCTATTCCAATTTCTGAGCTCCCCCTTGGGAAAAAAGTGGAATTGACTGTTCCTTTAGGACAGGTACATTTTTGGTATTATTTTCAGAAAATTTATGCAAATGATAAATGTATTGAGCCTATGTTGGGATTACACTGATTTCTTAGAGACACACACCAAGGATTGAAAAACATAGCCCACCTTACATATTATTATCTCAAACCTGTTTTTAATGATATATTTTATATATAATAATATGTTGTTAATTGCATATTGATATGTTCTGAATTATTGGAACATCTCTGCAAGCAACTTGGCAGAATGATTAAGATTTTTATTTAACATAAGCAAATTTAACATAAGCAAATTGTGATGAAGTTACATATGAAGGAGTGGGAATATCTGGGTTGTTGTAGGTTTTTCGGGCTGAATGGCCATATTCTAGAAGCATTCTCTCCTGACATTTCGCCTGCATCTGTGGGAGGCATCCTCAGGGGTTGTGAGGTCTGCAGATGCAGGCAAAACATTAGGAGAGTATGCTTCTAGAACATGACCATACAGCCCAAAAAAACCTACAACAACTCAGTGATTCCAGTCATGAAAGCCTTCGACAATACAGTGGGAATATCTTTTTGTACAGTTTCATTTACAAAGGAATTAAAGTATTACTTGTCAATTAATTCAGCAGCATTGCATGTTTTCCAGGGGCAAGTTGTGGATTTGACTGTGAAAGCTGAAGAAAGGTGTGTAAACCTAAATGTGGATATTTGTCAAAATCTTATTCTTTGCTCTTATGGCCATTAGAGACTTTAGATAGAACCCAATCCCACTACACAATTATAACACTATGAGAGCACCTTAGAAAAGACCCAATTTTCCCAATGAGAAGAACGTTTATCTATGTGAAGTTTATTTTTACAGTGGCTGAAGTAAATAAAATGAGTGAGGAAATATACAAATACAAATAATTAGATAAAACTCAGAATGGGATGAAAAAGCGGGATCTTTCTGCCTTGTTTCTAGAAACAGTCCACTTGATATGGAGGTACGCCTTAGTTCTGGCCTCTCTAGAGGAGAGCGAAATTTTTTGGAAAGGAGAAAAGAAATAATTGCCAATACTCTCAAGAAAGTACTTGATTTGCAAGTGGCCCCCAAGAAAGATCAGGTACTGTTTTTTTCCTTTTATGAACACTTTTTCTAAGGTCTTCATAGTTAGATTAGTGAATATAATTTCTAAGAACTGATCTATACCTTTTTTTTGGAAAAAAAACACTAGGAAACAGAACATTCCATTAAAATGTGTGATCACTTGAGGATATCTTACAGTGATTTGGATCTTAAACTGAAAAATGTATATTACTTATATCATAACATTAGCCTGCGAACAAACAGAGAACTGGTTTAGGTTACCATTTCTATATTCCTCTAGGTACCTGTAGTGGCTGTTGTAGCATCCGGAGGAGGGATGAGAGCAATGACAGGATGTTATGGCAACTTGCTTGGCCTGCAGCAGCTGGGCTTCTTAGATGTCTTGACATACCTTTGTGGCATCTCAGGGTCTACTTGGTAAGTATGCAGAAATTCCTGTACCATCTATGTAAATTCATGTTCTATCATTGTAAACCTTATATTTGAAAGATTCTGTAGTATATTCCATGACTGTGCAAGGATTCAAACTCTGGTCCCAGAGTCATAGGCCAACACACAAACCACTACACCATGCTGAAGTTGATATCTGTCAAATATGTGTTCATGCATAGCTCTCTTAACTATTGAATAATAGATATTCTTGGGCTGGATATAAGTATGAGCTTCACTTCTGGGTTGTTTTCTTCATTTTTGTAGGCTATGGGGTCTTAGATATAGCACATATTTAATTTATTTTACATTTAATTTAATTTATATTTTATTTATTTCTTGATCACTCATTGAAAGAAATTCTGAAGAAAAATATCACTATGCTAATTCAACTTGTTTTTTAAAAGCAGAATGTAAAAGACTGGTCAAAGCAGTCAAAATGGGGGGGGGGGGGATGCAGTGGTCCCTTGGTATCCACTAGTTTGCTTCCAGGAACTGCCATGGATACCAAAAACTGTGGATGTTCGAGTCCCAATATGTACAATGGTGCTCCTTATGTAAATGGTGAAAGATTTAAACAAGTTTGGAAGAGAGTTTGAGGCTCTGGGAAATGGTGGGAGGTTATATAGCAGAATGTGGTGATGCATTAGCACATGGCAAAATCAACATTTGCTTTTTGGAATTTTCACCCTGAATATTTTTGAACCATAGTTAGTTGGATCCATGGATACAGAACCCATGGATACAAGCGGCCAACTGTAGTTAAATAAATGATTAATTTTGGATGTTACTGCCATGGGGAAGAATCTGTGTGACATTTCTACCTGAGGTCCTCCAACAACTTGGCCAGTTTTCTCAAACTACTAGAATACTAGTTTCTTTTTCTTACTACTTCAGCCAGTAAAGGGTTAGGAACCATACGGCTCTCTATAGGTTGGTGGACTGCAATTCCAAGCTCTAGCTATTGATGACACAGCCAATGGCAAGGAATGCTAAAAGCAGCAGATTAATATAATAATCAAGCATAATAGACAAGCGACAGGATAAGGACAGACACATTATTTATCATTCTGCAGACACAAGCCCATGCAAGCCTTCCAGGTGTTTTGGACTTCAACTCTCATAAATTCAAGCCAGCTTACCAGCTGTTAGGGATTGTGGGAGTTGAAGTCCAAAGTACCCATAGGGCCGAAGTTTGCCCATGCCTGCATATAGACCAGCTGTAGCTACCAAGTCCAAAAGAGTTTTGTGAGGATTCCTTCTAACAAGGCACTTGCAAGAATCCAAGTTTGCGCCACTGTTTACTTTCATTGTCATGCTACACTTGGCTTTACTGATACCTAGCTATAAGTCAAGTAGCTTTCAATGATACAGAATTTTACTAGAATGTGAATTCTGACAGCTCACACTGGAACAGGTAGAATTACATTGCTCAGTACTGTTGGCTACACTTGATCTGATTCTGTGTCACCAAAAGAATTCCCATATCTGATACTGTATATGTTGTTGTTGTTTATTTGTTCAGTCACTTCCAACTCTTTGTGACCTCATGGACCAGCCCATGCCGGAGTTCCTTGTTGGCCGTCACCACTCCCAGCTCCTTCAGAATCAAGCCAGTCACTTCAAGGATACCATCCATCCATCTTGCCCTTGGTTGGCCCCTCTTTCTTTTTCCTTCCATTTTCCCCAGCATCATTGTCTCCTCTAAACTTTCCTGTCTTCTCATGATGTGGCCAAAGTGCTTCATCTTTGCATCTTTGCCTCTAATATCCTTCCCTCCAATGAGCAGTCAGGCTTTATTTCCTGGAGGATGGACTGGTTTGATCTTTTCGCAGTCCAAGGCACTCTCAGAATTTTCCTCCAGCACCACAGTTCAAAAGCATCTATCTTCCTTTGCTCATCCTTAGATGTCTGCTATTGGACTGATAGAAGGGGTTCAAAGGAAGCATGGATAATGTAGTATAGCTGCATTATAGTATGGCTAGTATAGCTGGAATGAAAACAATATATTCCAATGGGGGCATTTCACTTAAATTATTTTTGTCAACGAAATTTTGTGCCAGGATAAAGGTCTAAAGAAATTCAGTATTTAAACTATTTCCCTGACAACCCCCTTCCCAGCAATGCTACCAGTTTTCAGATCTTCTGCAATATTTTGCAGACATAAAGGATAAACCATCATATCATTCTTGGCATGGCTCACTAATGAAAGAACTTATACTTATTCCTAAAGCATCACAGTTAGTGTAAATTAAGCATAAGATTGTTCCTCCCATAATCTAGGATGCTCTGTGTTTTGCTTAAAGTTCTTTTATTTACTGAAGTATCTGTCATTTTGGTAGGTGTATATCCACACTCTACAAAGATTCTCACTGGTCAAGAAATAATCTTCAGGATGCAATTAACAATGCCCAGAATATTGCGACAAGGGCAAAAGTTGGAGCATTTTCTGCAGAACAACTGGCATATTACTTTCAGGAATTAATTGCCAAAGAGAAAGAAGGAAAGAAAGCCACGCTCGTTGACTTATGGGGACTCATCATAGAATATATCCTAAACAATAAGGTAAAGAAGAGGGCCCTAAATATGAGGTGGGAAATATATATGAAAAAATGGGCCTGAGAAAGACAGCGGGGTGGTGGTCAGGAGAGATGACTGAAACATTTGTCAGAAGGTATTTCTAACAGGTTAAGATTTGATTTTATGGTAAAGTGTTTATGGGAGTTATGGTCCCATAAAACATAAGGTCATGTTCAAAATGTAAAAGTTACCACAAAAAGAAAAATGTCATTTTTTTTCAATAAGCCATTGCAGTCAAGTAGACAAAGCTTTTCTTTTAATCTGGAATCTATGGATTTTCCTTAGCCATGGTTGGGTGTGGACCAGTGGTTCTCAACCTGTGGGTCCCCAGGTATTTTGGCCTACAACTTCCAGAAATCCCAGCCAGTTTACCAGCTGTTAGGATTTCTGGGAGTTGAAGGCCAAAACATCTGGGGACCCATAGGTTGAGAACCACTGGTGTAGACAATCCATTCTCAAAAAGAATGACAATCTCAGACAATCCAAGAGATATCTGGAAAGATTAAGGGGATTATAGTTTTCATAATTAAAAATGCAAGATCAAATATTATTCCACTTTATATATTTGAACCAAGTTGGTATCGTTATTCTAAATATTCAGTGGAATCTGTTAATTAAAAAATGATTTGACATTGTTTAGCTGTTTTTTATTTGTATTTCTTCATTAATATAAAGTGGTTTTAAGAAGCCAATTAGGATCTTCTTTTGGACAATTTAAGTAAACCCCAGATGACCATGATTATTTCCTTGCCATATCCAGAAGGATCCAACCAAGCTGTCTGATCAACAAGAAGCTGTCAAGTGGGGACAAAACCCCTTCCCTATTTATGCAGCTCAGAATGTGAGGACTACTGTGAAATCCCGTGAATTTACAGGTATGGAACTCAGGCTGAGGCTTAGTGGAAGTCAACAATTACAAAAACTGTAGATTGCCAATCACAATTTATATATTCTAAGAATTTCTACATTGAATGTAACATGAGAACATTCACACGATTAATTAAAGACTGTTTATAATTGGAAGATAATTTTTCAATACTTTGTTAACATAGTAAAACTAGAGCTTCCAAAATCACAATTACATAATGTCAGGCACAGTGACACAAAATAATACTTCCTATATTATCGAAAGATCTTCTTTCATAAACAACATCAAAAACAATGACACATGGTTTATCAATATTTCGTCAATACAATGAGCTTAGAGCTTCCAAAACAACAGTTAAACAATATCCGGCACAGTGGCACAAAATAACACTTTCTATGTTGTCGAAAGATCTTCTTCCATAAACAACATCAATAACAGTGACACACAACAAGGTCTCCCGGTGGAAGTCACCCAGAAGTATTCTTAAGTTGAAACACAGATACTTGCTAGTGAGATGGCTAATGGTGTCTGCTTACAAGGAACCTAAGTTTCCTTTGATACAACAGCTGCATTGCCTTACCATTCAAGTACAATTCAACATGCTGGTTATGAGCTATGAGGTCCTATATGACTTGGGTGAGGAGCCGCGGTGGCACAATGGGTAAAACCATTGTGTTTGCTAAACTGCTGACCTGAAGGTTGTCGATTCAAATCCACGAGATGGGTTGAGCTCCAGTCTGTCAGCTCCAGCTTTCCACGTGAGGACATGAGAGTCCCCTGAAAAACATATCTGCAGATGGCCAATTATCTCACACCAGAAGCAACTTGCAGTTTCTCAAGTGACTTCTGATACAATAAAAAATATGGCATGTGTCCAGCTCTCTGAATGACAGTATGTATGATACTGCCTGAACTCTAAAATCTTTGGAGGAAGCACTTCTTTCAATTTAGTCAGCTTCTCAGTTGAATTAGGTAGAAACAAAGGAGGGGATCATCTTTGTGGTTGTTCCTATACTCTGGGAAGACCCTGGATCCTTTCCAGCTGTCTTTTGAAGACTTTTCTATTCCTGCATGCATTTTGGAACTAATTTTTTGATATAATGAGTTATATGTTTTTGTGATGCGATGGGTTTAATATATGTTTTTATTCAATGCTTTTAATCCATGTCTTCTTACCTTTTATATGTTTTCAGATACATATGGTTTGACTTCTTACTTTTTATTCTGTAAATTGCATTGAGTTCCATTTTTGGCTAAACTCAATATAAATAAAACTTTCGTTTGTTCATTTGTTTGATTGGTAAGGCATGAAAGGAATCTAACCCCCACACATTCTGTTAAAAGATAATCTTGAGATACAGTTCAGTTCTTCATTGTGAGGAAAAGGTTCACACTTTTAAATGGAAAACAATGTTTTTTTTTTAATTTTTCATAGAATGGTGTGAGTTTACGCCTTATGAATTTGGATTCTATAAATATGGAGCTTTTATCAGCACAGAAGACTACAATAGTAAATTTTTCATGGGTTTTCTGCTTGAGAAACATCAGGAACCCAGGATCTGTTTCCTCCAAGGTAGGAGTTAATGCATAAGGAGGAGCCTGAAAATGTGGTTGTTTCAGTGTGCCTTCCGAGAATAAGGAAACTTCCAGCAATATGTCCCTAAACGCACTTTATTAGTGATCTAAGATTGTCTGCACATTTCATCCCTCTCCAAAACTTCTATCCCAGTTATATGTCACCTTGTCACGGCCAGCATTATTTTCAATTTTTTTTTAATTATTACATTTGGCCCAGCCATAGGTCTTTAAACGCGTCATGTTATTGTTAATGTTTATTCCTTATTTTTTGCTTATGAGTTTATTTATTGTTTTGTATTATTGTTGCTATTGTCTATTGTTGTATTGTGGGCTCAGCCTCATGTAAGCCGCACCGAGTCCCTTGGGGAGATGGTAACAGGGTACAAATAAAGTATTATTATTATTATTATTATTATTAGTAGTAGTAGTAGTAGTAGAATAACTTCATATTGGACTCATGGCTTTTACCGATCTACTTTAAAAATAGCCCACATGTCACAGAGGAACTTGAATTAAATATTATGTTGGTCCTCAACAAGATGCTACCTAGAGACAGTCTTATGTTTAAGTTATTCCTGTTAATACCCAAACCCGCATTTATATGAATATACGGCAAGTGCCACACATGGAAACACCCTTTCCATTAAAGTCTAGTATAGATGTTATGTCCTGATAATATTAGTTTGTGACTTGAATACATTTCTGTTTCATTAAATGCTGCTTAAAGATTGTTGCAAAATGTGGGTGTCCCTGTGGGTGTATGCATGCAGGGGCTAGAAATGTCTTCTATTGTCACACTGCATGCAATCCAGTATTTATCTCTGTCTGATGTAAGAGTAATGTCAGGCAATAGTCAGTGAACTACATGATTAATATTTTACTTTTGGTGCAGGAATTTGGGCAAGTGCATTTGCTGCCAACATAGAGGACATCTGGGAGGATACAATGGCTTCAGATGCGGTTTTCATAGAATCTGTGAAAGGTGCCATCAAAATTGTAGGTAAAGATATGACTATATTCCGCATTTCCAAAATGATGATTATCCTACGCAAGTTTCCTCAGGTGTTAAAGGGGAGCATGGGTGCCCTCAGGAAAATGTGCCTTGGTTTGCATCACTGAAAGAAAAAATCAAAGAAATATTTTAAATCCACAAATAAGGAGATCTATTTCACTGAAGTAAAAACAATTTCTCATTGGGATGTATAACAGAAGACAGGTTTTAGCATGTCAGTTACTGAATTGGCCTAAGGCTAGTGTGTCTCCACCCGAGTAGCAAATTCTTCTAGTCTTATATCTGATTTTCCTAATTCAATCCGTGATTCAAGCTTTTGTTTTGTCATGTTCACTAATTTTCCAACTAAATATTCATTGAATGAATCTTGATGATGATCATTTAGAAAACCATGTAATTCTAAATGGGACCTAAATTTCAGTGGGACCTAAATTATTGCAGTTTGACACCACTTACCTGCTATGACTCAGTGATATAGAATTCTGGGACCTATCGTTTGTTAAGGCACCAAAACGCTTTGGCAAAGAAGGGTAAAGACCTTGTAAAACTACAACTCCCATGATTCCATATCATTGAGCCATGTCAGTTAAAGAGGTGTCAAACTGCATTAATTCTACATCCACAGCTTTCTTTGGTACTGTTCCATTATCCAGGCAGAGGCCACCAGGGGGCGTTACAGAGAGATGTATTATCCAATTTATGGGGGTGGAGAGTGGGTTGAAGGAGGAAAAACATTTCCCCCTGTTTTCCTGTTATCCCCCCCCCCCCATGTCTCTGCCTTGGTTATGATATAGGAAGAGGGGGAGGGGGAATGACCTCCCAAAATGGGGGAAATGGTTTTCTTTTTTCAACTCCCTCCCCATAAATTAGACAATCCTTCTCTCTCTCTCTCCCCCCCCCCTGGTGGCCTCCGCCCAGATAATTGAACAGTACACTTTCTTTTAACTGTTAACCCCAAATTCCAGCTCTTCTAGGAGAAAATCATGATGTCTTTCTTTGTTTTACATTTTTCAGATGAACTCTGGGGTTCTCAGTCCATGGACTCTTCCCAGAGACAAACCCAGCTGATCATGCCAGGAGGAGCCTTTACACAGTTATTTTACAGTTTACTTAAGTCACGACTTACTACTGGGGAAAACTTTAATTTTCTGCAAGGGCTGTATCTTCACAGGGATTATACCAATGATAAGGAATTTGTAGCTTGGAAAGGTATAATAATAATATCTGATATAATAATAATATTTTTATTTCTTGTTTTGCTGTCTCTTTGGGTCATTTATTTATTTAAGGGGATTCATAAATCACTTTTTTAGGACAAACCTGTTTTGGGGTGTTTCAGAGACTCACCTGGATGCAGTGCCCAATCAGCTGACCCCTGGAGAAAACAGTCTGCACTTGGTTGACGGGGCATTTGCTATCAATTCTCCATTTCCATTGGTACTCCAGCCTGAGAGAGATGTGGATATCATCTTATCATTTGATTATTCCTGGAATTCTCCCTTTGAGGTGAGAGATATAAGGACCCACAGTCCACTAAAACACAGACAGACTAACCAACTACATTACCAACACTTGGCTATTGCCTGGATTTCATGGACAAAGTTCAACAGAATCCAATATTGTTCAGGAGCCTGAAATGACGGTCACCGCCTGCCCCCCCCCCCCAGCCAATTATTAATATCCAAATGATTAATATTACCTAGTTAAGTACTCATTTAAGTGGCAAGGCAGGAAGTCTCAACTCATGTGTTATGAAGAATAGAAGGATACACTTTCAATTTTGTATGCCAGTAGGATCAAGTAGGATGTCTTATTCTGGAGTCAGAAGAATTCTATAACACTATGTAACAGAATTTTTGTTCCTGGATTATAATTGTCATTTACTAATTGGTTCTATCATAAAAAACATGGATTTTTTTTATTAAACTGCAAAAACTTTGTTTTTGCAGGACATCCTGCAGTACATTTTGCTATAGGTTTTTAATGAATATCTCATAGTCTCAACCAATTCAACATAGTTTATGGTAGCCATAAAAATGAAGTTTCTGGAGTATAACAACGAGTATAACAACTACTTTCAAAGTAAGTACCACACAATTACACACAAAATAACACTTTCAAACCAGGAACAGAGCATTTTACATATTTTGTTACATAGTGTAATTTATACAGCAAGTAGAAGAAACAAATATAAGTTTAATCCTGACAAAACAGAGGCCCTCCTGGTTAATCGTGGGGCCAACTGGGGTATTGGGTGGCAGCCTGTGCTCGACGGGGTTACACACTCCCTGAGGGCACAGGTCCGCAGTTTGGGTATCCTTCTGGACTCTGCTCTGACACTTGATGCCCAGGTGTTGGCAGTGGCTGGGAGGGCCTTTGCACAATTAAAGCTTGTGCACCAACTGTGCCTGTATTTCGTGAAGTCTGACTTGGCCATGGTTGTCCATGCCCTAGTGGTCAACCCCCCAGTTTAAGCAGAGCCACTGGCTTCCACTAAGTTTCTGGTCCCAGTTCAAGGTGCAGGTTACAAAGCCCTAAATGCTTTGCGACCCATCTATCTTTGTGATTGCATTACCCTCCAAACCAGCATGTACCCTAAGATCATCTGGAGAGACTCTTCTCTCATTTCTGCCACTGTCTCAAGTATGACTGGCGGGGACGAGGGACAGAGCCTTCTCAGTGGTGGCCCCTTGGCTCTGGAATGCCCGCCCTAAGGAGATCAGTCAAGCACCCACTTTGTCCACCTTTCATAAGGATTTAAAAACCTGGATGACATTTATTCCTCCTTCTCCAGGTCTTGCATCAGGCTCAGATGTACTGTGAAGAAAGAGGAATTCCTTTTCCACACATCACTGTGACAGATAACGATAGAAACAACCCAAAAGAATGTTATGTGTTTTTGGATGCCGACAATCCAAAGGCTCCCATAGTGGTTCATTTCCCACTGGTGAACAACACATTTAAAAAATACAAAGCACCAGGTAAGTAACATGTAGAAGAAGCTCAGTTATACAGTGTGGGCTAGCATGTAAGAGGACAATCACTTCCTATTTTACCAAAATCAGGAGTTCCCATGTTTTGAACTTCTAAATCTCACAGACCCCAATATGAGGAAATTTCTGGAGAAATCACTAGACAATTAATCAGTTTTAAGAATTTCCTTTTATTGGATTGCTGTGAGTTTTCTGGACTGTATGGTCGTGTTCCAGAAGCATTCTCTCCTGATGTTTCACCCACATCTATTGTTGGCATCCTCAGAGGTTGTGGGGTCTGTTGGAAACTGGGCAGGTGGTGTTTATATATCTGTGAAATGTCTAGGGTGGGAGAAAAAACCTCTGAGGATTCCTGCCATAGATGTGGGTGAGAATGCTTCTGGAACATGGCCATACAGCCTGGAAAACTCACAGCAACCCAGTGATTCTGGGCATGAAAGCCTTTGACAACACATTTCCTTTTATGTTATTAATTGAGGGGAAAAGTAAAAATGCAACCCTGCAAATCAGTTGTTGGGGATGGTGCTACACACCTGAAGAGTAAACAAAGAAGAAACAAAAATCTTCAACTCAATTCACTGGATCAACTGAAATAACCAAACTGTCTAAGAAACTCCACCAGTGAGTTACTTGGGTCTCAGCCATATAATTTGTTCTGTTCACACGTCACAGGGTATCAGCATATAGAATGATATCCATATCAGCAATTTCCCGTTAAATACAAATGCTATTTCTGTACACACTATGTTTTATTTATCTACAGTATTTTCCGGTGTATATGACAACTTTTAAACCCTGGAAAATCTTATGAAAAGTCAGGGTTTGTCTTTTACGCCAGGTATAAAATAATATAGAAGAATAAAAGAAAAGAATAAAACCCAAGTCCCTTAGCACTGAGGAGGAGGAGAAGGAGGAGAGGAAGAAGGAGGGAGGAAGGAAAAGGAGGGCAGAGGGAGGGAGGTCGCAGGGAGGAGGAGGGACAGGCCGCATTGCCACGGAGACCGGCTGGGGGTCTATTTTCAAGGTCCTCTTCCACCCCTGCCACTCTCCCTGCTCTATTTTGAAGCAACTCCTCCAACATCACCATTTCCGGGCAGCCAAGAGAGAGGAAGGAAGCAAAGCCACCTGATTGACAGGCAGAAGCCTCCAAAGGCCACTAGGCTCCCTTAGGCCCAAGGAAGCGCCTCCGTACTTCGACTCCCAGCAGCCCTGGGCGGCGGCGTGCCTTGGATGTGCCTGCTGAGGCATTCTGGGAGTTGTAGAGTCTTGCGTTGGAAGAGGGGTAGTCTTATACGACAAGTATATCCCAAACTCTATAATTTAACTTGAAAAGTTGGGGGTCGTCTTATATGCAAAGTTGTCTTAAATGCCGGAAAATACGGTATCTATATCTATCCATTGAGAGAAGAGAATGCACACAGTCTAATAAAAGTACCAGTTCAGCAGAGACAACCCTTCACATGTTCTCTTTTCCTTATTTCTTTTTTTAGGAGTAAAACGTGAACCGGAAGAGATGCCATTTGCAGATTTTCACCTATTTACAGCAGATTCTCCTTATGGTTCCACAAGCCTCACCTATCAGCCAATGCAATTTGACAGATTGCTGCAACTGAGCTGTTACAATGTGATGAATAACAAGGATGCTATTTTAAAAGCTCTTCACCTGGCCATGAACAGAAGGAAGTTGAAGAAAGAGAACCAAAAATGAGATGCAGCCTTGTTTAAGCAGGAACAGGTCTTTGGGGAACAGAATACTGGAATGTTGTAGTAAATGAAAAAGCACATGCAACTGATTCATAAGACACTTTAAAGCTTCAACCATTATCATATATGTACCAGCAAGATTGCTCAAATGAAGCTTTCAATTAAAATGTTTTCATATGGATATGTGATTTTCCTGTGTTCCTTTTGTATACTGCTTTTCTCACTAGTAGGTTTTCACCGTTACATGAATCAGTAAGATTTAAGAAGGTCGACCCAAATGCAACATTTAGCAAAAGAAAGGCAATCGTAAGGTCAGGTCAAAGAACACTTATATTGATGGCTATCAGATGGTATAAGAGGAAATTTTTAAGTACTGTATTTTCTGGCATATAAGACGACTGGGCATATAAGACGACCCCCAACTTTTCCAGTTAAAATAGAGACCTTGGGATATACTCCCCATATAAGACTACCCCTCTTCCAAGGCACAAATAAAATTTTTAAAAGCATCAGATTTGATTTCAATATGGTAATTTTCCTATTACTGTACCTCCTTCTCTGCCTCTAAGATCTTGCACATGTGCACCTGCACCGCTTCACTGCAGTCTTCAGGAGTGAGATCTGAGAGGCAGAGGAGAAGGTATGGTAATAGGATACAAGGGCGGGCCAGAGGTGTGTTTTTTGGGCCCAGAGCCACTCTATCTCTTTTTTCCATACCCCGGGTACCCCAGACGCCTGCAGCTTGCTCTGCCCTTCACTTACACCTTCACCTCACCATCAGGACTGCATTAAGTCTACGAATCCTGATGAATGGATTTTCTTCTACCGTACTTGTACAGCGTTGCCCTTAATGCTTTCATACAGTCGCTACATATGGCAGGGATGCGGCCACTGCCATTTTTGAGCTCCCCCCACTATATGCGACAATCACAGATTCTCCAATCAGGATTGGAAGTTTCAGCACCTGCTCTATAAGACAACTCCTGGCATATAAAACTACTCCCAGTGTATAAGACGACCCCTGACTTTTGAGAAGATTTTCTTGGGTTAAAAAGTAGTCTTATATGTCAGAAAATATGGTAACATGTCAAATGTTTAACATACTGTAATATGAATATCTCTCTCAATTTTTTCATGTCAGGAATAACTTGAGAAACTGCAAGCCACTTCTGGTGTGAGAGCATTGGCTGTCTGCAAGGATGTTGCCCAGGGGATGCCCGGATGTTTTAGCATCCTGTGGGACGCTTCTCTCATGTCCCTGCATGAGAAGCTGGAGCTGACAGATGGGAGCTCACACCACTCCCCGGATTTGAACTACCAACATTTCAATCAGCCATCCTGCCAGCACAAGGGTTTAACCCATGGCACAACCGGGGGCTTATTTCTGTATATTAATATCTTGATATTCGTGCACACAAACAAATGGAAAGATATTCTCGTGTGTGCATATCATATAATGACCAAAGGAAGTATTTCAACACCATAACATAAAGACATGAAACTTGGCATTCAAACTAACAGGAGCCTAGAATTTGGCAGTTCTATGGTTTTTAAGTGTATTAATTTTAACATGTCAATGTTTTGAAAGCCTGCAATACCATTTGTAGGCACTGGGTGGCAGAGATCCCTAAGCACTGGGTATGCAATCAGTGCAGTATGAAGCTAGATGAGAGCAGTCTTGAAGGACAGTTACCAACAGCAGTCTTCTCATGGCTATAGGCTTGGCAGAATTACTTCCTTGTGGTGTGTGCACACATGCATAATGGCTAGGGACAGGCTTAGGAGCCTTGGTACTGTCACTTCGCTGAAACACATGGTTGCCTGGTGAAATAAGGGATAAGGCTTCCAGCAGGTGACAAGCTATAAAAAAAATAGAGCCTTGCCCTTTATTTTCACTTGGGGATGCTGCTCAAACATGTTGACCACACTTTGTCCCTGACAGCTGGATAGCTTTGCTTTTAATGTATCACACTACAGCAGTGGTTCTCAACCTGTGGGTCCCCAGGTGCTTTGGCCTATAACTCCCAGAAATCCCAACTAGTTTACCAGCTGTTAGAATTTCTGGGAGCTGAAGGCCAAAACATTTGGAGACCCACAGGTTGAAAACCACTGCACTAAGGGCTATTCCAACTTGTGAAAAGTTGTGTACTCATCCTAATTTGTGTATGTGGTGGTAGGGAGTTGCTGAAGATGGAATATTTTCTTTGGTTAATGTTCTTGAATTAACATAATGAGATTTAAGTCAAAATGTGGGCAGTTCCACCACTACCAGCAATAACTTCCTGCACTCCTATTCTACATTGACCAGAGGGTCTCTGATTCCCTTGGGTTGTAGAGAAGGATCTGGAAGGAGTGACACAACAGTTTTTTATATCAAGGTAACAATCCGCATGGTGCAAAGGCTATTAATGCTACAGTTAACTGAAATGGAGCGCCAATAAGAGGGTTATTAGGTGCAAAATCATAGAAGATGAAAAACTAGGACGAAATAAGATTGATGAGTGTACAAAGTGATTCAAGATCTTGATCTGAGGGAACAAAATAAATGTTGATTGGAACTCTACTCTTAGGCAGGAATGTTGAATCGGATAATCTGTCGTAATTCTAAGGGATTGCTAAAAGAGGAACTGTCAGGAAAGGAAGAGGATGAGACCCACCCCTAAGAGTATCAGTTGCATCACTGAGAAATCAGAGTAGGAAGATAAGAATGAAGGATCTTTTGGGTGTCTCATGCTATCTATCATGATTACTTCTGCCCTGACACATTATTGACTCTTCTGTGCTAAGTGTTTTCAACATCTCAACAAAGTTACCATCACAAAGAGTTTGGCTATAAATTTAATGTCAATACCTCTCTAGTATTTGAAAGATTGGAGACCTTTATGTGGCTGTTTTCAGAGTGGATGGAATGCATACTCTATGAAGTAGGCTTCTTGAAAAATACAATTCTCAATAAATCAGAAGGTTTTGGAAGGGAATTCTTCATGTGTTGTATGATTTAAGAAGATCTTGGAATTTTGGCTCTTCACTAAGGTGGCTTATCAAAACAAAAAACAAACAAACAAACATCTAACTTTTTTCATTTACATGCATTTTAAAATTATTCTTTGCCAGCCATGTAGTTAGAATTTTATTATAACTCTACTTACATTTCTAATGATAGTTATAACAATGTCCTATAATTTTGATTTCATATATATATCTAGAGAGAGGACTCTCCGTTAACCAGAACCCAAGGGAATTGGTAGATGTTGGATAAATTTAGTTTGTCCAACATCTAAGTCATAGGGAGGAGGGAGCAAGCTTGTTTTCTGCTGCCCTGGAGACTGGGACACAGAACAATGGCTTCAAACTACAAGAAAGGAGATTCCATTTGAATATTAGGAAGAACTTCCTGACTGAGAGCCATTCAGCCGTGGAACACTCTGCCCTGGAGTGTGTGGAGGTTTCTTCTTTGGAAGCTTTTAAACAGAGGCTGGCCATCTGTCAGGGGTGCTTTGAATTTGATTTTCCTGCTTCTTGGCAGGGGGTTGGACTGGATGGCCCATGAGGTCTCTTCCAATTCTATGATTCTATGTCTGCTAAAATTGATTTTATTTGTTTTTCATTTAAAATATTATTTCTTCAATTTTTTGTGAATTGCTTGAGAGTTCTGGTTCCTTGAGTTCTGGCTAACAGTGTGTGTGTGTGTACACACACACACACACACACACACAAACACACGCATACACGCATATTATTTTTACCATTTGCTTGGCCTTAAAATTGCTTAAAATCTTTTTGAGTATGTGATCCTAAATGAACCCTTTTTTCAATTTTTCTGTGCTTCCCAGGCACGTGAAGCAATATATTTTCCCCAAATGTGTTGGGTGTCTTCTGTTGAGCAAACTGTTCAGAAGATTTTCTGGCACAGAAGGACCAGGAAATAAATGGCTGATATTGGTTAATAGAAGCTTGACTTTTCTTAATTTACTTTAAAAGGGTTTCTTTCTGCTGTGATTTTTGTAAGAAAGTTGCTTTCAGACTAAGTAGCTAGTTTCAAAGAATTGTCCTATCTTCTTTTCCTTTCCTATGTCACCATATGTATTCCTCTGCATCCAAATTTCAAATTGACAGTCTTTTACTGCCATTCTAGTGTAGTTATTGTATATCTATTGTAAGCTGTACAGGTGGCTACAGTGATTTTCTGATTGATAGATAGCACACTTTGTATGTGATATAGTGATCCAACTCTCCAGAGAAGTACATATTGAAGTGATATTGAGCAAGCTAATTGGACAGTAGTTTTGTGAGTCATTCCTACCACCTTTCTTGTAGATAGGAAATATAATGCTCATTTTCCACCCACATGGCATTTGCCCAGTGTTGTTTATCCTGGTAAATAGGCTAGCAAGAAAGGGGCTCCACCTTTCAGCATTTTCCTGGAAGAGTTCTGGAGGAAGCATGACTTCTTCAGGTGCATTCTTACAACTTCATCATATGGGGTTTTTTTAAATCAATGTAATGCTTGTCTCCACTTCTTTTAACAAATTTGATGGCTACCTATGCATCCCTTCACACAATGCAGGGATGGCCACTCCCTCCTCTCAGTATGTTTGCACCACTCTGGCCACTGTAAATTTCTACATCATGGGCAGTGCCTGTGTTATAAGTAAGTTTACCACAATTTTCTACATTTTCTGATAAGGGAAGCAATGGGGCACCCTCCATCCATCCCTTCCCATCACACAGGAAGAAAGAGGGTGGTGCGTGGATCGCAGGGCAACATGAGTCACCCAAAATGTTACAGGGGCTCCCAAAGTGTGATGAGGTCCTTAGATTTTAAAGATGCTACTTACAACTTTCCCTTATTGCCAGAGACTGGTTCCCACTCAGGTAAATTAGAGAAATCTTTGTCCAGCCCTGCCACGTTGAAGGTGCTTGACTGGTTCCAGAAGATACTAGAGAAACATTTAATCCAAGCAGAGGCAGTGATTGTGGCTTCCAATGTCCATCTTACTCCTTGTAGTCCTCTCGTAACAAGTTCCCAAAATGTTGTCTTCCTTCTGTTCTGTTACTGTCTGGTCCAGTTCCTGCCACTTAGATTTTATGTGCTCATCTTTCTTAACTTGGAGTAGACTTTTATATTTTA